TCACAGATCCAAGATAATGAATTCACAGGACAGACTGCGTTTCAAGGCTAGTCTCTTTCTCTGCGTGCGCGCGCGCGCGCGCGCACACACACACACACACACACACAGTACCAGACCTCAATCTTCCATACCTCTGATTCCCGAACCCCACAAGCACTCACGCTTTCCGGGATTACCAGCCTCTGCAGCGCTCAGATCTGCCTTCCTCTCCGCTAGCTTCGGCCCTCCCAGCCTTCACTCGGGACGTCACGCGTGACGCTCAGCAGCCGGCAGGGACCGAGGCTCCCCAGGTTCTGTTGCCCAGCCCGCCCAGAGATTGGCAGAGCCCGGGGGCGGTGGATGTCATTTGGGGCGCGCCCCCAGCCCAGGTCACCCAGACTGAGCCAATCATATGGCGGGGATCCGTTCTGGCCCCTTCCCAGCCAGAGAGAGGAGGGGAGGAGGGGCACCCTTGGCTTACAGTTCCCTGGCTTGCCTCCGGGGACACCCGACCTTTGCAGCAAGAGGTCTATGTGCACCAAACGCTGGTGGGCGGCGTGGAAGGGCGGGCCTCGGACGGTGCGCAGGCCTGGAGGTGCTCGGGTTACTGCTTGTTTACTTGATGCCTACCTTGGCAATGCCTTCTGCCAGCCTAACCCCTTGGACTTCTACTCCAGTATCCACAAGCTCCTCTAGCAGCATCTCAGCCCTTGCATCCCTTCACTGCTGTGTTCCTGTGCCCCTTCCGTGTCTCCAGACCTCTTCCTGCCCCCCTCTATAATCAATCCCTAGTTCCACTGTGTCCCCAGTCTCCTTATGCCCCCCAACCCTTAATCCTGCACCACAGGTCTTAGCCCCAGTCCTTGGAATGTGAAGTGCCAGAAATCTTGGATAATCTCTGCCTGCATTTATACATGTGGCTCAGATTCTTCTTCCCTCTAATGTCCTGAGACCAGCTGCCCTGCCCTGCGACCTTTCCAGAATAGAGTGACCAAACAGTCCTGCGCCTGTGGTTCGTGTCGGTAATCCTAGCTACTTGGGAGGCTGAGATGATAGCGGTTCGAGGCCAACAAATAGTTCTTGATACCCCATCTCCAAAATAACCAGAGCAAAATGGACAGGAGGTGTGGCTCAAGCGGTAGAACGCCTGCTTTGCAAGTGCGAAGCCCTGAGTTCAAACCCCAGACCCACCAAAAAAACAAAACAAAACAAAAAACAAACAAGCAAAGTCAACCAGAACAGTGACCAGAAAGACACTTTTTGACACAGAAGGATACAGGTGAAGAAAGAAGGCATCACACACACACACACACACACACACACACACACACATACACTCACCTAGTTACCATACAGAGCATGCCTGCTGCACACCAAGCACAAGCTTACTCCTGCTCTTCTCTGGTGACATTCCCCCACGGAGAACCAGCGGTGACCAAGGCAATTCCATGAGCCTGGAGAAGACGCAGTTCTAGTGGGAGGGGGGCCAGCTCAGAGCCAAGACCTAGGTTCTACAATGTATGCACGTATGAATAAACGAATTAAAAAAAAAAAAGAAAGAACGACAGGTGGGAGTCAGAACTGGAGGGGGCAGAGCCCAGAGGCGCCAGGCCAGGTGACAAGCTGCAGTCCGGGCTCGCACGGGAGGTGCTAAGAGGGGGTGACTGGCGGCCCCATCAGCCAATGGGAGTCCGCAGCCCCGCAGGCCAGCCCTATTCCCGCAGCCCCGCGGGGCGTGGGCGGGATTCCCCGCTGCTGCAGTGGCTCTCGCCCGCTGGGCGGGCTAGGCGGGCGGCTGCCGCACACACCAGCAGGTGAGAGGGGCCGAAACCGAGAGTTGGGGACCGGGAGGGCCCACCGGGTGTGGGGGCTGCTTTCTGGGTCCCAGAGCTGCTCAAGAGGAATTGGCCCCTGGTTTTGTGCTGGTGGTTGTAGGGCTTTCACCAGCAGATCCTCCACCCAAGAAGTGGATCCTCCACCCAAGACGTGGGAGAATGTCACGCAGCCACTTTAGACCAGAAGTAGTAGTAGTCTGGGGCCTCAGGAATCTCGGGGCCCTGGGCTGCAGCTGTCCCAGGTCCTGAAGCTCTAGAGGCTACTCTTACCCGCATACACTGGAGAGGTGCTGCAGTGAACTGTTCTGACCCCTCATTTTTCTCACACTGCTTGAAACCCCACGGCCCTCAATAATCCCATCTCCACTCTCGATCTCTACAGAGGACTGGAGATGGGGATGAAGTACATGACTCAGCTGAGAACAAAAAATGAGGGTAAAGGAGAGCGCCCTACCCTCTTTTGTTGTTGTTGTTTAAATGGCTCCAAAAATCCAAGATGGTGCCTGGTCCTGGAAGCCCTCTGGCCCAGGGTGGGAGAAGTTGGGGGCCTAAGACTTGGGAGAGCAGGCTGCTCAAACCAGGAGGACAGACGGGAGTTCTGGGGGCAGTAGGGGCAGCACTTACACCCACTCCCCCAAACTCCGTTCTCTTTGCTCAGATCTGGAGCACGCAGTCCTGAGACGTAGTCCACCTGGGGTCACGCAGACCCAAGCCTGGCACAGAAGGCTCATGGAGCTTGGAGCACTGGAGGCCAGCCTCTTGGAGGGCTAGCAGGTTCCTTCCAGACCTGTAAGGCACTGCCCCAGCCCAGGCACCATGGCACACGGTTTCACAGTGGGTTTTGACCCATTGGGTTTAGGAGAACTTAGCTCCAGCTCTCTGAGCTCCCTGTCCTCCCGAGGCCACCTGGGAAGCGACTCTGGCTCCACCGCAACGCGATACCTGCTGAGAAAGCAGCAGCGCCTGCTGAATGGGCCCCCCCGCGGAATCCGAGCCTCATCACCCATGGGCCGCGTCATCCTCATCAACTCCCCCATCGAAGGTGGGTGCGGGGCCCAGCCTTGGGATGAGGACAGCAGGAACTAAGTAGGAGGAAGTAGAGCCAATATGGTTAGGGAAATTTAAAAGAATTAGGGAAGGAAGGATCTCTGGGAACCCACACGCTCTTCCTCTCCTACCCTTGCCTTTCCTCCAGGCCAATTTTGTAAGGCTCCGGAACTGTAGACGGATCAAAGGAGAGAGATGAAAACATGGTGGTGGAGAAAGACATATGTAGCATGCCCCCCATCCAGTGAGGCAGGGTATTGAGCTGGCCCCTCCCTCCCATGGACTCTGCCTTTCTTCAAATCCATTTGTGAGAGCCATTGGGGGTGGAGCAAGATGGAGAAGAATGAAGACCCACCAATCAGCCAATTGTGTGACCAGCTCTGTGCTGGGCTGTGAGGGTTCAGCACCCAGGCTTCAGGGGCAGAAGTAGGGGCCTGAAGATAGATGCTGGGCACCAGTGGCTCATTCCTATAATTCTAGCTACTCAGGAGGCAAAAATCAGGTGGTTCCAGGTTCAAATCCAGCCTGGCCAAATAGTTTGAGAGACCTTATCTCAAAAATACCCTATATAGAAAAAAGCTGGTGGAGTAGCTCAAGTGGTAGAGTGCCTGCCTAGCAAACATGAGGCCTTTAGTTCAAACTCCAGAACCACCAAAAAAAAAAAAAAAAAGGAGAGAGAGAGAAGTAAATGCTCAGAAAACCAGAGAGAATAGGAGAGCAGACCAGTGAGGAAGCCCAAGGGCTGGGCCCTGCAGGAGAGGACAACCTATTTGTATGGTTGCCTGATGATGTCATTGCACACTAATTTCATGCCCAACCTGGTCTTGCAGGAAATTTAGAGAGATGAGGCTTGATCTTCACCTTCCTGAAATGTACACTGTAGCAGAACTTAGAGACAGAGTAACAAAAACAGCTGGTGGTGGGAAAATCATGGGATATGGTGGGTGGGGGAGCAGGGCAGTCACTTAGGAGACAGCCTGACTGCACTGACAGATGTGAGGTGACAAAGAACTAGTGAGTAAGACAGGACTTTGAATGCCAGGGGGGGTGAGCGGGGCCTCTGGGCCTGGGCTTTCCATGCAGGACCAGATAAGTATCTCCAGCTCCTCTCCTCTTTCTTAGCCAGCACAGCTCCCTTGGCTGGATCCCAGACTGGACTTTTCAGGACCTGCTCCTTCCTTCTGACCCAGCTGGGCATCTTGTCCCCTCCCCAGGCAGTTAGGGCAGAGGAGTGAAATGCATCTCACCTTCAGGTGAGCAGTAAAGTACTGCTAAGAGTCACCACTGTCACTCTGGTCAGGGAGCAGAAGTCCCCAGAGTAGTTAGGAAACATGGGTGTGTGTGGGGGGGAGGGGACACTGCAGCACTGCCCTTACTGGTCTGACTCTGTTAAAAAAAAAATCTGTGCTGTGGGACTGGAGGTGGGGCTCAAATTGTAGAGCACATGCCTAGTAATCATAAGGCCCAGAGTTCAAACCCCAGTACTACCAAAAAGAAAAGAAAGAAAGAAATTGTGTTTGTTAGTTATTTAGAGCTGGGTGCCGGTGGCTCACGCCTGTAATCCTAGCTACTCAGGAGGCAGAAATGAGGAGGATCATGGTTTGAAGCCAGCTCAGCCAAATAGTTCCGTGAGACCCTATCTCGAAAAAACCCATCAGAAAAAAGGGCTGGTGGAGTGGCTCAAGGTGTAGGCACTGAGTTCAATCCCCAGTACCATAAAAAAAAAAATCTATGCTGCGTACCTCCCCCCCACCCCCATACACACTCCATGCTGGTCTATGATGTGAAGGCCATTTACACTGTCCTGACAAGATCCTCTTCCAGAAGTTCCATGACTGCTTTCTTCCCCCTGCCTCATCCAAATGCCAGTGCACAGCCAGGGAAGCAGGGTCTTAGCACATAGATTGGGCCATGGCTCTTAGCTGACCCTGTCCTGATGCACCTGGGTGACTCCAAGCCCAGAATCCTCCCCTCTGCCTGGTCACAGACATCTCCACTCACCACAACCTGCCCAATGTTTTCATCCAGACCCCTCTGGGGAACTAAAGAAACTAATGAGGGAGAGCTCCTGAGACTTACCAGTTTATCTCCAGTTTATTTCTGGTCCCACCTGCTCCTTAAACTCAATTGGTTCCAGAGAAAAATGCATTCTCTCTCTCTCTCCTTTTTTTTTTATTTGGTGGGACTGGGGTTTCATTATCTTTAATCTATACCAGCCCTTTCTCCTCTCCTAGTATGTTTGTTGATTCATTCATTTGATGATTCATTCATTTGTTTATTCTTTCATTTATTCAAAAAATATTGCCAGACATCAGTGGCTTTTGCCTGTAGTCCTAGCTATTTGAGAGGCTTAGATCAGGAGGATTGCACTTTGAGGCCAGTCCAGGCAAATAGATCATGAGACCCCATCTCCAAAATAACCAGAGCAAGCTGTGCATCAGTGGTTCACATCTATAATCCTAACTACTTGGGAGGCAGGCAAATAGTTCATGAGACCCTATCTCAGAAATACCCAACACAAAAAAGGGCTGGCGAAGTGTCTCAGTGGCAAAGTGCCTGCTTATTAGCAAGTGTGAGGCCCTGAATTCAGACCACAGAACCACCACCAAACAAACAAAGAGCAAAATGGACTGGAGATGTAGCTCAAGCAGCAAGTCCTAAGCTCAAAACCCAGGGCCCCCCTGCCCAACATAAGACCTAGGGGCATAGCTCAAGTGGTAGAGAGCTTGCCTAGCATATACAGACCCTGAGTTCAATCCCCATTACCCCAAATACTACCCATTGGGCAACATATTTAGTATATACTAGTGGAAAAAATTACAAACTTCCTCCCACGATTAAGTTTACAGCCTATAAAGATAGGTAATAAATAACATACAAATAAGCAATAATGATGAAGGATGCAGAATCCTCAAGGAAAATTTGGGTGATACGCTAGACAAGAGAGTGATTCTCACACTTTAGAGCAGCTGGAATTGCCTGGAGGGATTATTAAGACAGTTCATAGGCCTCGCCCCCAGAGCTTCTGGTTCTGTGAGTCTTTGGTGAAGCCCAGGAATTCACCTTTCTAGCAAGTTCACAGGTGATGCTGTGCTAGTCTGGCATGCCCTGGGAAACACTGTAATGGGGACTGCATGGGTGAAGGGCTATGGACTGTGTGGGAGAAGAGCTATGGCAGTCCAGGCTTCTCTGAGAAAGTAGTGTCCAAGCTGGGAGGGGAATGAGAAAAGGCCAGAACAAGATAATTACAGGCAGAAGGAACACTGAAAGGGTTGGCCTAGATGAGGCACAGGAATGTCAGAGTGGCCAAAGCCCAGTGAAGGAGGGGAGAGAGGCCAGAGGTAGGCAGAGAGGGGTGCAGGAAGCCATGGAGGACCTTCTAGAACTGGGAGGAATTTGGAGCTCCTCCAGAAGCTGGCAGAGGAGCAGGTTTTTCAGCAGGAGAAGGAAAGGTGTGCTTTAACACAAACGCTGACTTGGGCTACCATGTAGAGAATACAGAATACCGTGCAGGACATGGCTCAAGTGATTGAGTGCCTGATTAGTGAGCATGAGTTCAAACTCCAGTATTGCCAGAGAGAGAGAGAGAGGAGAGAGAGATTTCTCCCTCCCAAACACCTGTAGAGTCAACCTTGCCTGAGAAGAAATCTCTTTCTTGCTGGGACCCAACTCATCCTCCAGTCTTCTCACTTTCCTCTACCCAGAGGACCTGCTCAAGGCCTGCTCTGAGCCTAGCTCACTCCATCCTCTCCTCAGCGCTTCCTTTCTCTCCACCATCCGGATCCCACCCATCTCAGTCCTCTAAGTGTCCTCCCGCCTCTGACTTTCCCTGGCCATTCTGGGCTCTGGGTATACATTGCAGCATGGAGGTGTTTGGGCTTCTCTCCCAGGTGGTTCCTAGGGTCTTTGCTCCCAGAATCACAGGGTCTAGGAGATGGAAGAGACTTCAGCCATCCTCCCAGGACATTCTAGTCTCAGCTTGCATGCCTCCAAAGATGGGATGCTCACTGTCTGTCCCAAAAAACCCATTCTATTGTCTGGCAGCTGAATATTTTAGAAAATTTTTCCTTACAAGATCTAACTCTACTATGTGGACTTGGTTTTGTCCTCTGGGTTACACAGACAAACACTGCATGCCTTCCACAGGATAGCTCCACAGCTATTTGAAGTTCGAGCTAAGATACTCATTCTGTTGCAAGTCAAAGAACCCATACTCTCTGAACTGTACCCCACAGAATGAAATCTTGAACCTTCTTTTCTGTTCATCTGACTCTCAAAGTGGCAAGATTTTTAGGAACATGGAAGCTCAGTAAGCATTAGACAAATAGACACACGCACACGCACATGCACACACAGACAGACACACACACACGGAGCAAAGGAGTATGGATCCTATCCTGCTGTTCTCCCCTGCTCCCACGCCCTCCATGGCCCAGTCTCAAACTCATTCACAGGTGACTTCATAGCCCTCGCTCCTACATTTAGTGACTGTGTGACTGTACCCAGCAAGCCAATCTCTTGCAGGCCCCAAGTTGGGGAATCCAGGGTACTCTGTGTGCAGAATGAACATGGGGTTCACGCCTATGTCCCCATCTCCACAGCCAACAGTGATGAAAGTGACATCATCCACGCAGTGCGGGTGGAGAAGAGCCCAGCAGGGAGGCTGGGTTTCAGCGTGCGGGGTGGCTCTGAGCATGGCCTGGGCATCTTCGTCAGCAAAGTGGAAGAGGGGAGCAGCGCAGGTGAGTGGGACCCCAGGGGAAGGTACAGGCCTGGGATGTGACCTCCATCTCATTGAGGACAGGGTACAGTGATCAGAGATGGAGAAGGTCCCTTAGACCGATCCTAGTCTCACAGGGAACCCTCAGACTCTACTCTGAGGGAGGAAGCTCAGTTTTACCCCCACGGAGCCCCACTCCCTACTTCCCGTGCAGAGAAGGCTGGCCTGTGCGTGGGGGACAAGATCACGGAGGCGAATGGACTGAGTCTGGAGAGCACCACCATGGGCAGCGCCGTGAAGGTGCTGACCGGCAGCAGCCGCCTGCACATGATGGTGCGGCGCATGGGCCGTGTGCCCGGCATCAAGTTTTCCAAGGAGAAGACCACATGGTAAGTAGCATCTGACCCTGCCCTGGCTTTGCCCCAGCCTCCTGCCCCCGCCAGTGCACAGGAGAAGCCTCTGCTCCTCCTGTTCTCGGGATATAGTAAACACTGGCACCCCAAGGCCTGACTTTTTTTTGGTGGGACTGGGGTTTGAACTCAGAGCTTTATGCTTGCAAAACAGGCACTTTACTGCTTGAGCCACATCTCCACTCTATCTTGCTCTGTTTATTTTGGAGATGGGGGTGGTCTCAGAAGTTTTTGCCTGGGCTGGCCTTGAACCACAGTCCTCCCAATCTCAGACTCTGAAGTAGCTAGCTCCCCAAGCGTGACCTGGAAGTGAAGAAAGGCTGTTTTCCCCCACACCTCTGCTCTCCAGTATCAAGGCCCTGTCCTCTCCTGCTGTGGCTGTGACGCCTGAGCACAGAACACTGCCCCAGCAGGGCTAGAAATGGATCCCCAGGACTAGGGGCAGAAGTTAGTGACAGCGTGTGTCCTTAGCATGCTCTGTGCCCTTGAGTTCCATTCTTAGTGCCAGAAATAAAAGAGAAAAGAGGAATGGGGCCCTGCATGTTAGAGCTCCACGATAGAGAGGTGATTAAGCTGGAAGTTTGGCTGAGGGCCCCTTGCCACTGTCCCAGGGTGGATGTGGTGAACCGGCGCCTGGTGGTAGAGAAGTGCAGTTCCACGCCATCTGACAGCAGCTCGGAGGACAGTGCTCGACGCATCGTCCACCTGTACACCACCTCGGACGACTTCTGCCTGGGCTTCAACATCCGAGGGGGCAAGGAGTTCGGTCTGGGCATCTACGTGTCCAAGTGCGGGCAGGGCTGAAGTGGGGGTCGGGCTGGGAGTGGGGCCTGGCCAACGATTTGTCCAAATGAGAACCAAAGTCAAGGTGGAGCCTGGGGATGGTGCTCAGTCAACAGGAAGAGGCCAAGAAGCATGGCTGAGCATTCTCAGAGCCAAATGAAGGGAAATCAAGATTGCGGGGAGGGAGGCAGCCAGAGTCTTTGCAACTGATACCTCTCTGACCCCAGAGTAGACCATGGTGGGCTGGCCGAGGAGAATGGCATCAAAGTGGGGGACCAGGTCCTGGCAGCCAACGGTGTCAGGTTTGATGACATCAGTCACAGCCAGGCCGTGGAAGTGTTGAAGGGCCAAACACACATCATGCTAACCATCAAGGTGAGCGGGATTGAAGGTTAAGGAGATGCCAGACTAGGACTTCCCAGACTGCTCTAGGTCTATTTTTGTTGCTGTTGTTTTAGTTTGGTTGTTTGTTTGAGATAGGATCTTGCCTCAAACTCACTTTGTAGCCCAGGCTGGCCTTGAACTCACAGTCCTTCTCCCAAGTGTTGGGATTACAGGCATGCACCACCATGCCTGGCTCACTCTAATTCTTAATTATGCTCCTTGCTCTGCCACTTACACATATCCACAGCCATGTGGAAGGGAGAGTAAGTGTTCTCATCCCCATTCTGCAAAAGAAGAAACTGAGGCTCAGTGAGGCATAGTAACTACAAACCAGTTAGTTATTTAGCTGGTCAGTAACCTCACCCTGCCCTCCCCCTCCTCCCCCCCACCCCCCTGCCGATTGCTTGGGCAATGTCTCTTCTTCTGAATGGGAAGGGCAGTGTCTCAGGTTGAAGGAGCTCTACCCTTCTCCTTCCCCGAGCCTTCACTCATCTTGCCATTCAGTGCTTGTTCACTGCCCCACTGCCATCCCCTCAATTTCGCACATCCATTTCTCCCTTTCTTTCTTCTCAAATTATGCCAGACACTCCTCATCACTCCTGCTCTGTCCCTTATTCATTCATTCAACAGTATTTTGAGTATACCTACTTTGCCAGGTACTGGGGCTGCAGCAGTGAATGGGACAGACAAAGCCTCTGCTCCTGGGGTGAGGGTGGGGAGGAGAGACAGGCACACAGGTGCTTGCAGACTGGGACAATGCTATCAGACATTAGCGGAAAGATGGGATGGACTAATTTAGGAAGACCCCTATAGCTATGGGTGTGTGTATTAGGACAAACCTCTCTTAGACAGTGACACTTAAAAGAGCAAGAACGAGCTAGCCACATGCTGATTGAGGGAAGAGCAATAGGCAGACAGATGAGCAAGTGCAAAGGCCCTGAGGTACAAAGGATCTTAGCATGTTTAGAAATAAAGTGTCCCATGTAGTGAGACATGATGGACTCAGAGGAGACATGAAGTTGAAAAGTTTTACTCCTGTCCCATCTCTCCCTCACTCTTACCTGCCTATCTCACCTGTCCTGTGCTCACTGTGCCCTCCCCAGGAAACTGGCCGGTACCCTGCCTACAAGGAGATGGTTTCTGAATACTGCTGGTTGGACAGATGTAAGTGACTCAGGTTCCCAAAAACTGGAGGGAAAAGGCTGAGGTCTGAGGGTGGGGCCAGGGTCTCTGAAGTAGGAAAGAACAGGGACCAAGATGCCCTCAAGATCTTCATACAGCCCAGAGCTGCCCCCTCTGAGAGCTGCCAGGTTCAATTCCAGGCTCTTGTAGGGCCCAGAGCCCTGGAGGATGCTTGTCCGAGGTCTCTTACAAGTTGGTAGCAGAACTGTGGAGCAGCTGGTGGCTCTAATCATGGGGGTTACCTGAAGTTCCTTCCTGTGTCCCCAAGCCAGGGATGGTCTGCAAGCCTCACAGGCCTGAGGTAAGCCAGGCGGACTCTAAAGTGACCCTGCCTTCCCCTCCCTACAGTGAGCAATGGAATGTTGCAGCAGCTGTCACCAGCCTCTGAGAGTGGCTCCAGTGTCTCCTCCTATGCCTCCAGCGCCCCCTGTAGCTCAGGCTCCCTGAGCTCAGACCACATGGACGTCTGCCTGGGCCCAGAGGAGCCAGGTGGCCTTGGCCCCAGCTGGGGGCGGGCGGACACAGCCATGCAGACGGAACCCGATGTGGGGGGCCGCATGGAGACTTGGTGCAGTGTACGGCCCACTGTCATCCTCAGGGACACCGCCATCCGCTCTGACAGCCCCTCTCCAGCCTGCCGCCTTGACTGTGCCCTCTCAGAGTCCCCCAAGACTGCTCTGCTCCTGGCCCTCAGCCGACCTCGGCCCCCCATCACACGCTCCCAGAGCCATCTGACCCTGTGGGGTACGCGGGGGATGGGTGGCTGCTTCCTTCACAACCCCGTCCAAAATCTGCCTCATGTTCCAAGGAGTGACTCCAGACCTCCCTTTACCCTGGCCTTGATGCAGTCACAGCTCCAGCCTCAGAATATACTCTGACCCTACTCTGGGCTCCATTTTAAACCAGACCTGGGTCCCAAACCCACTGTCATTCCCAGCCCCAGCTCTGGGCCCCAAACCAGCCCTAAGCCCAGTCAGTGGAATGCCTAGGCCCTGTTTATACACACACACACACACACACACACACACACACACACTCTCCCATACAGATTCCCTACATAGCTGCAGCTGTGCAGTGGGGGAGGGGTAGAAAGCTGGAGGAGGAACCCCTCAATCTCCCCACCCCTGCACGATTGCAGATCCTGTCTGCCCCCACTCTCCCTCCTCTCTGCCCCTAGTCCTCCCTTTTGCCCACCCTCCAGCCCTCTGGGGGCTTCCTCGTGTCTGCAGAGGAGAAGAAGCAGCAGAAGAAGGAAAAGTTGGGGTCCCCCAGGGAGAAGGGGGCCCTGCGACGCTCCAAGACGCTCATGAACCTCTTCTTCAAGGGAGGGCGGCAGGGGCGGCTAGCAGGGGATGGGCGCAGAGAGGCCTGGACGCTGGACACCGGTAGCCCTGCCAAAGCCCGCCCTCGCCTGGACCTGGAGAAAGGTGAGTGCAGAAGTGAGCAGGCAGAGAGGATGGGCAAAGTCCACCTGGCCGTTGAAAGCTTACATTGCTTCACCATTCAACTCCGTGAAGCTCAGTCTCTCACAGGTAAAATGGAGAATAATACCTGTCTCCTTGCAGGTACTGGGGAATAACTGAGCTAGTACATTGTCTGGCATACCGAAAGTGCTCAGAAAATGTAATGGTCATTGTTATCCTGCCTTATCTCTCATTTTTACAGAGTAGAGTCATAGCACAGCAAGGAAGTAGACAAGCTCAGCCCAGAGCCCTTGCTCTTGGTGGTGGTAGGAGTGGCCCAGCATGCTTTTGCTAGGAGTTTAGCTTCACATCCTCCACCCAGAGCACTACAGACCTGGCCTAGCCCTAGACCAGTTCTAGAGCAGTGTCCAAGCAGAAGTGCCAGCCCAGGCTGTGCTCATGTGAGGCTTCCTAAGGACTCTTACAAGAGGCCTCTCAACCCTGGTGAGGCTCAGAGATTAGACCAAGAGTGGATGAGCTAAGACTCTTAAGAGTTACATGTGACAGAAACTCAAACTAGCTTTTAAAAGCCTCTCTTGTCCCAGCTACTCGTGTAAGCTGGCTTAAATGTCTGAACAATATCATCAGATATGTGTCCTCATTTTGTTCCACTTTTCTGTGGGTTGGCTTCATTACCATGCAGGCTTTGCTAACTTGGAAGAAAGATGGCCACTATTAGCTGGGTGCCACTGGCTCACACCTGTAATCCTAGTACTTGGGAGGCTGAGATCAGAAGGATTGTGGTTTGAGGCCAGCCCAGGAAAATAGTTCTCAAGACCCTATCTCCAAAATAACCAGAGCAAAATGGACTGGACGTGTGACTCAAGTTAGAGCAACTGCTTTCAAAGAAAAAAAAGATGGCTGCTATTGCTTAGCAACCCTTAGGGAGAAGCTTCTCCTTAAATAGCTCCAGCTGAAGCCCTGGGGGACTCTCGTGGCCCAGTGGGGTCACATGCCATGTTGAGCAAATCACTGTGATATGGGAGATAGACAAGGTACTTTTTCACAGGTCAGTGTGTTTACTCTTCTGGAGTGCATGAGCTGACAATGGGGGTAGGTGGATCCCCAGGGGACAATCGGGATACTGTTTCGAGAAGGGAGAGTGTGGACCTCGGGTAGGTGAAAACAACCAGAGGATGAGGGGCTGGATGCTGCCCTCCTCCCCAGGTTTGGATGTTCTGAGTCACAGTCTCATGGGAGAGACATCTCCCCAAATGAGGGCTGACCGGCCCCTTCCCTCACCCCTCTCTTCCTGCAGCTCCCATGGCCCTGCTCTCTCCTGGTTTTCAGTCCACCTCTCTGGCCACTCCTCTCCTTCCAAGGCCTCTCTTTTCCCTTCTGTCCCTTGAAGGTAGGTACCCTGTGTCCTTGGATTCTTCTCTCCATTCATTCCCAAATAAATCTCCCTCAGCAGTGCTAACACTGTACCCTCTCTGGATTCATAACCATCACTGACTCCGTCACCTGACTGAAGTCCCTAATGGAGCATGACCTTCAAGGCCCTCTGTGCCAGGCTTCCAGTCCCTGGTGCTGCCTACTTCCAGCCAGAACTCTCTATCTCAGCCTATCCTGAGCCCTCCCAACCCCTGCTTTCAGATTGGGGGCCCAGAGCCTGTGGCTGAACCTCTTTCTTCTTCACAACAGGGGGCGTGGGTCCTGTGCAGAAGTTTGTCACCTGGAGACTGAGAAGAGGTAAATCAATCAACCCAAGACCTGTTCAATGGTGACAGATGAGAGTGCATGTTGGGGTCAGCTTAGTGGCTCTGGTCTGAGCTCCTTTGGGGTCAAGCATGAAGGATCAGGAAGAGAGGTGTCTATTGGGGGCAGCTCAAAGATTTGGGCCAAGCTTACCAAAAAAGATAGGGCTGCAGACAGATAGGGGATGCATTTTGAAGGAGAGACTTGGAGCAGTGAGGGAACCTCTTCTAGGACTTGAGTGGGGAACAGAGTGTGGATTTTTAGGGAGCCCAGGGCTAAAACGCCACTAAGGAACAGGCTGGTATGGGTCATTGATGGGGACTGAAAAGCTGAGGTTGGCATTGCATTAGCGGCAGGTCAGTATGGAAGACCATGCAGGGGAGCATAGAGGCCAGGCTGGGATTATGTCCCAGGTACCTGGGCCTCTCATCTGGCCTGATTTGAGGCCTGACTCCTGCTAAGGAAAGTGCTCCACCCCTCCCCTATATCTCTTGGCTCCTTCATCACACCCTTTTGCTCCTGCCCCACAGAAAGAGAGAGGGGCCGGGCCCTGCTCTCTGCCAGGTCTGGAAGCCCCTCCAGCCAGTTGCCCAGTGTGGATGAGCAGGTGCAGGCCTGGGAGAGCCGACGGCCCCTAATTCAGGACCTGGCCCGGCGGCTGCTGACTGATGACGAGGTGCTGGCAGTCACCCGCCACTGCTCCCGGGTAAGCCTTCAACCTGTCTGCAGCCCTGGCTCATGGTCACTCAGTCTCCTCGTTCCTCATTTATTCTAACCATTGTCCACTGACCAGTACCTGGACTTGACGACACTCGGCTCTGAGCGATAAGTAGGACTGGGTGTATCTGCTCCAGTGCTCCAGCGAGCCACCCCTGTTACACACACACACACACACACACACACTGAGCTCAGAGTCAGGAAAAGGAGATAGCAATACTTTGAACCTGACACCCTTAGTGACGAATCATGCAGTGTGCTGTGAAGGGAGCACAATAACCCAGAACATGAACCATAACCCAGGAGGTGCACATTAACTGGCCTGGCCTGGGAAGGGCTCCTGGGAGACAGGATGCAAACAGGTGATGAGCAGGGGGAAGTGGGACCTAGCAGACAGCAACCCGTGCCCTCTCTGAGCCCCCAGCTTTGCCCACCCCCAACCCCTTCTGCTCCTTTGGCAATCAGCAGGTCCAACCTTATGCCAGGCCCCCTTCTCTATTCAAATAAGCAATCCTTTGCATTCCCCCCTACACAGTTGGTATTAGAGCGTGTGTGTCTGGCTAATGCATGTGTATGTCCATATGTTGTCATCTGGAGCCTAAGATGTGGTCAGTCATGCATCCCTTTCCCGGGGCCTGGTTCACAGCAGAGCTGCCAATGGGTGCATATTGGGAGGCTGCCAAGGGACTCTGGGCTAAACAGTGTGAGTCACACTTTAGCTCTCAGCGCTAAGTAGGGCTGTGTGTCCCTGTTCCAATGAGTTGCAAGTCTGAACTTTGGCCACTAGGTGGGGCTCTGTGTCTGTTTCTTTGCCCAGTGCTCTTTTCCTCATCCCTCCACTCTCCAGTCCTCCTCAAGTCAAGAGGTCATCTCACTGGGTCTCCATGTCACATTCAGGCTTTACATGCTGTTCAAATCCGACCCAAGCCCCCTCTGGGATAGAGCCCTGGTCTGAAGGATTGGTTAAGTTCCCCTTGTGACTGGGAGGTGTAGCCCTGAGCCCCAGGCCTCCCTTCTCTCTTCTGTCTGAGCAATTCTGCAGAGCAACTAGACCAGGAGTTACAAAATTTACACTTTCCAAGTCACCTAGTGACCTCTAATTAGGCAGAATACAGTACAAATTGCTTTCCCTCATGTTTAAGGTCCTCCCTGGTGTGACTTCCCAACCTGCTAGCCTCAGTCTTCCTATAATCTTCCCACAGCCACCACCACCTCGGCTCATCTAGGTTATGAACGGTAGGGGCACTAATCACAAAGTACTCACAACCTGTGCAGCCCTACATGGACGGTCTTCAGGGGCCTCATGCCATGTTAAGCCTCAACTGATTCATTATTCCACATGACCTTGGAGCATTTTCCTCCCCACATCCATGCTGTTCCCTGCATTGATCCTATAAGAGGTGGTATAAATGCCACTGCCTCCAGGAAGCCCACTGTGATCCACCCTCTTCTGAAACTCCCTCTGCCCATTGCCAGTGGTTTGCAGTTCCCTGCGGTACGTGGTTCATCTACCCCTTGTTACCTCTAGATTGAGTTCGTGAGGATCTGGGACAGGGTCTTTGTTACTGTGCCCCCACTGCCCGGTACAGGGAAGGGTGCTGAATGCAGGCTTGTGGACTTGAATGATATGTACACATGTGGCTAGTTCTGTGCAATGTGTGTCTCTCTCTGGACAAAAGGGGGTATATTATTGATATATTCATATGTGAGTCCCTGAAACTTTTTGTGTGGTTTTGGGCCACACACATAGTTTATATTTTATTTATTTCCAAACATTTATTGATGACTCACTCTGACCACCAGAGCACGCCCCATCTCTTGTGTATGCTGGTAAGAAATGTTCTGGATGAATGTTCATTTCACCACCAGAGGGCGGTGTGCTGTCCAAGTAGGGTGGCTCCCTGTGTCCAGTTCCCCAGGGTTCTTGGGGTGTGGCATCTAGGCTGGTGGTAGCCAGGCAGTGCCAGGCAGAGGATACTCACTGGAGAGCCTTTCTGTGCAGCTTCCTGTTCCCCAAAGTCCCTATTCCAGCCCCGAATAAAAGGGTTGGGACAACCAGGCCCATGGCCTAGCACTGGGTTCAAATTCCTGCCTTCTGCCTGGGGGCTGAGGGTGGAGAGGAGAGTCTTGTATCTGTACATCTTTTTCCAGCACCTAGCAGGAAAGAGCTGGAAGTCTTGGGTTCCAGTCTGTCCTCACACTTCCTTATCTGTGTGACTTTAAGCAAAGTCTGAGCCTCAGTTTCCTCATCCTTAAAACACAGAGTTAATGACATCTTTTAGAGTGGCTGCTTAGAGACCATACGTAAAAGGTGTAGAAAAGAGCCTGTCCCCAGCCATTATTGTCATTGGTATTATTGCAGATCTGCCATGATTATTGCAGGCTTCCTCACAGTCACAGAGATGAGAGCATCCTGTGGCCTTCTGGGATTGGGTGCGCTTCCCCTAGAGCATGGAGGACCGTGGGGTCCCAGGGCCCCTGCATGCTCTGATGTTTCCCCTCCCCAGCTCTGAGTCCCCACTGCTGTGTGACTGTGGCGCCTCTGTCTGCAGTACGTGCACGAGGGTGGCGTGGAGGACCTGGTGAGGCCCCTGCTGGCCATCCTAGACAGGCCCGAGAAGTTGCTGCTGCTGAGGGACATCAGGTGGGAGGGGCTCGAGGGGCGGGCTTGGGAATAGGAAGGGGATCCCTGATACCTCCCCCAGAGTGTCCATAGCCACAGCTTCTCCAGGGGCCTCCAGAACTGAGCCCTGCTGACCTGGCATCGCTTGCCTTCCTCTAGGAGTGTGGTGGCCCCCGCGGACTTGGGCCGCTTCGACAGCATGGTGATGCCTGTGGAGATGGAGGCTTTTGAGGCCCTCAAGAACAGGGCAGGTTGGCAACTGGGGCAGGACTTCTGGAGCCTGGGCCCCAGATGGGGGTGGGGTTGGGGGTAGAGAGCAGCAGAGGGGTTGCCAGACTCATGGGGAATGCCTGGTCTCTGACCTTCTCTACTCTTCGACCAGTTCGGCCTCCTGCTTTGAGACCGGCCCGACAGGACACACCACCCAAACGTCACCTCATCACCCCTGTGCCTGGTCAGTCAAGAGTCCCAGAGCATAGGGAGGGGACACAACCCTGGGGGATGTTAGGGGCAGAAGAATGGGCCTTCCAGTCCTGCTTCAACATGGGGTCTTCAGAGGTACACTGCGCTTTCCCCAAGAAAAGTCCAGTCTACCAGAAGCACTGTTATCACGTCGCTCACTCCCTGTATATTAATTCAATGTTTCAGCCCCATTCCCTTTTAAAATCTAGTCTCTTAGACACATTAAAGTAGGAGTGTATTACAATGGAAACTATTAAGATACTATTTTAACAGACTGTATTTGTCTGCCTGCCCCTGTGGGCAGTGTCCCTTCTGGGGTGAAACACTGCAGTGGGCCAGGTGTGGTTGTCACCAACTTCCACCCCACACAAACAACAGCAAGACTGGGGTCTGAAAAGTAGTCTGGGCTGGGAAGCAAGGAGGGGGCAGCCTGACCTTGGCCTTGTTCCCCCAGACAGCCGAGGAGGCTTCTACCTGCTGCCTGTGAATGGTTTCGCTGAGGAGGAGGATGGGGAGCTGAGGGGGCGGCTGGGGGGCCTCAAGGTCTCCCTGAGTGCCTCTGCCCTCCACCACCATCATAAAGGAATCCCCCCTCTACAAGATGTGCCAGTGGATGCTTTCACCCCACACCGAAGCACATGCACACCTCCTCCCCAGCCACCCCCTGTGGCGCCCCGGCCCCCACGGCCCAACTGGCTACTGACTGAGCCCCCAAGCCAAGAGGAACCTCAACAGAGCCAGAGCCAGGGCACAGCCCAGAGTCGCAGCAGCAGCCACAGTCGGGGTCGAGGCAAGTCCCCTGGGCGCAGGCGCTCGCCTTCCCCAGCGCCTATCTCCATCTCCAGTGCAGCCAATGGACGCTACCACAAGCCTCGGAAGGCCAGACCCCCTCTGCCACGACCTCTAGATGGGCAGGCATCCAAGGAGGAAGCCAGGCAAGGACCCTCAGCGAATGGAAGTGGTGAGACAGCTGAGGAGGTGGCCATGAAGGCTCCCATTGGAGAGCTGAGGACAGTCACACTGTCCAAGATGAAGCAATCCTTGGGTGAGTCCAGGTGGATTGGGCTGGGTAGAGCAGCCTCCTGGTTTGGGGGAGGTTGGTGCTTGATTTCCAGGGCCTGGGTTCAGGGATCGGCGATACTGAGGTACGCAGTTGGAGGATTTAGATTTGAGGGAGCTGGGATCTGGAGAATTTGGGAGTTGAGACTTCCAAATGCTTGCTGTTCTCTTGAACAGCAACAGAACTCAGGGTTTGGGGAGACACTGGAGACCCGGGATTTGGGGTGTGGCTGCATTTTCACCCTGTGCTTCTGGCCCTCCCCAGGCATCAGCATTTCAGGGGGTATTGAGTCTAAGGTGCAGCCCATGGTGAAGATAGAGAAGATCTTCCCAGGGGGCGCTGCCTTCCTCAGCGGGGCCCTGCAGGTGGGTGAAGCACCAGGCCACTCCAGAGCTGAAGCCTGGTGGGGCTGCTCCTTGCTCAACTTCCAGTCAGACAAGTCTAGACCAGGTCGTGGGAGGCAGCATGGGGGCAGAGGGGTCAGGCAAGCAGGATGAGCAGGCCTAGGGGAGAATTTGTCCCCAGTACTAGCCTGGGCCTGAGATGGCCCATCCTGTTCTACATCAAGCCCCGAGGGACAAAAGGCCATTGTCTGCGCCCACCCCGCCCCCAACAGCTCCAGGCACAAAAGTCTCATTGTCCATCCCTTGCCCAAGATGGGGGGGGGATCCTAGCTGTTGGAGGTGAGGCTGCTGCCTGTAGGTTGGATTCTTTCACCCCCTTCCCAGGCTGGCTTTGAGCTTGTGGCAGTAGATGGAGAGAGCCTAGAGCAGGTGACCCATCAGCGAGCAGTGGACACCATCCGCCGGGCTTATCGAAACAAAGCTCGGGAGCCGATGGAGCTTGTGGTCAGGGTCCCTGGGCCCGGCCTGCTGTCCTTAACCTCTGGCCAGCCAGCCCTCACTGATCAGTGCCTTCCTGCTGACCACTCTTCTACCCACTGACCCCTCCAGTTCCCTCCTACTGGCTCCCAGAACCTCCCCTGAGAAAGCTCAGAACACTCCCATGGAGGCCAGGCTCCTCCAATGAACCTCCAGCCCAATTTCTTCCCCAACCTGCGCCCTCCTCCATTAAAGGTCACCTTGAGCCTTCCCACTGACCTCAGATTCTCCTACTGACCCTAGGTCCTCCTACTGTCTTTTGAGATTCTCTTCTGTGAACCTCCTGGAGACTCAGGCACCTCCCAGTGTTGTATGCCCTGTCTACCTGAGCTCCACACTGGTGGCTCTGATCTTCCTACCTTCTTTCCTCCCCGTCAGTAGGTGTCCACAGACAAGGTGCTAGCGGGCAACCTGTGTCACCCGCACTCATTGGTCCCAGTACAGAAAAGGGGGGATCAAGAAACCCAAGGTCTGGAGCCTGGGATTGGTAGATACTTTCTCATTATGTCCCCCTCCTCCATTCCCCCAAACATTAAGGGGCAAGATTTCTGAGAACCACCAGAGGGTAATGTATCCTTCCCCTAGTCCCAAGCAGCAATCAGTATGAGTCAGGGTGGAAAGCTTTTCTAGTCCCTCAAACACAGAAATGATTTCATGTTGTGGTCCACTAGTAAGGACCTGACTTTCTGCTGAATTTGTCAATCTCCCATTACCCTTCTTCTCTAGAAGAGTTACAAAGGGCTGGAGGTATGGCTCAAGCAGGTAGACCTGCTTTGCACTTGCAAAGCCCTGAGGTTCAAACCCTGAGTAGTAAGGGTAAGTGAGTAGCTAGCAAAAAAGGCATGGAGGTCAAACAAGCTCCCACCACCACTTGTATATCCAGCATACACATTTTAAAAACAAAATTTTTTTTTTAATTTTTTTCTTTGGGTTTGTACAAGAAATTTACAGTGTGAAAAATATACAATGAAAATGAGGCCATAAACCTGGGTGTTGGGAGGGGCTGCTTGGTCACAAACAAAAAATAAACAAGACATTGCTGAGTTCTTCCTTTGGTCTGACTTCAGCCCTCTCAGCCCAGGAGGCTGCAGAGCTGGGACAGGGGATCAGACCTTAGTCTCAACCCTGTCCCCAAACATGGGCACGGTGGGGGCAGGCACATCTGGAGCAGCTGGTGCCATCTGGCTCTCCCTGGCTTTGGATGGGGGAGAATGTGGAGATGGGGAGCCCTTCCCTCTTTCCAGCTCCCCCGGCGGGTAAACCTCTTCGGCAAAGGGCTGGCAGTGGCACTGGCAGCAGCTGGGGAGTGAAACAGGCAGAGTGAGCAGGGGCCTCTAGGTGACAGTGAACACAGGGACCGTCAAATGATCTGATCTTGCTCCTCCAAGTCACAGGGACACCTGAATTTTTGGCAGAGGCCGAGGGGCCTGCATCCCAGGGGGACAATAGGCTCTATGGCTCTGACTTGGGGATGCTCAGTGGATCCTGGGGCCTGAGTGGACCTGTGGCTCTGCCACCTTGGGCCAAGCTCCCTGAAGAGATGGAGCCCTAGATTTCAGTGGCAGTGATCTCCTCCAGGCAGATACAGGGAGCAGGCTCGGTCAGACCCAGGTCAGCAAGCTCACGGGCTTCTAGCTCTAGGCTGAGCTGCTGCAGCTCCTGCTCCAGCTGCCGGTTACGCCGGTACATCTGGATGTAGTTGTGCTGCAGCTGCTTCTGGTAGCGGATCACCTGCTCCTTCTCGGCCTGCCAGGCCAGCCGCTCCCCCTCAAAACTGTCCCGCTGCTCCTCACCACGCCGCCGTTCCCGCTGCAGCTCCACACGCAGCCGCTCCACCTGTGCCCGCAGGCTGCCCCCTGCTCCAGCAGCTGCCCGCTGCACTTTGGCCTCATCGCTCTCTGCCAGGAGGAATGGGTCAGCAGTGGTAGGTGGCACAGGAGGCTCTCGGAGACCAGCCATCTCTGTGTCCAACTGGCCTGCCTTCTCCCTGAGCCGCTCAGCCTCCTGGCGATGTCTCTGCAGCTCCTGGGAGCAGGTCTCCAGCTCCAGCTCCCGGGCTCGTGCAGCCTCCTGCAGGCCCCGTGCTCGGCCCTCACTGACCCGCAGGGCAGCCCGGGCCTCCCTCAGTGCCACCCGAAGGGCCACCAGCTCACTGCCTTTCTGGACCAGCTCTGCCTGAGATTCCTTCAGTTGCTGCTTCAGAAGGGAGATCTCACCTGACTTCTGGCACACCTGCGGGTCAAGAAGGATACTGAGAAGGTTCTCTGAGGAGATGGGCCCTGAGCAGTATTCCCAGGCAGAGGAAGTGCAATCACTACCCCATTTTACAGAAGAAAACACAGATGGAGGAAGGCAAGTCTAGTGACATGCCCAGAGTCATAGGGCCAGTAGAGATAAAATGGGAACACAGACCCAGACCTTTTTTCTTCTGTATCACAAAGCAACATGAGGGCTGGTAGTACCTCAAATGGTAGAGCACCTGCCTAGCAAGTGTGAAGCCCAGTTCAAAACCCAGTGCCACCAAAAAAAAAAAAAAAAAAGGCATCACGAGATACCAAGGCTGCACCACCTGGGTCTGGGGACTGGGTGGTGGCAGATGTGAGAGTGGGAGCAATCAGTGGCAGTACCCACATGTTCAGGTGAGAGGCATCAGAGTCTCTTGGGTAAGGACACGACATCAGAGCCAAATGGGTTCAAATCTTAGCTTTACCCCCACTAGATGTGATTCTGAGCTCTAGTCTTTCTGGGCCTCAGTTTCTTCATTTACAAAATGGGGCTATTAACAGTGTCCACCTCATAGTGAATGCAGTGGGATGGCAGTGCCACTAGCTAAGTGGGCACCAAACTGGACCAATGAGAGACCCAACATGAAGGCATGAGACCCTACCCAGAAAAGGAGATCGAGTCCTCATCTCATAGGTAGGAAGGGCAGAGCCTCTTGGGAGGCTGCTGGGCTGGGCCTGACTCTGCAAGGCATGTGCCAGTGTGACCCTCCTGCCTCCCTCCTGGCCCGGCACACCTCCCACTTGGTCTCCTCCAACCGTGGCCCAAGCTCTCGCTGCTCCCGCTCAAAGGTAGCACAGCGCCGCTCCAGCTGCTCACGCTCCTGCAGCAGCTGCGCAAAGTCGTCCTGCAACTGTCGTTTCTCTTGCTGCAGCTGGAACACCTGTAGCTGCAGCAGCTGCTGGGCCCGCTGGGCCCGCTGGGTGACCTGCTGTGCCTGTGCTGCACAGTCCTCACGCTCTCGAGGCCAATGTCGTGGCCTTTCCCCGAACACCTGGGATAAGAAGGCAGGCTGATGAGGTGTAGGCCGTGCAGACCTGAATCTCGGCCACCTTCAGTTCCCCACTCACTCACTGCTTGGGTGGTTCCCTGCTTAGGCAGAGAAGCAGAATCCACGATTCCAGTAATGATTATGATAATGACATTGACACCAAGTACTTACATGGCACTTCCTGGGCGCCAGGCATTATTCTAAGCACTTTATACCCTTTGCCGTATGTAATCCTCATAATAACCCCATGGAGGCAGAAAGAGTCCCATTTACAGACTGAGAAACTGAGGCTCAGTAAGGTTAAGTAACTTGCTCAAGTCCCAGGGATGGTACACAGCAGTGCTGGGCTGGAATCCATGCACTGACTCTTAATATTGAGTTGCAGATCAGCCAGACAGCTTAGGGCAGGAAGAAGGGACAGGTCGTACTGCTACTGCCTGCCTCTTCCCCAAACAGAAATGCCTTGCCTTGTTCCCAGTGCCTCTGGATGCTCTGCCACACCACCCCCAGTACCGCCGCTGTCCACACCTGGCATATGGAGGTCTCGCTCTCATCCAGATTGTCTCGCAATTGCTGCAGCTCTGCCTCCCTGTCGCGGAGCTGTCCTTCCAGGGCACAGTGAAGTAGGGCCTCATCAGAAGGTGGGGGAGGTGGTGGGGGTGGAGGTGAGCGGTCCCCACAGGAGCTGTCAGGGGAGGCCCGGGGACCACTGCCCAAGAGCCCACCAGCCACACGGCCCCCCAAGGAGCCCGTGCTTTTGCTGGAGGAAGAGCGGCCACTGTCCGAGTGGGAGGGCCCAGTAGGAGCTCCTCTGGCTGGCCCGGGCAGTACCCCTCGCCCAGGGCCATGGGAGGGCAGGTGTCCGCCTGGGGAGTTAGTGGTGGGCTCGGCACCCCCAGTGCTGTAAGTGGGCAGGCTGGACAGCGAATTTCGGCCAGAATCAGACAGTGTCCCTGATGGGCAGCCACTGGCCCAGCCACTCAGTGCCAGGGGCTTGTCAGCAGCCGAGGAAGAAGAGGAAGAGGAGGAGGAGGAGGCAGGGCCCCCAAACAACTGTGTCAGGCTGCCCTGGCTCCCAGACAGCCCAGTGGCCCGAGGTCCCAGGAAGTTAGGCAAGGATGGTGCTCCTCGAGGTTTGGGCAGCACTGGCTTGAAGGCTGTTGGGCGAATCAGGATTTTCTCCATGTTCTGAAACAAGGTCCCACGTGACATTGAAGATGAGCAGCCTCATTCTTCAAAGCCCTTGTTATACTCCCTCCCCTCCCATCTGGGGTCCCCAGCCCCATAAATTAACAATTACTACTACTAGCAAAGGGGCTTGAATGTCAACTTTATGTCAAATGATTTCAAATCATTGCAATAGCCATATAAGCAAAACATTTATCACCATCCTCACATTACAGATGAGAAAATGGAGACTCCATGAGGTTAAAGGCCTTATCCAAAGTTAAACTTAAAAGTTGTTGAATAATAATTTAAGCAGCTAACATTTATTAAGTACTTGCTAGGTACTTGGCACTCTGAAGGTACCAGTGGCTCATGCCTGTAATCCTAGCTACTTGGGAGGTTGAGATTAGGAGGATTGTGGTTCAAGTCCAGCAAGGGCAAATAGTTCACAAGACCCCCATCTCCAAAGTAACTAGAGTAAAATGGACTAGAGGTCTGGCTCAAGCAGTAGAGTTCCTGCTTTGCAGGAGCAAAACTGTGAGTTCAAACCCCAGTTCCCCTGCATCCCTCCCCCACAAAAAATACCCCACAGATACAGGAAATGGGGCTGAGACAGGTTAAGTGATTTCTCTGAGGTCACACAGCCAGAATGAGGTAGAGCTGGCGAATCTGAAGCCCACGTTCTTTCCTCTGTGTAGGCTTCCAAATTCCAGCGTGTGTGTGTGTGTGAGTGAGAGAGGAAGAGCGCTGATTCCACCCAGGTCCCCTAAAAGGGGCTGGACCTTACCTTCTCCAGCTTTCCAGAGACAGGGATGAGCTTTGGAGGGGGGCCACGGAGGTGGGCATTGTGTGCCCGCTGCTCTCGGTTATCCTCAACATCACTGCTTGGGCTGGGGGGCGATTCTGTCCGGAAGTCCTCGTTGATGTAGGTGAAGCTGGTGCCAGGGGCTGCCTTCCTGGGAGGCACAGCTGGGCAGAGTGGCTCCTGTACCTCATAGCCTCCCCGTAGCAGCCCATCCTGCTGGCGGAAGAAGGTGGGCCCAGAGGCACCATGGTGGCGGGGAGGAGGTGGTCCCCCAGGGCAGGGCCGGCCTGAGATGAGACTGCTCACGCTGCCCATGACTGGAGCTTGAGGGGCAGTGGCAGCCTCAGGAGTGGGCTCCAGTGGCACTGGCAGTTTGTGCACAATGGCCATGGTGGCAGAGGCTCAGGCCTGGCCAGGGGCCTCCGAGGCAACCTGTGAGCAGGGTAGTGATGTCAGAGTCCGTTTACTATACAACACCATCTCCTTGATCCAGGAAGAACACCCCCAACATCAGTCATAAGCCTCAATTTCTAATAAAGCTCCCCCTCCAAGTACTAGCTTGAACTTCCATTCTCTCTGGGCCCCACGCCACTGCCTAATTCTCTTCTGGATAGAGCTGAGGACTGACTCCACCAAGCAGAAGTGATGAGGAGTTGGGAGGCCTGGATGGTTATGCAGGGCCACTTGGCAATGGAGACCCAGGCCAGGCCCAAATCTATATGCCCCACAGAGGCCAGGACTCAGGTTAGGCAGGGAGTCCTCATTACCAGCTCCCAGCACAGGTTCCTCCTCTCCTGGGACAGGTGGCCTCATTACAGGGCAGTTTGGGCACAGGTAACGTCAAGGTTACAATCAGCAACTCAGATGGTAATTAGGGAACAAAGAGCCAAGGCTGGGCAGTGCCCCGCCTTCCCCTGCTGGGCCTCAGTTTCTCCCAGACAAGGAGGCAGTGGCAAGAGTAAAGCCAGCCAAACAGGAGACCCCAGTGCCCTTGGGGTCTCCTGCCTCCCAGAGGTAGATGGAGGTTCCTGCTTGTTTCCATGACAACTCCTAGCCTCTCTCACCCAATCATAGGGCCTAGGGAGACTACAGAGGTCCTGTCCCCTTGCAGACTTCTATACAACCTTTGAGATTAGCTATTTCCCATAGTAGCTCCCAGGGGATGCAGGCAGAAGCCCACCACCACCTCTGGCAGCTGCTCTGAGACCTCATTGGGCCTGGATCCCAGGAGAGAGAGCTCCACCTCCTCTGGCCCTGCTCCTTCCCGGAAGGGAACAGCACATCTCCACCCAGAACTCACTACCAATCTTGAGTCGGATGAAGACCAGGACTCAGGCATCTGCTGAAGTCATCATGCAGAGGAGGGGCCAAGAAATGGACAGAGAACTTGAAGGGAGTGGAGTGTGTACACTGACTTCATCATGTGAGTACATGCGCAGAAGCATGAAACACTGTGTGTGTGTGTGTACATGAGTTTATGGTAAAAGGGGTCACTATTAAAAAGTTATAAATGCCTCCGTAGCAAGTGAGTTTGTGGTTTCAATGTAACTGTATGACAAAAAATAAGATAGATGTAGCATAGCACTCATGTACGTGAGTGGGTTTGTGCGTGAACGCTGATGTACCTCTTCCACAAGTGCGTGAACAGGGAGGTAGGTGTACGCAAGTGTGTGTGGAGGTGTATGCAAGTGTGTGTGGAGGTAGCTGTAAGAGTGTGAACATTAGTGGGAGTGGCATGCCTTGGGTGGCATGCCAGGCCACCTGGGTGAGTGCAGCCTGTTTGTTTTCACTCTGGGGGTGGGAGGTGAGGCCCACAGGATCTGACTTCTTTTCCCCATTTGTTGTCCATTCTTGCTTGTGCTCTATTAAATCCACCCAAGTGTTAAGAGAGAGTCCGAACTGAGGAAGGAGTTGCTGGGAGCTGGGCTAGGAGGCCAGCCAGGTGCAGGCCCCTCAGCAGGGCTGGGGGCTGAGACCACCACAAAGCCCAGCCCTGAGGCAGAGCTATAGGGACCACTACTCCAAGGCATGAGGAGGACAGAGAAGACGGGGCTGGCACTCCTGTGTGCACTTCCGCACTTTGAGGGAGCACAGAGAGAGAGAGAGAGAGACCCAAATGGAAGGGCAAGGGCAGCTGCAGACAGACCCAGAGAAACGCAGAGACCCAAAGACAAGAGACAAAGAGAGGCCTGGATGCAAGAGGAAGACCCAGGAGGCAAGGTCGTTGAACCCGCACAGCTTGGCCCCTGAATCCAGAGGGACATAAAGCTGGCTGTGCCTTCAGAGCCAGGCGTCTGGAAAACCAGGCCTAGCCAGCTCAGCTCCCGCTCTTGGAGCCCGAGAGAGGAGGGGCAAGCGGCTCCATTTTGAGAATGCGTAGGTGACGGTGGGAAAAGGGAACCCCTCGTTCTCCCCAGCACTCCCTGAGGAATCACTCAGGCACAGGGACCACCCCCCTTAGTGGGTTGAGGAAAGGGGGAGGGGAGAGAGGAGTCTGGCCCAGATTCCCACTCTCAACAGACCTCAGGGTCTGGGGCTGGAGAGTTGGGGAAAGTCTCCCCTCCAAACTCCAAGGTCCAGCCAAGCGGGATCCAGTCTGGGATCACGAGTTCTCCTAGTCTGAGACAGGAAGCCAGGAATCCCCCGACCCACCTTCAAGAGTCCACCCTCCTTCCATAAAGTGGGGGCAGCTGTGGAATGCCGCCTCCCCCACCGGACCGCACCGTGCAGAAGTTGAGGCACCCCCAGCCCCGGCCCCCTCACCTCCACCACGCTGCTCCATGCTCAGCCCCGGGCCGCCCCAAGCACTCCACAGGCTCGCCGCCCGCTCGAGTCCGCGCGCGGCCACTCGGAGCTGCGCGGCCCGGCCCCGCCTCCGCCTCGCCGGCGCCCCCCGGGCCCCGGTCAGCCCCCGCCCGGCCTAAGTGGGCGGTGCGCAGCTCGGGGGAGGGGTCCGAGGGGCGTCCCCGCCCCAGGGCGCGGATACGCGCAAGCACCCCACGTCACGCGTGTCCGCCAGGGCACACGCAGGAGCTACATGGCAGCGCCCAGGATCCCTCCCTGCAAGGCCTGGTGACCGTGTATCTGGGGTTCAATCGATTCGGGACTTGGCGGGCGGGTCACCTTCTACTCCAGCCCGGGCCCCGGGGCCAGCAGCAGTTGGTCATTGTTTAAGCACAAAGGACCAAGGCGCGGCGGCGGCTACCCCTCCCCCCTCCCCCGCTTCTCTAAAACAAGTCGTTCCCCCCGCAAGACACAATCTCCAGCTTCCAAGTCCAGAGTGGAGGCCGAGGGTCAGCTGCCCCCACCCCTCCTGCTGCCGGTGCCCCGCGCCCCAACACAAGTCGGTGCCGAGGCTTGGTCGCTGCCTGCCCCACCCCCAGCAGTTGGAGGTGGCACACTAGGATTTGCGGAGGCGGCGCCACCTGGCGGTCCCTTCTAACAACACAAGAGTCGCCCCTCACTCTGAGTCCCCCTCAATCCCACTCCCCAATGCTGTGCCCTCAGTCCACGAGCCCACGCTTGCCCCTGGCACGGCTCCATGCTCCTAAACCTGCCCTCGAGTCATTGGTTAGGAGAGAGGTCACTGTTCGGAGAGGGGCGTCCCCTGGCCCCCCAACAATCGCTAGGGTGAGTGGCCCAAACCTGCAGTCCAAACCTACACTAGTCCCACAGCAGACAACATTCCACTGTCTTTCTCAGAGTCACAAATACTCTTACCCTCTCGAAAACAAAACAGTCTTAACACCCACACGACCTTTCCCACATTCTGTCTCAGGCAGCCACGATCACAGTCTCATCCGTCACGTGGTTCCACGTTCCTTCATTCCATAATCTTCCAGGCCAACTCGCACACACAGACACTTGGGGTTGCACGCCTGTGGTGCACATCTTTCACAACTACAAGTCCTTTACCACTGTGACCCAATCACAATCTTAAATAGTCTCCTAACCCTCTTTCATGCCTTGAACAGTCTCAGTCACACAACTTCTTCCATGTATTTCCTCAACTACCAGACTTTCCCTAAGGAGGTCTCTGTGACCTGGCAAGATCAGCTGACGCCCCCACCCCTGGGCAAGGCCAGTCTGCCTCCCCCATGTCCCCTCCTCCCAGGACCAAGGTCTGCCAGAGCTGAGCTCCGCCCCAGGAAGAAGCACCCCCCTCCTTCCAGGCCATAGCCTGGCCGGCTCTCAGCTCTATTTTTAGCTCATGGAAAGGGTTGTTTTTCTTTCTTTTTCCCTGGAAAGGGAAACATTGCCCAGCCACCCTCAAACTCACTCCAAATTCTGTTTCACAAGAACAGACAGAACTCCTCTCCCCAGTTGAGACCCCTTCTCTGGCCTTGCCCTGATCCCAACCTCCCGGGACATCAAGAGCCTCCTCCCCTTTCTGGCAGCTTGCCTAGCTCCTCCAGGCAGCAGCTGGGCTCAGCGTGCGGAGGGGTGAGGGTGGGGAGCAGAAGAGAGGAAGGTACGGTGCTACCCCTCCCTCATTTCCTGGGGGAGGGGGAGACCACGTCCTCTTTCCTACTAGGGCAGCCCCCTCCTACACTGAGGAGCATTTACTTTCATGGATTCCCTGTGGGGAGAGGGACTCCCCCGTCTCGGTGCCTATATTGGAAGGAGGAGTTCCAGGTCCTGCAGAGGGATGGAGGTGTTGGTAAGAGGGACCCACAGACAGCTGCTCCCTGGACTGGGGGTAAGGGACGGGGGGCAGCTGTCCACTGCTATCAAGGGCCTCCCTCCGACAGCTTCAGAGATGCCAACTCCGAGAACGTGTTAGCCAGAAAGAGAAGAGCCCAAGTAGCCCCACCCCAGCTGAACAATCTCCAGGTCTCCCTTGCCACCCGGGCTCCAGGGGGCGTTATGTTCATATTTCTGGTAGAGGGATAATCACCAATCCCGGCGGAGAATGGAATACAGTCCTGCACCTGACCAAGCAAACTCGCCCAGGCCTGGGGAGGGGGTCACCGCCTGGTTGTGGGGTTAGAGGAGCACTGCCCACCCCTCTGTGAAGCAATCACGTGCTCCGATCCTGTTTACGTCTTGGTCTTCACCTGCAGGCTGGCGCCCGGGAAGCAGGAACCTCCGGGTGCGTCCCACCCGGCCCGCCCCCGCTGGCGGTCACGGTTTGCCCCTTTTCCCCAGCCTGAACAGCACAGCGATCCGCTTCGGCCGGTGGCGCTGCCCCTGGAGCTGTTAGGGTATCTCACTGTGCGCGTCCTCTCCGAGAGCACGTGTGTTCGTGTCCCAGGTGCGTGCGTGGGTCTGTGTGCACGCGTGTATGTCGGTCCATCGGTGTGAATTTCTGTAGTTGCTTTGCGGTTCAGACTCCTTGCCTGTGCCCCATGGAGTGGAGACCCCCTCCTCACTCCAACCCCCAGCTTCCCCAGAGGCGGAAAGTTCGCTCTGGAGCAGGGGTTTGTAGAAGGCAGGAATTCCTGCAGCCAGGCCGCCCCACCACTCACCAGCGTCACCTGTGCCGCTGCTCCAGCTCTGGCAGAGCTCCTGCTCCCGCGTGCCCACTTCCTCGCCACGAGAACTCCAGCTCCCCAGCCCGCTCCGGGCTCCGGGCGCCCGCCTAACCCAACCTGGTGAAGCGGGGCGGAGCAGCCGAGGCCGCGCCCCCACCCGGGGAGGGGAGTGGTCTACCCTGCACCCCTAAAGAGCCAAGAGTACTGAGCCAAAAAGTAGCTTGACATTGACCCCGAGGCTGCCCTCTAGATTTCGACTTCACAGTTTACTGGACTTGGCTTTTGACCTGGGGAAGGGGCGGAGAGCACGTGACCGGGATTTAAGCTACCTGGCTGCTCTAAGAGGACTTCACTCCGCCACCCTTTTCTGCTCCGTAGGGAGCCTAACCCCGCACAATCCTGAGAAAGACAGGGAAAACCCCTAGGAAGCAGACAAAGAGGGCTCGGATTTCACTGAAACAGTCCCCTCCCTTCCCCAAACACTTCGGCTTGGGGTTGCCCAAGACGAACCAGTACCTCCCCCTTCCCTGGAGTAGGTGTATGCCCAGGGGAGCCGGCTGCCAGTCTTGGCCCCCTACAGCGCATGGCATGGCTAGGCTTCTCTTAGACTCATAAAGTCCCACCCACAGGCATAAACAGGAAGTTGGCCTGAATTGTAGGGAGGCACCAAGGGTTCCCTCCCACCCTGGCACTCCAGGCAACCTGTGGGAAGGCACAAGTCAGATATCTGGTCCGTATTTGCTGCCTGACTACTTGGCTGTAGTGGAACTCCGGAGTTTAGTCTCTTCTCAAACCCATCTACAGTAGAGGAAGCTTGGAGAACTGGAGTTGTCCCTCACAACCATGTGTGACATATGCAGTGTCAACTTTGAGGACAGGGCTGCAGATCCAACCAGACTCTGCTTACACAAGGCCTTCCAGAGCTCTCAGGGAGATTCTAGAACCAGTTGAACACCTAGGTTAATTTGCCTCAAGCCACTTTGGCTGAGTGCATAAATAATGGCTTCCAGGGACCTTATGCAGAATCCACGGAGGATTCCCTCCTTCTGCTCTCTAGGCTCCAGGAGCTCCCGAACATTCTTTGGAGTAGATCTTCATGTGGAGAGTATAAGGCAGGTATGGAATGGAACTATTTATGTCAGAAGGGGACAGGGGGCTGTTAGCTTCCCCTTCCCCTCATCATTGTGGTTTGTGCTAGGAGGCTGGGGCAAGACAAACCGGCAAAGAGCTGGCATGGTAGCTCAAGTGGTAAAGCGTGCCTGCCTAGCAAGCATGAGGCCGAGTTCAAACCTCAGTTCCGCTTCTCAAAAAAGAGCAACAGGCAAGAATGTGTCTATCCCTCTATCCCAGCTTCACAGAGCTCTCAAGAAGTCCCCTACTGGAAAACCCTAAAGGATGTTTCTTAGAACACATGGGACATTCTAGGAAGACTAGAATGTGGAATTTATGTCCTTATAGGTAGGACTGATCTGGTTTTGTGCATCGGGAAGGCATGGCTGACTTTAGTGTTAGAGGCTGAATGAGGTCTAGAGCCGCAAACAAGGGCTGAACCGCTGGGAGCTGAACTGCTGGGAATGATTACTGTGGGATTAGGAAAGCCTGGCTCCAGCCAGTCTGGGAGAGACCCCCAAGAAAGCAGGCTCTGGAGGAGCTATCCCCACCCCCAGCTTCTTTCCCACCAAGAATAGTTTTGTAGTAGCTTTGCTCCAAGGTCTGTTTAAGGAGGTATTTGTGGCCACAGTTCTCAAGAGACTCTGGACCCCTCCACAGGGTGCCAGAAGCTCCCTTAGATTGACTTCATTGAAAAATAGTCCGGGGGGGGGGGTAGAAGGGGGAGATATAAAGGAGAATGGTGGATATACTTGATATATTGTAAGAACTTTTGTGAAAGTCACAATGTACCCCCCACTCAGTACAATAAGAAAGAACTTGTCAAAATAAAAAACAGAAAAACAAAAAAGTAGTCTTGTTTCCAGAGAGCAGAAAACTTCCTTCTGGTAGCAAAAGATTCTTCCCAGTAACCCAGTGCCCAATGTGTCCCTTCCTCCCCCAATGCTGAAATTGGGACTTTTAGGATACTAGAGGAAGTGACATGAAAAAGTATCATTTGGGAATATTTTTGACATGGTGTGTGGATCATCTCTTTTACAGTGTCCTGCAGGGCTTGTTAAAATGGGGACTTCTATACTCTTCAAGAATTAGAAATGTGTGTGCAGGACAGGGGAGGGAGAGAGAGGAAATCTGGTTTTTGTTAGAGACAGGGTATTGCTGTGTAGCCCAGGCTGGTCTCAAACTCTCAATTCTCCTGCTTTGGCCTCCCAAGTGTTGGGATTATAGGCATGTGCTAGTACAGCTGGCTTGGTTCTGCATTTTTAATAAGACTTAATATGTACCAAGAGTTCTGGCACATATTAAAGAGAAACTTGGGAGACAGTATAGGAGGGAAATGAATGGGGGAGAGATAAGAGTAAAATAAGTCATGCAGGACTACATGCCTGTAATACCAGCACTCGGGAGGCAGAGGCAGGAATATTCAGAGTTCGAGGCCAGCTTGTGTCTCAGGAAAACCCAAAATAGATAAATAAGCTGAGTCTTGAGTCTACACTGAGAGGCGAGTGGTTCACATTACAGAGACAAGGACAGCTGGTTGGGCTGGGCCTGGGCATGTGGCCCAGTGACCCACACTTCTGCCAGGAATCTCATGGAGAGCCTCAGGGAAGTTAATACACCACTCTATCTCCCCTAGGTCAAGAATTGGTATGAGGGGGAGGTGGGATGCAAAGGCCAGGTAATGTTCTCTGCTTCTCTGGGAGCCCACAGCTCAAAGGTTGAAAGTGGTGGAGGGGACCCATCCACTCCCAATTCAGAGAAATCAAGTTACAGACTGGGGAGACACCTGGTGGACAAATAAGAAAGAGCACAGAAACAAAGGCAATGAGAAAAAAATTTTTTTTTTCCCTGCTAAAACTGGAAAAGGCTCTACAAAAAACTCCTCTAATTCTAGCTGTCTGTCTGAGGCAGCATACCATGGAGCCAGTGTCGAGGTGGCAGGCACCCAGGCTCACGGCTTCCTCCTACGGCTCTATGCCCAAACAATTGAGCAGGAGGAAGCCCCCACCTTTGAGACTGTTACCACAGGACTAAGCACCTACGATCTAATTCTAGCAGGTGCTACCTCATGCCTGGCCCAACAAAAGTGGACATAAGGGCTTAGTACCCATCATATCACCCTTTGGCTCTGAACACCTAAAGGCTGGAGTTTCAGCCTCTTCCACTCCAGGTTCAGGGGGTCTGAACTTAAATGTGATTTGTTCGTTTTCACCTCAGGGCTCTGGAGTTACTTCTTCTCTGCTTAGATCTCTTTCTGCAGATGTTTATGTGACCCTCTGCGCAGAGACACATTTTTAGCTCACTTAATTTAAACTAGCCTATAAGCACTCTCTCATTATTACTTTCTATATAGCAGTTTTCACTGAAACTATGTTTTGTTTGTTCACTGCTGTCCCTTCCACCAGAACATAGGTCCTGTGGAAACACAGACCTTACTTATCTTTTTCAGTGCTGTATGTACAGGACCTCAAACAAAGCCTGACTATGGAATCCTGTCGGAGCCTGAGAAGGCTCCACAGTTTAGGACTACAGGACAGGAGCACTAGCAGAGGGCCAAGCAAAGAATCTGTGCCCTAGCCTGTCACATCTGGCTCATTTCAGGGAGCAGCTTTGTTCTACTTTCACCTTGAAGGCTTAGAGGTGTCTGGCTGGTGGGGGTTAGGCTCCTGTCCTAAGCAAGTCTCAGAGTTTTGTGGCCCAGTCCCCTTTTTACCAGAAGAGGGCTTTTTAACCACTAGTCCATTGTCATCCTTGATCTTCTTCAGACGTGCCTTGCTCTTTGGTGGGATGGAAAAGGTGAGGGAATTCTTGTTGAACTCAAGTGGGAAGACACCTACGTCTCCATCAAAGCGGTTTTTGGACACCTGCAGATACCGTTTCCCTGGCCCAGTTACCAGCTTCCTGTCCTGCAGGATCAGAACATTGTCCGCTTCTTGGCTTGCCTAAGGGATGGGGGCAAAGGAAGAAAGGAGTAAGAAGGCATATATAATCAGTGCAGAAAGGTTGACTTAGGACTGTCCCTAGTCACACCTTTCCTCTTACTTCCCAAAGCTTGAGCTCCTTTAAAGCTACTCACTTTGGCTGAGCCAAAAATTGATGCTGTCTGCAGTTCCTTGTCATCATCCTCCTTCCTGGGGTGAATGACCAGTGTCACATGGCAACTATTGTCTGTTGCAAATTTCCGAAAGGCCCCAACAATATAATCTTGAGCTGCAATTCTGTCCCCATCCCAAAAATGAAGAGGTTATTGGACAGTCAGGATAAGTACACATACCCTTAAACCACTTACATCTCTCCAACCCCACTCTATAGCTCCCTCTACCCAAGGACTCACACTCAGGTCCCTGTCCATACTTCCTGCTGCCAACTCCCCTCCCCCGGCCCTAAAATAAAAGAGTATAGTGTATTTGCCTAGAGGCTAGCTGCCTGAGAAGATAAGTGTGTTCAAATTAGACAAGAGAAGGATGTCACCTGTCTGTGGACAGCTGCTCATGACCCATCATGAATTGCAAGTTGTCGATGACCACATGACAAACGTCATAGACGTAGACTGCGTGTTGCATTGTGTCTATTACAGACCTGAGAAGTAGCAATGAAATGAGTCAATTACAAGCAGCCCCCATGACACCTGAGACAGAAGAGCTAACATCCTGAAAACTCTGCTAACTACCCATTCTTCTATCCTCCAACTCTTTGAAAATCCCAAGCCTGTCTAAGGAGACTTGGAAGGCATTCCCTCTGGAGCTGGAAAGGGAACCAAAGGTGTTTAGGTGCTAGGATCTATCAAAAGTGAAACCAGTGGTTCATGCCTGTAATCCTAGCTATATGGGAGATTGAGATCAGGATTATTATGGTTTGAGGCCTGCCTGGGCAAAGTGTTTTGTAAGAACCCATCTCCAAAATAACCACAGCAAAATGGATGGGAGGTATGGCTCAAGTGGTGGAGTGTCTGCTCCTTTGCAGCATTCAAGCCCAGTGTTCAAACCCCAGTCCCACCAATTAAAAAAAAAAAAGAAGGGGGAAACCAAAGTAGCTGGGCTTTGAGGATTTAACCTGATGCTTTGCTGTCCATGGAAAGTCATGAAATACAGTGGCAGGTCCTCAAAGCGATCGGCCCACTCTTCATATTTGTCCAGTTGCTCTTCTAGCCGTCCCACAGCAAACTGGGTCAGCATGACCCGGGCTAGTCTCACATTGCTGATCTCAAAACTACCCCACAGTGTGTTCACCCCCTGGGTACACAAATCCAGAGCATACTCGCTGATGAATGTTGTCTTCCCACTGCCTGTTGGCCCTGCAGGGGGAATAAACACAGCTCTAAGTGATGAATGAAGTCTGACCCTTGAACCAAGACTCTGGTCGAACTTCAAACTTTTCAAGTTTTCAGTGGCCCAAACCCATAGCTTTTTGTCACCTGATCCTCTTCCCTTTTACCCCAAGCAGTGATTTCCCAAAGGGTCACCTGTGAAGACTGTCAGCTCGCCCTTCCGATGCCCCTTCAAGAGACGATTGAGGTCTGGGAAGCGGCTCCAGCGGACACCAGCTGCTTGCTCCACATTTGACAGTTCTCCCAGTACCTCCTCACGGAGCTGTCGGAAAGACACAATAGACTTGTGCCAGGCAGGAAGGGCAGTACGAAGAATACGCGAAAGACTTAAACCTTGGTTCAGGGCCTCTAGAGGCCGGGGCTGTTGGTTACCAGGCCGCACCAAGGAGCATCGCTTGGGGTTCAGTTTTCGGGCAAACAACTTGGCAGCTTCCCAGGACCGAAGGTCATCCCCCAGCCAAAACACTATACGGCGGAACTGTTCGAGGTAAGGGAGTAAGGCAGGGGGTAAGCAGACCATTCCCCGGGGTAGGGAAAGGGTAGGCAGCCCTGTGGCCTGGCTCAAGGCCAGGCTGTCCAGCTCTCGACTAGTCAGGACCACCTCTGCATCTCGACGGCTGATAAGTGGTAATCCAAACAGGTTGTAGAAGGCACTGGGCCGGGGAATGGTAGTCTCCACATAGTGCACTCCATCCCCTTGGCCTTCAGCCCCCAGTAGCTTCAGACCTCGCAATCCTACACCTCCGGGAGAGAACCAAGGGAAGACCAGGCTTCGAGCAGATCGAAGATACCGCACATTGAAACGCCTAAGTGTATCATCTGTCACTTTGGTAAGGCCAAATATCACATGAGCCAGCTGGGCCTCTTCTGGGTCAGGCAACTCCCAAAGAGGTACTGATCGGTCCCAGATCCTCCGGATCTCCTCACTGTCCTCAGCTTCTGGGGCCTCACTAAGCAGGATCCCCTCTCTTGCCCCATCTCCTCGTCCCTCCACGCTGGCCTGGAAGTCTTCCCAGCTTCCCTCTGCTAGGCTCCTCATGCATAGAAATCGGCCTGTGGTTTTGTCAATGAAGAGGCTGAAGGCAGTGGTAGTACCAGTCTGATCCTTGAGCTCCAAAGACCCTACAAAGGGGCTTGGTGCGCGAAGACAGCTGTGGCCATCCTGGAAGGGGATCCCGTGTGCCCGCAAATATTGGCGGATTTCGGTTGTGGTTACAGGCAACACTGGCACCTCCAGAGCTGGGAGAGCTTCCTTCCTGTACCGTCTGCGAGGAGGACCTGGGACCAAGCTGCGGGGAAAGCCCCTCCGACCCATCCACTCCCCTCGGAGGGACAGCAAGATCCGGAGGGGGTATGTACCTCGGAAGAGGACCCACATTCCTAGTGGAGTGGGATGCCACTACTGGAAAACCCTTTGGGTGCCTTCAATAGGCACCACACATAACTTCCCAGAGCTCACTGGCTGGCTTGAGTCTCTGCTCAAATTCCTCTCTCATAAACACCCTCCGGAATCCTCTTCTGCCTCTCTACATTGCTACTTCACAGCTCTGCCCATCTATGACCTTTTCACACCCATATAACTCTAAAGGCTCTCTTACCTTTAGTCCTTTACACCTCACGCTATGACCCTCTACTCAGTCCTTCACCAATACGGTTTCTCTACATCATCTTCTCATCCCTCCACAGACTAGAGCCCCTCCACAGACTCTCCTTGTCCTCATTTCTATAGCTATTCGCATCCTCTCTGTACGACCCTCGGCTCTAGGCCCCAAATAGAGACTCTCTACGCTGCTCCTTCCCCTCACTGGGACCCTCCACGTGATTACAGCGCCCCTGCCCAGCTCCCGCCGCTCCTGCCCGTGTTTTCCTTCCGATCTATTACGAGGAGTTCTGTGGTTCCGGTCCTAGGCCTCACGTCACTATCCCCGTGTCTCCTCTTTCGCACGCAACGTGGGTCGCTCTCACGCGCCACTTGCTGTGAGCTCGGAAGCAAAATTCTCCCGGGCGCCGATGTACCCGGAACCGGAAGCCCTGGTTTAGTCCCGCCCCCGCTCTTCCCAGCTAGAGTTCTGGGCCGCCAAGCTGTAGCCATGACTGCGCGTGGGACCCCGAGCCGTTTCCTGACTAGTGTCCTCCACAACGGACTGGGTCGCTACGTGCAGCAGCTGCAGCGCCTCAGCTTCAGCCTCAGCCGCGATGCGTCCTCGTCCCGCGGCGCCAGGTGAGCCCGGGGAAGCGCGTACGGGGTGGGATGGGGGAATAACGACTCCCGGCAAGGTTCACCCCGGATCAAGGGTCCCAGTGCTTACCCTTACCGGGTCCCTTAGGGAGTTCGTGGAGCGAGAGGTGAGCAACTTCGCGCGACAGAACCCAGGAGTGGTAATATACGTGAACTCCCGGCCGTGCGCCGTGCCCAGAGTAGTGGCAGAATACCGTGAGTGGGGCTGGGCTAGGGCTGGAGGGCGGGATCTGGACCTGACCTGCTAGCCTCCCGGTGTCTGACACCTGACCTTCCCGCTCCCACTCAATTCCACCTGCCTCCTGCCAGTTAACGGGACCGTGCGGGAAGAAAACATTAACTCCAAGTCGGTGGAGGAGATCACAACGCTGGTGCAGAAGCTGGCAAACCAGTCGGGTTTGGAAGTAATCCGCATCCGCAAGCCTTTCCACACGGACAACCCTAGCATCCAGGGCCAATGGCATCCCTTCACCAACAAACCGACGACCCTTGGCGCGATGCGACCCCGGGAGGTCCAGGGTCTTGCCCCATCCCAGATGCAAGCGCAGTGAAGAGTTTCCGCCCATCCCCAAGCCCTTTGTATTGTTGCCACAATAGAGGTGGCTCTCCAAGAACCACCAGTAGAGGTGGGATTCCAAGCTAAGGCAGATAAGTGGAACCCACCTACCGGTGGCTTGGTGCAAAGGTCTTGCTTGGGATAAAGGAGAACTGTTTTTTTTCCAGTGCCCACACAGTGACTGTGTGAATCCCCTAATTCCAATCCAGTTGGTATCCCTGAAACCCAAGATGAGCAAACCTTGAAGTTTTTTGTACAGGGTTCTTGTTTTCTGAAGTCTGAAATGGTAATAGTGATTACAAAACACAGTGAGGGCTGGTGGAATGGCTCAAGTGGTAGAGCCTCTGCTTAGCAAGCATGAGGCCCTGAATTCAAACTCCAGTATTAAAAAAAAAAAAAAACCACAGGGAGAGATCTCAAGGCTGGCTTCTCAAAGAATCCCTGCTGCGCTTAGAGATGGCTTTTCTCTGCTGTGGCCTAGCATTGGGCAAGACACCGATCCATGTGAACATTTGTGTACAGATTAGAAGATCTGGGGCATCAAACTTACCCAAAGTCACACTTGGAGGTCTTAATTCCAAAATGTGTGGATATTAAGCATAAACCTCATTTTTCATTATCTTAATATCAGAAGCAGAGTGTAGAACCCTTCAATGTGGTTAGTGTTAAAATCAGGTGTCTAGGCCTGACTCCTGGAGGGAGATTCTCAGACCAGGTTCCTTTCCCTGTACTCCCACCTCAAGACACCTCTTTGTACAGAAATTGTGTCTTCACTTAGACTAGGGGATAGGAGGTGCTAAAAAGCTCAGAGAAAAGCAGGAGGGCTAATAAGGAGTATTTTGTAGGTTTAGTGGTACATGCCTGTAGTTTCAGCTCCTCCAAAGGCTCACTTGATCCCAGGAGTCTGAGACTGGCCTGGGCAACATGGTGACACCTCCATCTCAAAAAATAGATACTGAAGGGGGGTGATGAAAAAGCCAGGAATGAAGTTAGAAACCCTTGTGTGAAATCTTACTTTTTGTTGTTTGTCATGACCTTGTCACCACAATCAATGAATAATAAGATCTTTAACCAAAGAGCCTATGTATGTGCCTGCCCAGTAGTCAAGGTGGAAGCTGAGGATCCTAGTTTCCTCTGCAAATAGTTTTATGAGGAACAAAGCCAACCCTGATGCAGGAATCACTGCAGCACCATCTGCATAGCTCAGAGCCTGACCCCTGATGATCAGGGGAGGCAACTCTAGATCAAGCAGACTGCTCATAACTGTGGGGAAAGAGGACATTTATTAACCAACATCAGGGGAGGAGCTGAGCCCAGGCTCCCCACTCTGTCACATGCCCGTTCCACCCACCTGGGTGATGAGTGGGGGCATTCCTGAAGAAGTGCAGCCGTTCTCACAATAAATACATTCATTGTGGGGTGGAGGTGGGAGAGGTTTGGACAAAGGGCAGTAAAAACCCGTGGGATTCCACGTTCTCAGCTACAAAAATAACAGTCATCCTCACACAAGGGAATGGGGGAGCTCAGTCAGGATTGATTGTTCCATAGGGGCCTGGAGACTTCTGAGGCCCCTGGACCCTGAAAGTGCCCCGGTGAGGTAGGACAGGGGTGGGAGCCAAACATCCAAACTCCCAGCCTCTGCCCTTTGCATAGTTCCAAGAACGGGCTTCATTTGCCAGTGAGAAGTCAGATCTTGCCTCCCCTGCTCTGATCTAGGGGAAGCAAATGCTTGGTCCCCAAAAGGGAGGCTGGCTCATTGAGTGCAGTGTTGGTCATCCGTCCTAGGGAAGGGACTGCGAGACAGCTAAGTGGGAGGGGAATCTCCCTTTGAAATGTCTGCAGACCAAACCCAACAGACACAGGTCCGAGGCAGCAAGGAGAAGCTCAAGGTGCATGTGGATAGAAATGTAAGCACATGTGTGATTGGTGTGTGTTCCACATATGCCTGGGGAAGGGACATGCCTGGAGCTCTGTTGTTACTCTTCCATGTGACGAAGGGGAGTGGGGAGACTGACTTCCAAGGGCTCTACAGAAAGGGAGAAGAGGGGAATGAGGCAGTCTTATCATCCCACGCTGGCTTGTTCCCAAGCTCTTGCCAAAGGAGTCACCATGTGGGGCTAGGACTGGGGAAGAGGACTAGATAGGGATGGGATAGTTGGGCGAGTACCCCAAATCCAGAAGAAGGAATGAAACACTAGAATGCACCAGAAAGGGGGGTGGGACAGCACTGCAGCCCAGCTGATAAACATTCTCCCATGTGCACATGGAAATGTACGCAGGGCTCAGGTAGTGGCAGAGGTCTTGTCTGGATTCAGGACTACCCAGCACACAGGGCTAAGCAGAGGCTGGTGACATTGAGGCCATCTGGACCTGCAGAGCCCTACCTAGGAGGAAGAGGAAGGATTGGGCAGAAAACAGGACAAGAGAATGAAGTCCTCTCCTCCCAAGCATTTAAGTAAAGGGGATAGAAACTGGGTCTGGGTTTGCAGGGCAGCTGGTCCTGAGGGAGCACCTACCTCTGAGGAGCACCGGTGGGCCTGGGCTGCTCACGTGTGGGTCTTGGAGATTGAGGAAGGGGCTTTGGCTGGGCATGATTCTGGCCATCTGACAGAGATGTCAAAAAGTTGGGAGAAAGGCAGGGAGTGGGGGATGTGAAGAAGGGTGCCTGTGTTGGGGAGGCAGCGGCCCAGACTGGGAGACAGGCTGGCTTGGAAGAGCATTTGTTTGGGAGCCTGGGCTCAAACAGAGCTTTCGTCTAGCTGCTCTACAAGCTGTGTGTGCTTCCTCTTCTCTAGGATGCGGCTCAGTTCCTCTGCAAAGGAGCAGGGTCCTGCTGGCACTCCATTGTTGCTCTGCCTCAGGAGCACATAGCTGTTGCCATTCATCCTTCGCAGCCGGCTGGGCAGTGCCACCAGTCCGTTGGTCAGCTCAGCTGGTGGTGGGGGAGGTGGTGGGGGAGGTGGTGCTGGAGTGCCCTCCCCAGGGATGATCTGGAGGCAGCTGCCTTCCAGCCCCCCAGTCCCCTCCCCATCATCACCATCATCATCCTCTCCAGGACACTGGCCTGAGACCGTCTGCAATTGCACGGCTGAGCCCCCTGCCCGGCCAGCCCGACCCAGTGAGTATTTTCGTTGGCGTCCTCGACTGCCTCCCTGCAGACAAGCCACATAGAGGAGGGATAAGGCCAGGATGAGGCAGAGGCCACCAAGTGCAGCAATGGCTAGCACATAGAGCAGCCTCATGTCAGGTGCCAGCTGTGCCCCATGTGTGGCAGGGGCTTGTGGAGCTGGGGCAGGAGTGGCTGGCCGGACCATGAGGTGGTAGGAGGCCAGCAAGGTACGAAGGCCATTCTCCTCAGCATAGCAGCCATAGTTGCCACTGTGTTTTGGCTGTGTGTCTGTCACCAGCAGCCCATCTACACCCACACGGTAGCCATCCTGCCCATCAGTCAGGCCCTTGCTCCCATTGAGTAGCCACAAAGCCCGGGCAAGGTTGGATGGTTGGTCACAGGGCAGGAGGACATCATCACCCCGGAGCACAGAGCGGGTCTTCAGTGGTGGCGGTGGCCCTGGAGAGGGTGGTGGAGAGGTCAATACCTGCGCATTCCAAGGAGGGCATTGAAAATGGTATGCCACACTGTTCACTGCTAAGTCTCCAACACCAAGCACAGAGTCTGGAATTAGTGACAGGTGACCAAGTCTGTGTGCTTATGCTTGCACATGAGGTTCATATTGTCCCTTCCAGGAAGCAGGCAGTGCCCTGGGTCCTTTCCCCTTCTCTCTCCATGTTCCCATGCTTTCCTCTGGTTTCATTACCTGCCATCTACCAAGGACTCTTAAGCTCCACTTCAGCATAGAGATCTCTCTTCTGAGCAGTAGACTTGAGTATTTACCAAGTACTGGGAAGCTTCAGGTGAGGCCTCAGTCACCTCACTAAAGCCAAAGCTTTGCTAGCAAACTATACCAGATCCTTTCTTTGAATTCCTGCTACAGTGAATGGTACCACCAGCTACTCAGTTGCTTTAGTCAGGAAGCTGGGAGTCCTCCCTACCTCTCACCTTTGTGTTCCAACTCTCACCAGAACCTGTTTCAGATGTGTTTACTTCTCTCCTTCCACAGCTGAGCCCCCATGGAATCCATTCTCTGCTTTGTAACAGTGGTGTGATTCTTTAAAAACAAATCTGATCATGCCACGCCCCTGTGTCAAACTCTTCAGAGGTTTCCTGTTGCTTTTCAGAAAAAGACCAAAATCCTCACCATGGTCTCTGCTCACCTCTCCATCCTCTCCTGATGCTCCACCACAAGGAGCTCCCTTTGCCTGCTGGTCCCTCTGCTTAGGTGTCATCACCCTATCCCATGCCCTCCACCTGCCTGGTTAACTTGTGGGAGACAGCATAGCATTAGTAATCAAAAGCACAAACTGGAACCAGATGGCTTGGAGTCAGGTTTGAATTCTGACCCTGCTGCTTAATATCTGAGTAACTGAGCGGTTTCCTTACACTCCCTGTGCCTCAGAGAGGTTGTCCCTCCTGGGGATAATAATGGCTCTTGTCATAAGAGTGCTGTGAGGATAAATGCAAGTAAGTGTTTAGATTAGTGCCTGACACTGATTAGTAACTAATCAGTAATAATAGTTATGACTAACTTTTGTTTTTCATATATCAGCTCAGTCCCATAATCTTTGGAAAAATACCTATTATTCTTCTGAACGTTATAGTTGTAATTATTAGTAATTACAATTATTTGTGTGACCATTTGAGTGCCTACCCTACTGCCACCACCACTTATCTATAAATTCCAGAAATGACAGGACACTTGACTTTTTTTTTTGGTAGTGTTGGAGATAAACCCAAGGCCTTGCATATGCTAGGCAAATGCACTACCACTGAACTAACTACACCCCCAGCCCAAGTACTTCACATCTTGAACCTGTTTCTCACTTATGATTTGTTTGGGCTCTTAATCTTTGCCAGACTCTGTGCTGGGTCAAAAGCACACAGGTGCAGCCGTTCACATCCAGACATGCCCTTGTAAGTGACGGTAAATGCCAAGGAGGACAGACTGCAGCCTCTTTAGACCCACACTCATCCATGAGTGCCACTTACCTGTATTCCTACTGCTATCACAGCCTCTATTTCCTCTCTCTATGTCTTGTATCAGTGCTGTCCTGGGGACAGAAGATCAGGAGTTATGAACAAGGGGAATCAGACTTTAGTTTCCCCACTGCAAGAGTAGTAGGACTGTTACTAATAACTAGCCTCATACCCTATGGTTGGCAGACTTTCCTCTTCCACTTAGGCCACACATGACCCTCCCCACTCCCAACCTCTACCCTGGGACCTGTTGGCTATGGTGGTGCCTGCCACACAAGCATGGGTGCTGGGGTCCCAGCTGCAGTAGGGGTCCCGGGCCAGGATGCAGTCATAGCAGGAACGATAGCGGGAGCAGCTGGACAGTGGTAGCTGAATGACTTCACTAGAACCCCCCACGTAGAGGCTGTGCTGAGAGCCAGAGAGGATAGCTGGTTAGAAACACCTCCACTTCCTTTTACAGACACACACACAGCCTCTACCCAGCCTTCCCACTCCCCTTCCCTGTTCCAGCAAGGACATCTCGAGGGTCAGAGTCAGGGTTACCTGCATCAGAGAGATGACTAGATTCTCCACAGGCTGGGGCTTCCTGAACACTTGTGTCTCTTCGATAATGTGCATCCCAGAGCCCAGGACTATAGCCTTGTGGATCCAGCCATCCGCTGGTGTGAAAGGATATAGGGTATAGGGTCAGACCCCAAGACCAGGACCTGCTCCCTATACCCCACAAAAGGCCTAAAGGGGACCAGCTCAGGAATCATGAGTCAGGGACAAGGATTTAGCTAGTAGCAGTGGCTCCTCAAGACACTGGGAACTCCAGGCTAGTCATGATAGGAATTATTACTGGGTTCAGAAGCAATATGGATCAGGGATTTGGGTCAGAAGCACCTGTGCCCAGAAAGAGCAGGTCATAGGTGGGTCCAGCAGGAGTGGTGACCTGTGTCCCTGTGAGATGTGTGTAGCGCACATTGCGCTTGAGTAGCAGGGGCCGTCCGCGTGTGGGCACCACAGGCCGAGCCATTAGTGGGTGTAACTTCACAAAGTCCAGGACGAGGGATGGCAAGTCTTGGGATGAGTTGTAGCCTCGGCTGCGCAATGAATCTGTGATGCACTGGGGTGGGGATGTGGTGGTGAATCTCAGGATTCCACCACCTGCTTCCCTCTGCACAAGGCTAGACCTCCTTCCCCCTTCCAGGGCACAGGCTCCAGGTCTGGGTGCTCACCGAGCCAGGCCGGGGTTCAGGCACCCCCCCCTCATAGCGGCCCCAGCGCCGGGCACCATCCTGATACTCCATGTAGGGACCTGCGAAGACAGCCTGTACCTCAGCCAGGTCATAGCGGCAGATGGCTGAGGCCTCCAGAGTCTTCCTAGGAATGGGACATAAGGGAAGGGGCTGAGTCACACCGAGTGGAGCCTGTCCCTGATCCATGCTTAGCTTAGCTGCTTAGCTTGGAGCCACTATTACCTTGGGCCACCCCCACTGCAGACCTACAAGATAGCTTGGTGTGCCTGACATTCTCAATTTGCAACCAGATCTTCCCCCAACAGGCCCTATCTCATTCTTATTGACCTCTGCTCCAGCTCCTGTGTTGTCTCCAGTTTCTTGCCTCCCCTCTGTCCCTGTACTTACCACTGTGTGGTCAGCGTGAAGGCTGCATAGAAGTGTGTGCGGGCTGAGGTGTCAGCATCCAGGCTGCAGACTCCACGCAGTGTCTCATACTGTGGAATGTGGCAGATGAGACGAGCCTTGAGGAAGGATGTCCACTTCTTCTGCAGGATCTTCTTCCCTCCCAGATCACCCTGAATAGGTAAGGCATGGGGTCAGAGGTCAGGGTCCAGCATCAGAGGCCTCTACCCCATGCCCAATCTCAGCCCTATCCACCTTGCACACACGGGCCACACGGGCCACACGATGGTTGCTGCGGCTCTGGGTGAAACTGCTGGAGCCTTCCTCGCGCTCCATAAAGAAGTAGTAAATCTTGTCATCATCACCCACTGCACTGGCCTTGCTCTCTCGCACCAGTACGGAGAACACAAACTCGGCATCTGTGGGTTGAGCAGTGTAGGTGGCTTTTGAGATAAACTGGGGACCTCTCCCTCCCTCCCTCTCCACACCTCCCTTGATAACACATAGGAGTGGAATGGACAGGCTCACCTGGAGACTTGGGGATGGGATGGTCAGCTGCCCAAGGGAGTAAAAATGAAGAAATAAACCCCTACCCCCCATCATCCTGTGCCTCATCCTCCTAACCATTGAGCCAGTGCATTGGTGCCTCCTCAGTTCTTAGAGAATGTGGATGGTGGCTCCGGCGGATGTCGGGGATGCTCCGGAATTCATACCTTGTGGCTGTGTAGAGGCCTCCATCTGGGGCAAGGACATGCCAGGCATGAGAGACATGTCATATACAACAGGGCACAAAACATAGGTGGCAAGTGTTAGCAACAAGATCCACATCCTAAACATAGTGTCCTTGTGGATGAAGCACTAGGATGAAGAGGAGCGCCTGCTCACCAATGATGAGGCCTGTGAAGCCACGGGCTGGGTCATAAGGACACTTCTCCTTCCCTTCCTCAAAGCTGGATGGCAAGGTGAAGGTCTCAGCATCCTGGGGAATGAGAGTCCAGTCAGTGGTCCTGAGGACAGGCAGGACTACAGTCCAAGGTCAGACCAATCTGGAGTCAGCAACCAGGGCTGGGGGCAGGCATACTCACAATGGCCGCACACAGGGGCTGGAAAGCATGAGTCCCACATGCGTATAGGTGGGTGGCATTGAGCCGCTGTAGGAACCGCACATGGTTGAAGCACTCCGTCTATGGTCAAGGTAGAGGAATGGTGTGAGTCCCTAGCAGAGGTGCCTCCTAGGGGCCTCCTCCATTAGTTTAGCTTTGCAGTCTGGTTCTTCCCCCTCCCACCTCCATACCCATAGGACAAACACCTGGCACCACTCTACCATCTTCTCATGGGTCTCCAGCAGTCTCCTTCACCCCCAGTTCAGGAGTTTCTGGGGCTCCTACCCCCCAGAGATGCTTCTCCCACTAAGTTCCTTATCAGTGCCCTCCAATCCTAGAGCTCCCACAAATTATTCCCAGTTCTCCAACTGTCTCTCTACCTGCTGTCCACAGATACATCAAATTCAGCTTGTCAGAAGGCAAGCTCATCGCCTCCTCCTTAACCTGTATCTTCCCTCCTATACCTGTTCATCCAGTCTTTCCCACCTCACTCATTGCATTCATCTTGCACCGCAGTTTGGAAGTGAGGAGTCATCTTTGCTACTTTCTGCTACCTCATCCTCACGTTCGGTCCCTCTCCATGATTCATTTCTTGCCTTAAATGGCTCTGTCTCTCTCTCTCTTTTTTTTTTTAATTAAAGTACTGGAGTTTGAACTCAGGGCCTACACCTTGAGCCACTCCAGCAGCTCTTTTTTGTGATGGGCGTAGCCAAGGTGATTGACGTGTGCATTAAAGGTTGAGAGCCTCTAAGGTATCAAATAGTAAGGGTGCCCACTGTCACAGAATAAAATCCAAATTCTCTGATGGACATTTATGGCCCATCATGACCTGGGTTCTACCTATCTAGCCCTGTTTTCTGTTCACACTTCACTAAAAGACAGCCTTTGATGGAAACTCTTGGAGGTGCCTCTTTGGCACCTTCATGGAATACTGGGTGCTTGAACTATTCTTCCACCAAAGTATCATTTTTCTCATCATCTTGGCATATTATAAATGCAGATGCTGACTCAGTAGGTCTGGGAAGGACCCAAGATTTTGCAGTTCTAGCAAGCTCTCAGGTGAAGCTGATGCTTCTGGTTCCTAGACCACACTTTGGGTAGCAAGGCTTTAGAGAACATTTCCCAAAGCATGTCCTGAGAAATGTTACATTTTTTCTCATCTGTAAAATGGGGGATAATATCCCTTCTTAGTGTTATTTTAGATCTAGATGAAGATAATAGCAAAATCAGCACTTGCTAGAGGTTACTTATTGCTATCCTGATTATAATTTGGGAACCCAGAGGAGATTAAGATGCTATGACAGGCCAAACTAATAGGCCTGAATGCATTAGGAAGGCTGTCCCCAGGACCTACCATTCCAGCAGCACTCACAGTGTTTATGCAGTTGACTGTTGGGTCTGTACCACCCTATCTGTTCCTACCTATCTAGCACCCCCAATAGAGGGTTGGTGAGAAGAAAGTTGCTGGGGTAGGGCAATCCACATACCTGGTTGTTTTTCCCTTTTTGATGGCATTTGCTTTGCATCTCTGGGGAGGCCTCCCAGTAGATCTAACAGGAGTAAAGGGAATAGAATGATTCATTGACCCCAATACCCATTTACCCACAGGGCCAGGCAAGAGAGCTTTAAAGAGCTGGGAAAATTGGGATGGGGGTGAATTTCAGGAGGAGCACTGGATGTGAGGGAGCCCTGGGCAGGAAAGGGCACTGCTGTCCAGAGGTTTATAGAAGGCTAGGAAGTTGAGATCTGAAGGAGCTGGATGAAGCTAGAGAGCCTGTGGATGGTCCAGGTTCCAGGGGCTGACCTCTTTGTGTGCCCCATCTCCTATGTCACGGGCACTGAGAGAGAACAGGGCACCTCGAGCTCCTACTAGCAGCCTTGCTGAGGCCTCCTCCAACAGCAGTGTTGAGTAGTTCTGGGCTTGACCCTTGAAGTGTCGGGTCCCAGAGAGCTCTGTGGAGAGTGAGGGCAGTGAGCCCAGTTTTGGAGCTGCCTCCTTCCCCCAGCCCTGGTTGATACGGCTTTTTAAAGATAGAAGGTCTAACCTTCATAGGAGATGGTCATACGTGGGGTAGCGTCCAGCTCTCGGGATGGTCTCCGCAGTGAGGGTCCAGGGACTGCTGTTGCTGTGAGGAAGCTGAAGAGGAGTGACCAGAGCCTCCCCCACATCTTCCTGGGGAGGTCCAGACCAACAAGACCCCCAAGGACAACCAGGACCAGAGTCACAGAAGGGGATGAGAAAAACAGTCACAAGGGTCAAAGTCCAGGAAGCATGTGGAAGGTCAGGGGTCATGAGGCCATGGGGGTCAAGGAGTCATGGGGCCAGGGAGGATCCTGGAATGGGGGGGACATGGAGCCACCAGGTTGTGTGGCCATGGAATCACAGCTACGAAGTCAGAGGGAGGGAAGGACCACATGCCTTTCTGCACCAAATGGAAGCTCCATGGTGAGCAGGAGTCATGGAGTCATAGAGGGGGTGCAGATTACTGATGGAGTCACCTTGTCCCCAGCAACAGGGCTAGTCCTGGTTCTCTCAGGTCTGTTTTCTAAAGGAGAGAGGGGGGAGGGGCAAAAGCACTTTGATCTCTGTGTGGGTGGAAGATGGATGGCATTACACAGACTTAAGGCGGCACTAAAGGGCAGAGGCCCAGCAACCACTGCTCTCCCACGCCAGGATTGATTCACAATCATTCTGTGCATCCCTGTTTTAATGCAGGAGGCTGGAGTGGAACTGCTATCTAGACTCTACCCCCCCACCCTCCAACCTAAACCCAAGGTAACAGCCTTCCTCCAGCCAGGTCAGAAATCTGCTAGGCTCCCATCTTGGAGTTTCGGTTTTCAGAGACTGCCTACTCCTCCAACAATGGGGCAGTAGCTGCCCCTGCTGTCTGCGGGGGTGCCTTATGCAGGAAGGACTGGCCAGTCACTTAATGGGCCTTTGTTAATTTGTCCTGTTTTCCTTTTTTTCTTTTTTTTCCTCTTTTTCTTGGCCTAAGAGCTCCCTCTGGAATTTCTGTTTAATTAGACACTTCTCAGCATTCTTCTCCAAGGGGGTGTACATCTTTGTCCTGCCCATGCGAGTCCATACTGCACACCCTCTGCTTAGGCATCCACACGTGTCCCTACCTGCTAGAGTGTGTGTGTGTGGGTGGAGTGTGGATATCTGGGTCCCCTAGCTGGGTAGGTGTAATGTCTGTACAGGAAGCTGTAATGTGCCAGGCCAGTTACTTGAGTCTTAAGCAAGCACATCTTGGAGACTATTCCCTCAATCCAACCAACTGGGGATAGAATAGAGGTGTTAAGTATCCCCCAAACCCTACAACAGGCCTCCTGAACCCTGAGGGTCCTCCGAAAGTTTCCTGGGCTGGACTAGTTGTGGAGGCCTGGTCCACCCCATGTCACCAGACAATCATAGGCAGGGTCAGAGGGTGCCACTGGCCTCTCCTTTCCCTTCCAGGTCAAATATTAACTATCTGGCCTTGAAGAAAGGGGGAGGGATCAGGAGCTGGCATAAGGGAAAACAGGAATTTGGAAGATTTATTCAAGAGGTGAGGGTCAGCACACTGACATGGGAGGGGAGGAGTAGGATACAAAGGGAGAGAAGGTTCTTGGGCCACAGAAAGGGTACCAGTTCCTGGTTTGGGGTCTGGAGCAGCAGGAGGCTGCAGGCAGGGTGCCCATGCCCCACCCCTCACTGTGAAGGCACACCTGTTTACCTTCAGGGCCTCCTGTTTGCTTAGCACAGAAGGGGGAGCCCTATGGCTAGGAGGGATCAGTCCGTAGGATTGGGCAGGAAGAACACACCCCAGATTAGAGGAACCACTCAGAGTGTGGTGTATGGCACATTTATACAGGTTCCTTCTGAGTCACATGGGTCCAGAGGAAGGCACACACAGGTGTACACGCACACATTCAAGGAGGGCTGTGAATACATGCATTCAAAGGAGAGTTATTCACACACATAAAGAGAGGTTTGTGTACACATATGTTCACATAGATGGCCACGACCACATGTAGTCATACATATTCACATATAAGGTTGTATTCAAACATAAGTGGTTCAGCAAGTCATACAGCCTCAGAGGTAGAGAAATAGGGTTACAGCTGTGGGTTTATGTGAAGGTCTAAACACCTGTTCAACAGGAGGATCCTGTGCACATGTATGTGTAGGACATTCACACAAACCCCCTTGATCATGAATCAGGTACAGTAATGTTCACAGCAGGGTCGCCTACATGTTGTATTCACATAATTACATCCATGCAGTGACGAGTACATATGTATACAGGAGCCCAGTTCTTGCTGCAGGCTTGCTGGCCTCCAGTGTCCACTGGGGTGAGATGCAGAGCAGAACCCCACCCCCCTTTCCTGAAAGTCCTATTCTTAAGGCCAGATTCCAAGTGTATGCATGTGTGTTTGTTGTGGGGGTGGGAGGGAGTGAAGAAAGGGGAAAGCTACTGACCTGAGATGAGTGCATGAGTCAAGGCTACTCTGCAAGGGGGATTCGGGTACAAACCCAGGTAGAAGGAGGCCCTTAGCATTAGCAAAAGAAAGACGGAATGGAGTGCGTAACTTAGCAATCTTCTAACCTCATACGTACTGCATTTCTAGATAATGGGGAGCTAGCTGAGCCAGAGTGCTCGGTCCCCACTTAACCTGTTGGGAGGGCGGGGCTAAATGGGCGGGGCAGAGCATGCCGTTCTCCCCCTTCCCCCTGTGGCTAAGCGGGTTCAAGGTCTCCAGTTCATGCCCCACACTTCGCTCCAAGTTCTACAGTTCGGGTTCCTCCCCAGGGCCTGCCCCCTGAACACTAATCACCCTTTCTCTATTAGATCCTAGGATGGAGGAAACCGTGGAGGGGAGCTCTCCAACATGATCAATGGAGGATCATTGTAGGCTCTCGACCTTCATCCAAGATGCCCACCTGCCCAGTAGGATGGCGGTCTCTCCTGGCTTGAGGGAGTTCCTCCCTTGCCATCCCCACCTCCGACCATCCTAGACAGTCCGCGTTCTCTCTTTTCATATCTAACCTGTCTACTGCTGCAGCTCGAGGACAAGCTCTCCTTCGAACCCGCCGGACGCCAGGAGACGTGACCCAGATCTAGGGAGACACTGTTCGCCACGCAGGTCCCCGCCCCGCTCCAGTCCCCGACTCTCGCGGTGGCCGGTCTGCACCCTGCGCGACCTGAGGCCTGGCCCGCACCCCTCTAGAGCTTTTATGCGGGACCGGGGGTTTTGGCGGTGGGAAAGGCCTTGCCCAGTTGGCGGGTGGAATGGACATTGGGAAGGCTTTGCCGGGCCCATGGTTCCCTACCCCCCGCGGCCCCGCCACCGCCTTCACTCCCCGCCTCCCTCACCTTTGCGCTGGGATCCGGGGCCATAGAGACAGCGACGCGCTCTCCGCGGCTCCACAGCACTAGCTGCGGGAGGAAGGGGCCGCGGCCAGAGGCGGGGCGGGGGTGGAGGCGGAGCCGGGGGTGGGGCGGGGGCCTGGAGGCGGGCCGTCAGGGCGGGTGCGGGGAAGGGCGCCTCTCCCTCTTATCCCTAGCACAATAGAGATAGTTTGAGGGTGAGGCTCACAGCCCTCGCTCGGGCATCTGGCACCCCTTCTCTTCCAGGCGGAGCGGCCCTGGCACCATTCCATGATGGGGGCCTCACCAAACCGTAAGCCCTCAGCAGGCGGGGAGTCCCACCTCCCCCTTCCCTGTAACCCTAGGACCTCTGTCACTAACCTATTACAGGGGACATGCAGATCTGTCCTCTGGAGCTTTTGCTGTGGTTCTCCGAGGAGACTCTAGCTTGTTCCCTAACCTGTACCTCACTTCTTGCGCTCTTGCTATTCTCATCTGCCCTGAGCCTAGGGATCAGTCCGCGTTCTCGCTTCATATCTAACCTCAGTCTCTACTGCTGCAGCTCGAGGACAGGGAATGGGGTTGGGGGGAGGGGACCATAAGTACGAACCTAGGGCAGCTTCTCAGCTCAAGAGCCTCCACCGCTTGCTGTTCAGGTTGAGGTCTGAGTGCGTGAGATGGAAGCAGGCCTGGAGGAGATGAAGCAACAGCTTGAAGTGCACACAGAAAATGCTCTTTTTTGCATAAATAAGCCACCATTTGAACAGGTTTGAGAACCAAATCTTGGTCTAAACCCAGGTTCATCTCAGGGATCAGGTCACTCAGACATCTGCCTTCTCTTCCAGTTTTTTTGTTTGTTTTTTGGCGGTAGTGGGTTTGAACTCAGGGTCTCAAAGCTTGCTAAGTAGGCACTCTACACTTGAACCACTCCACCAGCCCTCGAACATCATTCTTACTGCAAAACTTCCAGTTCATGTCTTCAGGCAATCAAATATTCTGTCCTTCCCAAGTTCAATTGCCTTTACCCAGAATCTAGGAAACCCCGCCTCAGAATCATCTCCCCAACTCCTTTAACTAGATGATCCTCCCTGCACTCACCTCCTTCCTAAGGGCCTAAGTGAATCCAGGGTTAGGGATGTAGGTCAGTGGTAAAGCACTTGCCTTAGGCCCCAGCACAGCCAAGAAGTGAACCTTCTTAGAGTCCCAATGAAATGTGAGCTCTGGCTGCCATGACCCAGCCTGTTCACCCCTTCCCCAAATCCATGACAATACTGATGTAGGAGCAAAAAGAAGGGACAAAATACGGGCCACAGGAATAGACCCTTGCATGTGCCTAGGAGTTTGAACAGGATTCGAGTGGCGTATTTAACAGAAGGGATCCTGGGACTGGCACTTCATTCCTCTTTATAGATTCCCCGAAGCTGTTTGGCACTTGATTCTATACAATCTCACATTCTGGACTCAGTGTGTGACTATAGACTGCTAGACAGAAGGGCCCACATCACACTTCCATCCCCCATTAAACAAGATCTCCCAGCACTCTGCAAACAGGATGTGTGTGTAGGATGGGGTGGGGGAAGTGACTGGGAGAAACGCTTGAATTCAAAAGTGTTTTGGGCAGGCGGAGTGGCTCAAGTAGTAGAGCACCTACTTAGCAAGCATGAAGCCCTGAGTTCAAACTCCTGTACTTAAAAAAACAAAACAAAACAAAAAACAGTGCACTTAGAGCTGGGGTGTGGCTCAACTGATAGCCTGGCTGTTTAACAAGCATGAAGCCCTGAGAATTCAAACCCTAGTACTGCCCCCTCCACCCGCCCAAAAAAAGTGCTCACACACTGCCCAGCTTCATTTCTTTTACTGTACTCTCATCCTATCCTGAGGAATTAATAGTTTCATTTTATAGATGGGAAAACAGGCTCTAAGAAGTTAAGTAACTTGCCTTGAAATTCATTTTTGTGTTTACAAAGCACAATCAAGATTGAAAAAGTCTGAGAAGGGGGAAGCAGATCACATCTGCAAAAAAGCTGAATTGTACAAATTTGTGCAGACCTGTTCTGGAGTAAGGAAAGGGGAAAGGGCATGCAAAAAGCTAATGAGTTTGATTTGATAAGACAGGAACATTTTTAGTGAAATAGAAGGGAAAATTCGACTAGTTAACTAGTAGCTGACCACAGAAGAAAATCCTGAAAGAGCTGATGGATTGAGTATTTGAGGTCATTTTTTCCCCTTTATTGTTGTGCTGGGTGGGGGTACACTGTGGTTTTACAATGTATCAATTAATATCATACTTGAATTCACCCCCTCCATTGCTCTTCCTTCCCCCCTTCCGATTCCTGGAACAGTTTCAACAGGTATCACTTTTGCATTTACATACATGTATTAACAATATTTGCACAATATTAATCCTCCTAACCCCTTTCCCAGCTATCTTCCTCCTTCCACTGGTGCCAACTGCCCCTCACCCTGCAGAACCCGTTCCACCCCTGTTGGTCTGATTTTGTAGAAAAAAAGATAAAAACATGACGTTTTTGCTAGTTTGAGATAAAGATAGCAAACGGAGTTTCCTTGTGTTGTTTCCATGCATATATGTATTACAATCCCAACTGGTTCATCTCTAGTCCTTTTCCCTAGGACCCTTCCCATGGTGGCCCCAGCCAATTTAAGAGTTCCATATTCATTCGTGTATAGAAAGTAGCACATCAACCATATCCTTCCTTTGCTTTATCCCTCCCGTGCACGACCCCTTAGTGTGACTTGCATCCCGTAATATTGATGCATTTGTTTTAGGTCTGTAATCTGCATATGAGAGAGAACATGCTGCAGTAAAAACTGGGTGCCAGTGGCTTATGCCTATAATCCTAGCTACTTGGGAAGCTGAGATCTGGAGAATTGAGGTTCCAGGCCAGCCCAGGCAAATACTTCAGAAGACCCCATCTCCAAAATAACCAGAGCAAAATGGACTGGCGGTATAGCTCAAGTAGTAGAGCACAGCTTTGCAAGCATGAAGTCCTGAGTTCAAACACAAGAACTATTAAAAAAAAAAAAAAAGTAGATAAAGTTATGGCTATGGACAATAAATCTGTAGTCCTTTTTTTGGGGGTACTGGGGTTTGAACTCAGGGCGACACTTACTTAGGCAGGTGCTATACCACTTGAGCCACTCTGCCAGCTCTTTTTTGCATTGGGTATTTTTGAGATAGGGTCTTGTGAACTATTTTCCCAGGCTGCTTTGAACCTGATCTCTGCCTCCTGAGTAGCTAGGATTTCAGGCATGAGTCACCATCACCTGGCAAATATGTAGTACTTGTGGGAAAGTTGGAGGGAAGATAGGGTTGGGGCAGGGACTGCAGTACCTAACAGGAAGAGAAACTGCAGGCACCAATAGGCCAATAGTGCTCTGATGGCATACTCAGAACCTGACACTTTTTTTTTTTTTGGTGGGACTAGGGTTTGAACTCAGGGCTTTGTGCTTGCAAAGGAGGTGCTCTACTGCTTGAGCCACACCTCCAGTCCATTCTGTCCTGGTTATTTTGGAGATGGAGTCTCAAGAACTATTTGCCTCGACTGGCCTGGAACTTTGTTCGATCCTCCTGATCTCAGCCTCCCAAGTAGCAAGGATTATAGGCGTGAGCCATCAACACCCAGCCTTCACACCTTCTTAAGTGAGCAAAATGTGATTTCAATGCCAAGTACCAGTATGGCACTTGCTGAATTTCACTGGACAGTTACTTCAGTCCACAATTCCCTTTCTTTCTGTTCTCCTCCCACTTATATCTCTGAAACTAATTGAAGCGTCAGATGTGAAAGCAATTAATGTACCTTTCTCTAGGAAGCCCCTTTGATTGACAATACTCCTCCCTGCAAAACAAGCTGATAAAATATGAACAAGGGAAATAACTGACAGTAGAGACTTGAAATCAAACCAAAAAATTAATCCTAATCTAGCAGTTACTTTGTGCCCTAGGACTAGGCAAGAAGGTTAATCATCCTTGAAGTCACTACACTGGCTGCTTTGGAGGGTGGCTGAGAGAGGATTCCATTTGGAAACCTCTGGAATACTTTACAAATGAATTGTTTTTGCTAGCTCATTTTCCCCAACTGTTTTAAGAAAGTGGCTGAGGGAAATGCTGTCTGTCCTCAGCACTGATTCTTAGCCACCTAAAACACCAGGGTGGGTGGGTTTGGCTCCAAGCTCTGCAGAGCACTTAACTACAGTTGGGCTCTTAGGTGAGGGGTATAGGCACTGAAACTTGAGTACAGGTTCTCTGAGGCCAGAGAACTCTGACCTATCAGGATGTCTGCTTCCTGTTCACTGTGGTAGCATTTCTGTTCCTGCTTTGCTGTCTCCACCTCTGGTTTGCCCAGCATTTTTCCTTAGATGGCATGATCTTTATTTTGGCCACATACAGAACTGCTTGTTAGGTAGGGACTATCACCAGTGCAACAATCACTGTCCCACTGTGGCTCAGAAGCCTGCTTTGCCCAGTTTTCTTCCCAGCCAGAGAGCCTGGAACCAGACCAAGAGCTGGGTTGTCTTGTATGTCCTCTCAACTCCAGCCTAGGGAATGACTAGCAAGGAAAAAGAAGCATGAGGACATGTTCACAAATGCTGGAAAACCGTCACCCATCCCCACTTTCTCACCTTTAGAATACTTTTTTTGGGGGGAAGTACTAGGGTTTGAACTCAGGGCCTCTTGCTAGGCAGGCACTCTACTTCTTGAGCCATCTTGCCAGTCCTTTTTTGTGTTGGGTATTTTTGAGATAGGGTCTCACTTTTTACCTGGGCTGGCCTTGAACTGCAATCCTCCTGATCTCTGCCTTCCATTGTCAGGATTACAGTCATGAGCCAGACATCTGATGCATGCTTGGTTTTTAAAAGTCAAAAACTGGGCTGGAGGCATGGTTCAACTGGTAGAATGCATGCCAAGCAAGAGCAGGGCCCTAAATTCAAGCCCCAATACTGCCAGGAAAAAAAAAAGAAACTTACTTTTACCACCAGAGACAGGGCTGGACAGAGAAGCCTCTGGAGCACCATGAGTTCAAAGAAACAGAATATACTTCCAACCATGCTTTTTGGAGATAAAATGTTTGATCAGGTATCAGCATACCCCATGGTGCCTGCTTAAGATCAATTTGTCATCTGAAAAAAGCCTCAAGTTAGAGCTAATGATCAGCTAGTATTTACTGAGTTCTAGCTATACATTAGGCACTGTGCTGAGCACTTTTCATGCATTAGTCAGTACTCAGAAATGCTTAAAAGGGTATTTGTTATTATTCCATTTAATAGATGAAAAAACTTAGGCTCAGAGAGTTTAAACTTGCTAAAGGTAAACAGCTAGTGTGGTAAAGGGATCTGAGTCTATGCCTAGGGGCAGAGTCAAGTCCTTTCCCTTAAACCGTATAAGGCTGTGCTGCCTATGTCTTGTGAAATACTTAGGACAATGTCTCTGCTTCTATCTGGCCTGTTACCCACAATACAGCCTGCTATCAGAGAAAAATGCTCACAGGTAGTTTCTACCAACCCAGCCTAGCAGAAAGGAGAAAAGCATACAGGCACACTTCTAGAACTAGGTTCTGGCTAGGCCTTCTATGAGCTCACAAGAAGTTTCTCCTGGAGATGTTAACCTGACTCCCCAGGTGGCATACGCAGAGCCATGTCCACCAGTCCTGGACTCTAGAACAAGACATCAAGATCAAGGTTATGTTTTTCTAGTCCTCTTTGTTCAATAACCTGCTTTATTTTTTTGGTGGTACTGGGGATTGAATTCAGGGCCTTGTGGCTTGCTAGGCAAACTTTCACCTGAGCCAAATCCCTAGCCCTATTTGCTGAGATGGGTCCTTCCAACTTTTTGCCTAGGCTGGCCTTGAACCATGCATGATTTTCCCAAGTAGCAGGGATTACAGGCGTGAGCCATCACACCCGGTCCCAATAACCTATTTTAACCTTGATACCAGCAGGTAAGATTCAGGAATTGTTTTTGTTGTTCACTGCCAAATTCTTGATTCTAAAAAAAAATCACCTGACATGTAGGTACTCAATACTTATTGAATGTACATGGCAAATGAGACAAGAATGAGATTACTAGATTCCTCACTGTAATGTATTCAGCAAATTATTAACTGGTTATATAAAAATGAACTGTGTACAGCTGTGGCTTTATGTTTTCCAGATACAGGAAACATCAAGCTAAAAAACTGGAGTATCCAGGGCAAGACAAAGGTAGTAATCAGTGTAAGAACTAGGGAATGGGGAAGGTGAAGAAACTGGGCATTCCAAATACTTAACCATGTCCACTCCCAAACAAATGTTACCAAACACGTTTAAACTGAGAAAAAGCAGTTTTAATAACACACACATACATTCAGAGGACTTTAAACAAGATGTAGTATAAAATCTTAAAAGAAAAAAAATGAAAGAAAAAGGAAGTCTGCCATTTAACTGCCTAAGATCTGGTGGATTACCTGGCTAACAGGACTGCCCAGGGAAAACAAATGCACAGATAATGAGGTGCACCTATACTGCTGACAAGTAGGAAATAACCACCAAAATCATGCTAACTGCTCTACATGCCCACCCACCTGTACCCTACTCTTGCCTCCTTAGAGACAAACCTGACAGTCATCCCCTAATTCTCCAACTCAGCCACTTGTTAATAGGTCACTTCTTTTAAAAACAATTTCTTTTAATTTAAAAATTACTCTTGGTTTAAAGACTCCACACATTATTACTGGCCAGTCCCCACCAACTGTAATCTGTTCTGATTAAAATAAAAATGCAAATGCTCTAACAAAGCCTGGATGTTAACACACCATTATCTATCTTTACTGGGGAGATTTTTGTGAAGTCAAAAGCAAGCTAGTACTTGCATTTGAAAGCAAAAACAAAATGCCAACCTTCTAAAAGGTGACAAAGGCACCGCTGCCATCAGGAGATAGACAGAAAATGTACAAATGCTGTTATTTTACTGCTACACAGATGCGTTTTGTGCATGGAGAGCTGCTTCACTTAACATGACATAACAATTATATTTTCAGATAACAAGAAAAGCAAGTTAGAAAAGGCAAACAGTTAACACACAAAAGCATAAACACAAGTACCTTAATTTTCAGCTTGCAGTAAGGGTAATAAGTCTGACATACACATCCAGAAAATTAGACAAGTGATTTTTGGCACAGAAATACTGCCAAACACACCACCACTCAGTGCAAGCTTTGTCTGTCAAGTCCAAAGTGGCTTGACATTCTCTGTGCAATGAGCATTTTCTCCCTTGCTACCATCCCACTCACTGAGTAACAACAGCAGGAGGGAGACAAAGGATGGGGACTCAAGAGGGAGGAAAAAAATACTTGATTTGGGAAAACCATGCGCTATTTGTGCTAAAAAGAGAATCACAAAATTTCTATGAGCGCCCAAATGCAAATACTAATTGGACTATGACCTGGAGCTGAAGACCTCTACCAGAGTCATAAATACAAGGGCCTAAACTGATGTCTGGCCATTTATTTTAAAGGGACAGATAAGTATTTTTCTTTAATGGAGAAAGGCAATTAAAAATAGATTTTTTTTTCTTAGTGGAACTGCTAAATAAAAATGTATCAAAGTGGTTTTAAATTTGATGGGCAGCTATCTGTTGAAACTGCAATACAAAAGGGTCACTTAAAAAAAACCTGAATAACCCACTTGTTCCCGTCAATGTATACAATTAGAAAATATTTACACACTGTAATTATAAGCAATATAAGCAGTATTTTATACTTTCAGATTTTGTACACTTTACACAATGCAAAATGAGAAAAATATGAACACTTATAAAATTACACACAAATAATGTATCTACAAAGTATTAAATTACAGAGTGAAAGCCCCCATTGTTGGGCAGATAGATGCCAGAGTTTCAAGCTTCTGTTAAATATAACTCTTTGTATCTATCTCTTTAACCATAAGTGGCATTTTGTAACAATACCCTTGAGAGGTAGTATCAAGATAATATTCTTACCAGTAAACTCAACACAGAATAAAATTTTCGTTGGTTTGACTGTTCCAGCCTTGTTCAGTCTGCGTTCTTGGAAACTGGATTTATCTAGTCTTGCTTATAAAATCTCTAACTGCCCAATGCTTGACATGAGCTCAAAAATTACTGATGCTATTTCAAATGATAAATTTAAGATAAAATGGTTTTATTCCTAAGCCTCAATTTAGAGGTAGAGAGTTAGTTCTCAAAATTTAGTTTTTCCCTGTCAAACCATACACTTATTCCCTTCCCCTCCATCATCTTCCCTACAACAACTAGAGATGTCAAGAGTACTCTGGAAAGAGCAAGTCACCTAAACCAGTATTGTAAGAACAACAACAAAGTTGGTATTCTCCTTCAGGAAATAAACCCTCCTAAAGGGACACTTGGTTAACAAAAGAATTTTTCAGTTGACTGTAAGTCTGTTGCTATCCAAGGCTTCAAAAGGGCCCTTGGGCTAAAACTAGCAAGTGTACTTCTACTATCCTTCAACCATTTTAACCAGAGGATGGCTTTCCAGTGTTTAAAAGAATTTAAAGCAGCTGTGGTTTTCAAGTGCAACAACTTCAAGATAAAAACACATGAGTGCACACACGCACACATACCCCACACACAACCCCATACACTCCAACAGTCCCAAAATATAAACACCATCCAGGTCTTTGCAAAGTTAAATATTAATGGAAATGTGATTTTTGGAAACTTTCCAAGATCTTTAAATTTTTACAACAGACAATTCTATAATATAGTTACCAAGGGCCAGTATTCTAAGATATAGCCAAGAGTCTATGATTTAACCAATACTTAAAAAAATATGGATTTAAAAAATCCAAAACAAACTGTCTATGAATGTTTTGGCATTTTAGAAACAGAGCCACTATTTAACAGCTTAATCTCTCTCTTCCTCTTAGGGGAATTAAATACTACACCAAACTTGTTTCTCAATTGTTTTAATGTATTCTAAAAACCTAACAGATTTATAACCTTGAATAATGAAGGAAAATGGCATGTACTGAAACCTCTTGTGGCTTACAGGAGTTACAGAAGAGATCTATGTTTTTTATTACTAAACTCTGTTCTAAACTTTCCCTTTGCATCCTAAAACAATCAAAAGGGAAAATTAACCCAACTAGAACTTGGTCTGGGTTTCTAAATCTGACTCCTCAAATTGGTCCAAACTCTTTTCTTGCTTAGTTCTTATGATTATCCAAGTGCCACAAATACTACTTAAAAAAAGATAATTGGCTTATAATTTAACAAGAGGAGTTAATAAGGGCAGGTTAAACATGTAACTACTAGCTGCTTTTACCCCTCCCTCCTTTCAGAAGACTCTGCTCTTTTATATAAGGTCAGTTGTCTTAACAGTTAAATAGATCATATTTCATTTCTGCTTCAAAAATGGCAATTTCTTCATTACCAGCTTCATACTAGATATTCAAGTGGTACATTTGTTGTGTATTTTCTTATCATCCCATTGGATTCTGTAGTAATCCTTTCTACTTCTCTTGGAAAGGCTCTTAATGAATTTGTCTTGGTTCATATTTTTGTTGTTGTAATTCCTGTTAAGAATCTGGTACCCAGAAGTCATGAAGCTGCCCCTAGAATAGAAGAAAAAAAGAGTAAAGGAAAATTTAATCAGATCATTAATTAATCCTTATAAAAGGATAGGATTTTGGTAATGAGATCATTAAGTTATACATTTCTCTGAAACTTTTTTTTTTGTCTTTTCTTTTTTGGTTCTGGGATCGAACCCAGGGCCTCGCGCATGCTAGGCAAGCGCTGTACCACCGAGTTACATCCCAGCCCCTGAAATTTTTTTTTTATAATCAGATTCAAAGTTTACATTTTGTGCTCTAACAACAAAAAGAATAACATAAACACAGTGTATTTTTCTTACCACCACACTCACAAAGTGACATATTTAAGGAGATTAATGTAAAGTTTTACTCCTAAATTCTTTTGTGTTTTAATGTGGCATCAGCTTATATGGCCAGCCTTAAAAAAGTCTACTCAAGTTAGAAATTAAAACAATAACAAAGCATAAATTTAAGATTTCTCAAAGACTTCTAAAAAAAAATGCTTATCTCACGAAAGATACTATAACAGCAAAAGAATAAAAATGTCATAAAATAGTGAAGTTGCCCTTCCTAGTTAATATTCAGTCTTCTTAATACTCTGATCAGAAATGCCTTGACTACTCAAAGTTTCATCTTCAGATTGGCAGCACTGGCATCAACCTGAGAACTTGTTAGAAATGGAGAATATCTCAGGTCCCACTCCAGACCTAATGAATCAGAATCCACACTTCAGTGATTTCCTAGTTGATTCCTATGTACATTAAAATTTGAGAAGTTACACTTCAGACAATTCTACATCAGATAGCTTGTAAACAAACAGTACGGCAAACTTATTAGCAGATATGTGAAAAAAAAATAGCCCTCTCAGGCAAAGGGTTCCTTAAATTATGATACCAAAAGCGTAAGTGACAAAAGAAAGAAACTAGACTCCATTGTAATTAAAAAATTTTATGCCAAAAATGATACCATTAAGACAATGAAAAGATAACATACAGAATGGGAGGAAATATTTATAAATTATGTATCTAATAAGGAACTTATACCAAGAACACATGGAGAATTCTATTTAATAACAAAAAGATAGGTCAAGTAAAAGACAGGCAAAGGATATGAATACATTTCTGTACAGAAGCTACATAGTAGCCAATAAACACACCAGATGTTCAACGTCCTTAACATTAGGGAAGTGCAAAGCAAACTGACAGTGAGATTCTACTTCCCACCCTCAACTATGGCTTTAGTAAGAAAAACAAAAAAGTAAGTGTAGGGGGAATATGGAGAAATCAGAATTCGCATACATTCTGGTGGGAATATAAAATGGTGTAGCCTCTACGGAAAACAACAACAGTCTGTAAGTTCCTTAAAACACTGAACATAGAATTACTGTATGACCCTGAAATTCTACTCTCGGGGGTGTGTGTGTGTGTGTGTGTGTGTGTGTGTGTGTGTGTGTGTACACACATATATAAAACTAAAGATGTTTTAACTTGGAAACATGTATCGATACAAAAACAACTATTCATGGGAGCCTTCTTTGTAGTCACTCAAATGTCCATCTAATAAGTGGATAAATAAATGTATATCCACACAATCAAATATTGTTCACCAATAGAAAGGATATAAATAGTATAGCAAGGATTCACTTAAGTTAATTAAAAGAATAGGCAATCTATACAAAATAGATTAGTGTTTGCTAAGGGCTTAAGGGGAATGAGGATAGTTGGGGAATGGAGGGATGACTGTTAATGTTAAGACTGTGGTCCACAGGAAATCAATGTGAGTCAATGCCCTGTGTAGCTATCCTTATCTCAACCAGCAAAAACCCTTGTTCCTTCCTATTATTGCTTATACTCTCTCTACAACAAAATTAGAAATAAGGGCAAAATAGTTTCTGCTAGGTATTGAGGGGGGGGAGAGGGAGGGGGCGGAGTGGGTGGTAAGGGAGGGGGTGGGGGCAGGGGGGAGAAATGAACCAAGCCTTGTATGCACATATGAATAATAAAAGAAAAATGAAAAAAAAAAAAAAAAGACTGTGGTCATAATCAAAACTCTGTGAATATACTAAAAACCACCATATATATGTATATGTGTATACACCCCCAGCCCTACAAACCATCATAAACTTTTAAGTGGGTGAAATGTATACCATGTGTACTTTACCTTAAGAGAACTACTGAAAATAGTTATGAAATAACCTCCACCTGACGTAACGTAACATTTAATTTTTTGGTGGGGGCAGCGGGGAGGAAGGCAGTACTGTGATTTGAACTCAGGGATTCATGCTTGTTAGACAGGAATTTTATCGCTTGAGTCACTCCACCAGCCCCGTAATGTAAAATTAAAGTGGGCATAAACATTTCTGAAAATAAATTAATGAGCCAAGTGTCAGTGGCTCACACCTGTAATCCTAGCTACTCAGGAGGCAGAGATCAGGAAGATGAGGTTTGAAGCCAACCTGGGCAAATAGTTCGTGAGACCCTATCTCGAAAAACCGTTTGTGAAAATAGGGCTGGCGAAGTAGCTCAAGGTACAGGTCCTGGGTTCAAACCCCAGTACCACACACATGCACACAAAAATTAATGAATATAAGGTAAACAAAAACTAAAAAACATACACAAATCACATATAGTACTGGAGTTTTCAACTTAAGATATTTAGAAGCAAGCACTATTTTTTTTTTAATTGTGCTGGGGATGCATTGGCAAGTATTCTGTTACACTTCATGCTGTTTCAAACGATATGAGGAGTAGCATTCAGCAAAATATATTAAAAGTTTTTGTTTTTTTTTTTTTGGTGGCACTGAGGTTTGAACTCAGGGCCTCACGCTTGCTAAGGAGGTGTTCTTACTGCTTGAGTCACCCTGCCAGCTCCCATTCAGTAAAGTATTAATAATAAATAAAACTGTTTAATAAAATGCCACCTGAGTAGGCCGACAGTTCTGGATTATTTCCTGCCATTTTCCATGTATCCTGGCAACCAAGTCTTTCACCTTAAAAATACCAAAAAGAGGAAAAGAGTTCAGATCAAAACATTCTCATTTACAATCAATTTAAGACTTCATACAAAAGATCTTGTAGTTATGATAGACAGACTCATACCTAACAGCTCAATTTGATTTTTCTCAAGGAAGAAAAAAAGGTACTCATCTTTTGGAGAGGCTTTCAAATTATAATAATTAATAAAACTTCTTTTATCACCATAATCTAGAAGATTGAATGCTTAGATCTCAACTTTCTTAATAGTTATTAAAGATCATTCAGAAAAATATAATCCCTGCCTTCAAAGGAATTTGTATTTTCTACTTGCTGGCTTTTAATACTGAGATAGAAAAGCTAAAGGGCCCAAGGCTTTGGCTATTTCCTGCCTTACCACATCTTCTCCATATTATCAGAAGATTCAAAATTCACTGCTACTCCTCTGCTTTTGTTGTTTAGAGGTCTAGCAAGTCTCTGCAAAACTCAAACTTTAGAGCTGGGTGCCGATGGCTCACACCTGTAATCCTAGCTACTTGGGAGGTAGAGATCAGGAGGATCGCTGTTTGGGCAAACAGTTTGTGAGACACCCCTCCTCCCCTATCTTGAAAATACCCACCACAAAAAAGGGCTGGCCGAATGGCTCAAGTGGTAGAATGCCTGCCTAGCACGTGTAAGGCCCAAGTTAAACCCCCAATACTGCCAAAAAACCAACCCCCCCCATCTTTTTTTTTTAAGTTTTAAATCTTTTTTTCAGTGCTGGAGATTAAATGGAAGGTAGGGCTTTAAGCGTGCTAGGTAAGTGCTCCTCCTATCATAACAGGATTAGTGCCTTAAGCTATATCCCTAACTTTTATATTCCTTTTTATATGCTTCTCTTCCTTAAAAAAAGTTTTTTTTAATACAGTGTCTCATTATGTAGCCCAGGCTGGACCAGAACTGGTGATCCTCCTGCCTCAGCCTCCCAAGTTTTGGGATTACAGTTGCGTACCACCATATCCAGCTCTTCCTTCAATACAATGTAGCCAAGATCAAAAAGAAAAAAAATCCAGTAGGCATGGTGGTGCAAGCAGAGATTGGGAGGATCACAGCTCTAGGCCAGTCTAAGCAAAAAAGTATGGGAGACCCCCACCTCAAACAGTGGCTAGGTGTGGTGGCGTGTGCCTGTTATCTCCAGCTATGCAGGAAAATTCAAATACAAGGATTGAAGTCCCTGTGGGCCAGGGCATAAAGCAAAACCCTATCTCAAAAATAACTAACACATATATACATATACACAAACAGCTGGCAGAGTGGCCCAAGTGGTAGCACCTGCCTAGCTAGGGCCAGGAGCTGAGTTCAATCCGCAGTACTGCCAATACCCACCAATACCTCCAATCCTAACAATAGGTATAAAACACACTTACCTTAGTTCTATAAAAAAGTCTGGCATCTTCTCTAATATCACACTTAACATGTTTTTCCAAAGCCCCACACAGTAGCACAAAGTGTTTCTGGGTAAAACAAAACAAATACAAGGGATGAAAACAACTCTGAAGCTTTACGAATTAACAGAGATTAAGGAGTTATAACAACTAAATCACTTAAAAATCTATCAGTCCCCAGATAGCAATTTCTGATGTTAATTAACTAAAATAATAGTGTAAGTAGCCACTTCCATGAGAAACAGGATAGTTATGGTTTATTGCCAATTAATTTAAAAAATTAATTGCATGGTAGCACATGCCTACAGATCAGAAGTCTGAGATCACTCAAACATAGCAAGTCCCAGTGTCATTGAGTAACAAACTAAGAGTTGGTGGAGTGGTTCAAAGTGTAGAGGGCCTGCTTAGTAAGCATGAGGTCCTTAGTTCAAACCCCAGTAATGAGAAAACAAACCAAAAAATACAAGATGTAGGTTAGTAGCAGATGCTGCTTGGCAATAAAGAGCCTGCCTAGCATGCATGAGGCCGTGGGTTTGATTCCCAGTACCTCAAAACAAAAAAATGAAAAACACAAAAATAAAAACTGTTTTCTATGTATTAAGTCACATTAATGAAAATTAAACCCCAGAGCTCAAACTGGATTATGTAGTACTCAAAAATATGAAGAGTCCTTCCTTAAACACATTCTCTAGTGGAATATTCAAATTACAGATAACCTATTTTTTTCTCTATAAAGAAAACAAGCTTTTGTTTTACTATTTCTAAAATGAATTATTACTTTATGGTTTTAAATGGTATTCTTATTATTTTTGTAGTATTAGGGTTGAATTCAGTGCTTCATACTTCCAAGGCTCCGGAGCCCTTCTGTTTTTAAGATAGGGCCTCAAACTACATTCCTCCTGCCACCCTCCAGAATAGCTGGGGATCACAGGGTGCACCACCACACTGGGCTTATTTTTGACACAGGGCCTTGCTAACTTTGCACCACCATAACCATTTTTCTTTGGGCGGGGAGGGGTTGGGGGGGGAGCTGAGGGAGGAGGATTGCAAGTTGAATAGCTATATACTGAGACACTGTCTCAAAACAAAACTATTAAACAAAAAGGTTTAAAAATAAATTTTTTTCCCTTTGAAACTGGGGATTGAATTCAAGGCCTTGAGCTAGCAAGTATTCTACACTTGAGCAACATCTCCAACCCCAAATCAGTTTTTTAATCAGAAAATAAAATTATGAAAATGTAAAGGCCACAAACATACATTACAAATAGATGACTATTTAGGGGCTAATTGTGAGAGCGAATAGTGTTACATAAATAGCATTTAGAAAAACACATGAACGTGGCATGCATTCCTATAATCCCAGCACTCGGGAGTCAGAGGTAGAAAACTGCAAATTTGTAGCCCAAATTTGAGGCTACATAGGGAGACCCTGCCTCAAAACAAACTAAAAAACCCTACCACACATGATCAGCTCTGTTTTTTCTATCATGATTACAGATAAATTTTAAAATGGAGAATGAAATAACTAAAATATGAAAGAGGAAGAATAGAGTAATTCAAAATAAAAATCTTAATATGGAGAGAGAATTCAGAAATGCATTTTTTGGTGGTACTAGAATTTGAACTCAGGATTTCGCACTTGCTGGGCAGACACTTTACCACTTGAGCCATGTTTCCAGCCTTTTTTGCTCTGGTTATTTTGGAGATAGGATCTCACTCTTTACCCAGGCTAGTCTGGACCTTCATGTTTGTATTTTAGTCTTCCTGCCCTAGCTGGGATGACAGGTGTACCCCACAACACCCAGCTACTGGTTGAGAAAGGATCTCGCTAACTTTTTCCCTAGGCTGGTCTTGAATTGTGATCCTCCCAATATCCACTTCCACTTCCCAAGTAGTTAGGATTACAGGTGTGCAATCCCTGCTGACCAGCTGAGAAATGCATTTTTTTTTTGGCGGTACTGGGACTTGAACTCAGGGCTTCACCTTGAGCCACTCCACGAACTACATGCCTGGGCTGGCTTTGACCACAATCCTCCTGATTTCTGCCTCCTGAGTAACAAGGATTACAGGTGTGAGCCACCAGCACCTGGTTGCATTTTTTTTTTTTTTTTGATGGTGGTACTGGGGTTTGAACTTAGGACCTCATGCATGCTAGGAAGGAACTCTACAACCTGAGTCACTCTGCCAGCCCAGAAATGCATTTTTAAAATAAGCCTAAGTTAACATCAGTTTAATTTTAAAGGCAAATGGTATTTCTAAAGAAGAGTTGGGCATGGTGGCTCATGCCTGCAATTCCAGCTACTTGGGAGACAGAGATCAGGAGGATCATAGTTCAACGCCAACTTGGGTTATTAAGTTAGTGAGACCGCCATCTCAGCAAATAGTTGGGCAGTGGTAGCACATACCTGTAACCCAACTATGCAGAAGGATAGGTAAGAGGATCACTAGTGAAAGCGGGCCCTGGGCAAAATGTGAGACCCTATCTGAAAAATAACTAAAGCTAAAAGGGCTGGAGGTGTGGTTCAAGTGGTAAAGTGCTTGTCCAGCAAGCACAAGGCCCTGCATTCATACCCCAGTACCCCCCCCCCAACAACAACAAAAAAAAGAGTGGGAAGAGGTTGAAAGAAATAAGCTATTGGCCCTATTTGGTGAGCCTGGTATCGTATGAATATCTTTTACTACTGCCAAGTTATGACGGTTAAGCTCAACTCCAACAAACAGAACTAACATTTGCTGACAAGTAATTCTTGACAATATGATATGGTTGCCTGCCACTATTACTTCCCTCTTTCCTGTGCAAAAACACTTAACTCTTATTACGTTTTCTCCTAACTAAAACATGCTCATTTATTCTATCAATAATAACACCTATATGAAATAACACTAAACATTACCTACCCGTTGTCCAGAAGAAAAAGAATGAGAACAACTAACTTCACCAACTAAATGAAGAAGAACGTAGGTCAGATAATATGCCTATTAAAGAAATGAATAAAATTAATACCCATGAATTAACTAGCACAGTTAAATTACCAACAACCATCCTTTTACCTCCAGTTTACTGAAGAATTCCAGGACAGCATAAATAAAAACAATATATGCATTTTATGATCCTAAGTATGCTTTGAGATGTAGCCCTAGATACCTGCTTTTCAAGTTCTAAATGAAGACTGTCATCAATAGTGCCATTTGGTTGTTCAGCCCTTTTCTTCATGACCATTTTCTTTAACAAATCAGAAGGCTTCATTTGCACAAGATAGCGATGTAGGACTGATACCTATTAAGAGAAAAAACAGACACTGAACAATACTAAGTAGTTACAGTTGCTTTTTCTTGGGTTACTTTTCCCTAGTGTGTCCACTGTTCATTTTGCCTTCTCTAATTTTGCCCTTCTAGCTTTCTTTACAATCCATTGATATCTATTTCCTCTTTACTTAAAAATCCTCAATTAATTAAAAAGGGTTTTTAAGTTAAAGAGTTAATAATTGTAATTTAGGAAAAATGCTTAGGAGGTGACCAAACAGTATATATAATACAGGTTTCACAGAAGAGTTGCAGTCTGAAGCCAGCCAAAGCAAATAGTTTTCAAGACCCTATCTCGAAAATATCCAATGTAAAAAAGAAGTGGCAGAGGGCTTAAGTGGTAGAGCCTCTGCCTAGCAAGCATGAGGCCCTGAGTTCAAACTCAAGTACCGCCAGGAAAAAAATAGAAACCAGCTGTTCCCATCAATCTGTCCCAGAGCACCTCATACATAACTTCTATCACTGTCCTTTTCACACTACTAACCCACAATGTTTAGTTTGTTTCACCCTCTAGATCATGCCTTCGAGGGCAGACTCTCTAATCTGATCCATCTTTTAATTCTAGGACTAGGGAGAGTACCTAGTACTGAATAGCAATTCACCCAGACCAGATTCTATGGTGTTTTAAAATCTAACTAGCCCATGGAGTCCTATCAGTGTGTAAAAAGGGGAGGGAGTGACTTTAATTAAGATATATTGTAAACACTTTTATAAATGTTACAATGTATCCCCAATATAATATAATAAAAAATGTATGTAAAAAGCCATCAGAACATTGCGAGAGTAGAGCTTCCATAGGACATATTTATACACATTCATATATAGCTGATATATACACTACTGAACAAATATGGAGGGAAACCACATTTAAAGCTCTACGATCCAAAAAGACCACTTAATATGAAGAAAAAAAGGTATAAAATGCAATTAATGTATAATAGGTCTATAATTTCTAATCTTGTGATAATATTTCTAACCTTGATAAACTAAACAAATTCAATGTCATCTTTAATAACGTGATTTTTCCCAATAGATTATTTGTACACTAATTCATCTGACTGTCCATAGTCATCTTTTATGGTAGAAGGATATAATATCATCTCCATCCTTCATGCAAAAGATTACACAAACAGTATCATGCCTAAGAGTTGAGATCTAACCCTAGGACTTCTGACTTAGGACTTGTCAATTTTCCTTATACCTTACTACCTCTCCCATTTATTAGAAACAAAAATGTATTTATACCTGAAGATTATTGGTATTAGGGACATCTTCATGTTTCTCATCCAAAAGTTTTGAAATAATCACTAGACTTAGGCATTGTCTCAATTGCCTGTAATTAGAATTTAAAAGCATTTAGAATATGTTTTAAGCAATACTACTTAAGAAGCAAATGAGTAAGTCAAAAGGAGTTCTAGTTTTAATTGTAAATACAGGCATTTCAAGAAAAGGTTGTATGAGAGCTAATAAACTATTATAGATCAGTAAAGGTTTCATATAAAATATGTGCATATAAAGTTAGAAGTGCCTAAAGCTCAGTAAATCAGCAAGACCCTTTATCTGTGATCTTGCTGAATTACTGATAGGAAACAACCTATTTTATTGCTGGAATAATCATTTTATTAGAGAGAGGAAAAAAAAAAACCAATGGAATGATCTGAATTGAGAACCAGAATCAGGCTATTAATGTCCTCTCCCTCAAGTGAAGATGCAATAAAAGGCTTAACATTCAAAAAATGATGAATGGTGGCACATGCCTATAATTCCAGTACCCAGGAGACTACAGGCAAGAGGATCATGAGTTCTAAACCAGCATGGATTATGTCAAGAGACCCTTCTCAGGAAAAAAAGAAAAAAACAAAACTAAAAAATGATAAGTGGAAAGAAAGGACCCAAAAACACTTCACTGAGGTAAACATAAAATTCAATACCTTCCACGTGATGTCCAGTTAGGGACTAGCTGTACCAACCACAGAAGGTTATGGGGATGATTGGAGAGTTCATTTATGCCCAGACAGAGTTCATGCACCTGAAAAAAAGAGTAAGTAAGATTTCTTTTCAAACAGGACAGCAGAATCAAATCTACATCCCTTCTTGCCTTAATGGAAGCACTAACAAATTAGAGCACCTGTTTTTTTGAAAATGCAGTTCAGAATCTGTTAAAAGTACATAATATGGATTGTTTTACCTTGAATTATCTTAGGCTGAAAACATACATTAAGTAGAAATTCACTGGCCTTACTTTTTTTTTTTTTAATAAGGAGAAGCACAATTTATTAGGATGTCCATTAAAAGGAAAGAAAAGGGTAGGCAGCTAGGCAAGGGAGCTTAGTGCTGGCTTGCATGTTTTTTGGTACACTGTATCTCTTGTCTCTAAATAAACAGTCCTTCTAGGAAGAATAAAATAACCTAAACTTAATTAACAGTTTCCAAAGTGTACAGTGAGACTTACACAAAATCATATGTTCCTGACTTGGAATTTCTTCCATTTTAAGGATTCTATTCTAGTGTATTTAAAAGGCTAACAGTTGCTTCAAAATAACTTGATGAATAGGGGAAGAAGTATAGGGTAAGATTAATGGACTAGACAAGATTGATCAAGCCTTGGTCATTTCTGAATCTGAGTGATAGTTACTCCTTGCCTCTGTATATGTTTTAAACTTTGTACCAAAATGATTGAAAAAATGTAATTTATAAAAACACCAAATGAAAATTATATATGTTCACCCTTACATGTCTACCTAAGTTCAACTCAAATTCTGGCTACAGGTATGACTCACTCTATCATTTCATTCAGGTGTCTCTGCTAAGAGGTAGTTTCAGAAAAGCCTTCCTTGACTGCCTCATAAAATAGCACAGCATTCCTGCTTTATAATTCTTTTTGCCCATGACCTACTTTATTTTAATTTGCAGCACTTAATTACAACCGGACATGTTATTACAACATTTACCTGCTTATCATCTAACAGTCTGAGTAGGATGAAAACTCCTAAAGGGCAAGGGCATTGTCTTTTTTACAGATGAAGCTCTAGCACTTATATGAATGCTAAACTAAATCCCCAATAAACATATTCTACTTTTTCATCTATCAAAGATCTTAACTGAGCTTGGAAACAATTGTAATTCTGTATGCTCTATGGAAGTCAAATTTTAATGCTGTACAAAAAAACAGTACTGACATTTTAAGTGATGTTACCTTTGTGTCCCAATCTCTGATATTTTTCATCAGGTTTATCAGGAGGCTTTGAACATCTACTAAAGGAATCTGTTTCAGCTGTTTTTCCAAACTCATTTTAAACAACATTAAAATCAGCAACATTATTTCCCGATCTTGGTAACCTTCTGGATGTATAGATGTACATAAGCCTAGAAACTTTGACACAAACGCACAAAGCAACAAAGAGATTTACTTCAAGAGTTTTAATTATAAAATCTTTTGACAAAAGATGCAAAAGAGAACTATACAGATAGCAAGTGTGAGTTGTCTAGAAAAGGCCAGAAATTTTCTTTTCCATTTTCAAGATTTTCTTTTTTAATTCTCCCTACCTCCCCAGCCCCCGCTACTCTCCTACTAGGGATTGAATTTAGGCCCTTACCCCATGAGTCATGCCCCCTGGTTCAAGACTTACTTAATGGTGTTCAGTATCACTGATTTGGTCTACCCTAAAAATGTTTCACACTATTATTAATTCTTGATCACTGAATTATGTTACAAGTAGTACTTTTTTCCTCATATATCCAATTCTTAAAAATTACTGGTTTCAAAACTATTTAATGATGAAACTAACCTAAAGGTGGCTTTCACACCTAACATTAAAACAAAAATAATAGAAAAACCCACCTTTAATATAAATATTGCTAAGAAATAACACCTGGTAAGAAACTAGTGGATTTTTAAAGAACCATTAAAAACAAAACTAAAATGGTTCTACTTCTCTCCTTAAAGACATGCAAAAAAGATTCTTTTCCTACCTTAACGACATTTAAAATGTTGGTTTCAGGAAGAGTTGAAAAAACTGGCATACAAGATGAATCTTCACATCCTTTCCCCCGCAATGTTGTCAGTGTTTCAGAACTATTAAGAAGTGAATAAAGCATGAATTAGGCACAAAATAATTCTGTATGATATGCTGAACAACTATTTTTTTGGGGTTTTTTTTGGTTTTGCTTTTTTTTTTTTGAGATGGGGGATTCTAACTATGTTACCCACACTGCCCTCAAACTTGCAATCCTCCTGTCTGAGTTTCCTGAGTAGCTGATGTGACAGATGCATACCACCATGCTCAGCTTAACAATTACTTTTTTTTTTTTTTGGGGGGGGGGTACTGGGGTTTGAACTCAGGGCCTACACTTGAGCCACTTCCACCAGCCTTTATTTGTGATGGTTATTTTCAAGATAGGTTCTCTCAAACTATTTGCCTGGGCTGGCCTCCAACAGAGATCCTTCTGATCTCTGCTTCCTGAGTAGCTAGGATTATAGGCATGAGCCACTGGCACCTGGCTTAACAACTACTTTTTTAAAACTATATTGTATTGAGGAATAATTTACATACAATAAAAAGGAAGGATACCTATTTTAAGTGGTTTTTGGCAGTACTGAGCAGTAAGGCCTCATGCTTACTGGCAGGCAGTCTACCACTTGAGACTCTCTGCCAGCCCTCCTTCCATCCATTTTTAATAAATGGTAACATACCATATATGTTGTTTTGCACCTTCCTTTTGTTACTTAACAATATAGCTTGTGAAGAATTTTCTTCTTTTTAAAAATAGCTGCTTAGGAGTATCTGTGCTCCCTCCTAGTTGTACAACCTTGGGCAAGTTTAACCTTTTTGTGCCTGTTGTACTTGTAAAATGGTAATGAAATGCTATTAATATCTGTAGCTACTAATAAGTGAAGTACTATGTTAAACCCTTAGAACAGCATGTGACATATATCAAACACTGTTTAAGGAGTAGTAGTTACGATGTAGAGGAACAATAGGCAGATTGACTTGGTTAGAACAAAAAGCTCAAAGCAAAAAGAAAATAAGATCAGAGGTCCACTACAGTGCCTTATGTCTATAATCCCAGCTACTTGGGAGCATGAGGCTGGAGGAAAACAAATTTAAGCCCAGTCTGGGCAACATAGTAAGACCCATCTTGAAAAAAAAAAAGGAAAAATAAGAGTAAAACTGCAAAAAATATGGGATGCAGAAAGGACAGGGAAGCTCATCAGTGAAAAGATTATTTTGGAGATAGATGCTGGAGAAAGTATTTTTTGCCATGCTACACATGAAAAGATATGAGCTAGACTGCTACTTGGGAATAAAAAGGAAGAAATAGCTACAAGATACACAGAGGAAGAGAACACAAGGATATGAGAATAGGATATACAATCAAAAAGGTTATAAGGTGTTTAGGACTCAAATTTAAGTTTGTGCATTTAGCAAAAATTGTCAACCAGTGTACCAGTATCCCTCAATATATCTGAATATTTACTCTTAACAATCTACAAATGTTTTTACTTTAAATCTATTTGTATAGAGAACTTGGTATAATGAATATGCATATATACACAACAGCAAAGACAGATGTGTTGACATTCCTGGTTAGATAAGAGTGAGTTGTGATCCTATCTCAGACAGGATCCAGACTCATGCTCATGTTATTTAAACAGCCATTTCATTATATTGCACTCATGCCTTCACTATTTCACTTTTGCTTACCTGTTACCATCTTCATTCTATAAACTTCTAGTCATTATACAAGACTAAGGCAACTCTTTAATTAGCTAAGTAATTAATAAGAACTCAATTTATTTTGCTAAATGTTACTTGAATTTGTTATATATTAATGCAATATTATATATCTTTATTTCACTATTTCCTCTACTGTACATGCTCACTACAATAAATAAAAACTCAAGTCCATGGCATATGACAAAAATTACATTAATGAGTTTGTTAAATGTTAAATAATGAAGTAGTCTGTATTTAAATTTTTTTATACTATGCAGACTTATAAGGTAACTTTTAAATAGTTGTTTAAGAACATTCTGGTAATATATTTTGGATGAGCTGGGAAGGCATTATTTTTGCTATTTAAAATGATGGCAGGGTTGCTACGGACTCTGAGGCAGTATAGGGCAGCATCTTGTGGTGGTCTGCAGAGCCTAGTGCCCATGGATCTGGGTGGGTATGGTCCTACTCTTGGGCCATTGTGGGGTCCCCAGGGCCTCTCTCTGTTGGCAGAACATTTCCTGTGCCAGGTCAGCCAGGTAAAAAAAAAAGTGATGGAATATAGTCTCTAAAAATTTGCTAGCCAACATATTTTCAGATACAAATTACAACTGACTAACAGGGGTTCCTGTATAGGGTGAAAACTGTAGAAATGGAAGAGCTTGGTTCTCGACAAGCCAAGTTATAATAAGAATTAGCATTTTTCTTATAAGTGAAGTTGAATATATTATAATATTTAAGAATTGTTTTTTACTTCCTTTTCTGTACTCATTTCCTTTGCCTGTTTTCTAATAGGTTGTTGATTTTTTTTTGCCTTGAGACATGGTCTTGCTATACAGTCCACGCTGGCCTGAAACGCACTATGCCTAGGCTGACCTCAAACTTGCAATTCTCCTACCTCAGCCTCCCAAGTCCTGGAATTATAGGCATGTAACACCATATTCAGCTCACTTATTGACTTGAAATTAAGCTTATACACAAGTTTTTTCTTCCCCCTCCATTTTGATGTTTTTCTTTGGCTTTATTAATGATGATTATCGTTATGTAGCTTTTTAAAAAATATGGTCAAATAAATTAATATTTCCTTTGCCCTTCTATTTTCCCCTCTTCTAGGATTTAAAAAAAAAATTCTGCCAGAATCTTTTATTACTTTTGAGTTTTGTTGTTGTTGTGGTGGTGATGATGGTGCTTGGGATAGAACCCAGGACCTTGCACATGGTAGGCAAGTACTTTACCACTCAGCTACTTCCTCAGCCATAGATTTTTTTTTTTTTTACTGGAGTTTGAACTCAGGGCCTTTCCCTTGCTTGGAAGCTATCTACCACTGGAGTCATGCCTCCCCAGTATTTTTTGCTTTACTTTTCAGATTGGTCTCATGCTTTTCTATCCAGGGCCAGCCTCAGACCACAATCCTCCTACTATGCTTCCCGCATACTGGGATTACAGCTGTGTCTTACCATGCCTGGCTCGTTTATTGAAGTGGGGTCTTGCTAACTTTTTGCCTGGGCTGGCCTCAAATCTTGATTCTCCCGGTCTTCACCTCCTGAGTACCTGGGATTATACACCTGGCTCTGCCCTTGTCTTTTGGAGACAGGTGTTGATATGTAGCCCAGGTTGGACTTCACCTAGTGATCCTCATTCCTCCACCTCTACTTTCTGCATGCTAGGATTACAGGTATATGCCCCCACACCAGGTGCTACTTCCATATGTGTTTATTATATACATTTAAATCTTTGATCTGCAAATCTGAGGAATGAGTCCTCAGATTTACAATGTGGAAAGCCACATTGCTACCTGGCTTTCCAGATACTAGATTATACCAGACAATGAGCGGCTTACTTTCCCCTCATTTTTTGAAATGCTACCTTTAGCACATACTAAATACCTGTGTGTATTTGGATCAATTTTTAGACTTTTTTATTTTGTTCCACTAGTGGAACTTTGTATCCTCCCAATTGTACCATGCAGTTTTTTTATCTGTTGAAGCCAGTCCCGCCTTGTAACTTTCTTAGATACTATTTTTTTTCATATGACTTTAGAATCAGTTTTATAGTCTCAACTCTCCTGTAACCCCCTAAATCCTGTTGGCAATTATTAGGATTCATTATTTATGATACTGAATTTTCATGGTAGGCCTTCACATTAAGATACCTTTAATTCTTTAGTAATATTTCATATACATATGTTTCTAGGTAAGTTTATTCATCTTTTTTTTTCTTTCTCTTGATTACTATCATGGACATTTTTCCTTACAGTCTAGCTTTTAACTAGTTACAGATCAGATATTTTCGGGTTATTAGTTTCTCTTTATTATGTACCTGGCACCCATACTAAATTCTTACTTGTCATAAGTTTTTCAACTGAGAGGTTTTCTGTGTATAGATTAAATTACTTATCAAGTAGTCTTTTACTAAGTCCTTTTTAATTTTTATGTCTTAGGTTTTTTCCTCTGGTCTGATTGCTTTGGCCAATATTTGAAAGACAATGTTAAGTAACAATGTGAAGTCTTACTTTAATTTAAAAAAAAATTTTTTTAGGAATGTTTCCATTATTTCTGTGTGAAACATGATAGTTTTTAGATTAGCACAAATGTTAAAAAGGTATCTATTTCAAGACCAATCTCAACTTTGATTTAAAAAATAGGAATAAATACTGAACTTATTAAATCAATACTAACATCATATTATGTAAGTTGTTTTAAATGATGTTTTTGGAATTAACTATGAAAAGAAAACTTACAGTAGACTGTCTTCATTAAAGTCTGGTTGAAGATTCTCCAGAGGAAACAAAGATCTAAAATCAATTCCCATATTGAAGAACACAGCTGCTATATCAGACAATGATGGGATCCAGGGCCAAATCGGTGAGTCACTGAAAGTATCTGTTTAATACAAGAAAATACTTTATTCCATGTTATTGGTCTGTAAACCCACATTTGCATATGAAACAGATTATTAGAATTTTTTTTTGAGACAAGAGCTCACTATCTAGCCCAAGATGACCTTGAATTTGAGATGTTCTTGCTTCGGCCTCCCAAGTACTGGGATTCCAGACATGTGGTACTATGCTCAGCCTTATTATTATTCCAATTATTTTATAGAAATGACAACTATTCATGGTGTTAACAATGCAGTTTATGATGAAATGATATTTATGAAGAAAATATCTAAGACTGATGGATAAAAGACTATAAATGAGAAGTAGTACACTTTAAAATGACTGTAAATAACAATAGTAAAATCCCAACTATAGTTAACACAGGAATATTTTTTTTTTTGGTGGTACTAGGGTTTGAACTCGGGGCCTTACACATGCTAGGCAGGTACTCTACCACCTGAGCCACTCCACCAGCCCTTCTTTGGTTGGATATATTTTGAGACAGGGTCTCAAGAACTATTTGCCTGGGTTGGCTTGGAACCTCAATCCTCCTAGTCCCTACCTCCTGAGTAGCTAGGAATACAGGCATGAATCACTGGTGCCGGCTAACACAGGAAGAATTTATAATCCCTCAAACAAGTGATCTGGTAAACCACAATTTTTTTTTTTTTACATTAAAAGGGCTCTCAAAGCTGAGAAAGCAATGGTCACACTTTTACAACAGATGCTTCAAATCTGCCTTAGTCTGCTATCAGTATTGTTGCCCACTCACAAGCCAAATGAAATTAACTGGCTGAATTAATATATAAATAAACTTCCAACTATTTCCAACTATTCGTTTTCTGCAAAGTAAGTCATGATTTGGTAAGTATTAGCTAAGGGCTGCCATTTGCAAGATCTACACCCTTTTTTCAATTTAATTAGAGAAATGTAGATACTCATTTTTGAGTAGCATTTCATTTCATTATTAAAGATACTTGATCACAAAAAATAATTTATCCTACACTTCCTAACATTTAGCAATATGAAAGAGATCATGTAGTAACAACCAATAATACATGCTATATAAATCACAGTAAATTTTTATACTTACCATTTCTAATTGTTATTTCCATCAATGTACTTAAAATCTGCACTGACACAATACAATCTGTATGAACTGACATCATCTGTCAAAAGCAGATAAATAACTATTAGAAAGAAAGAAAATATGAGCACTTACTATTTTCTAGGTACATATAAAGGTGTTCTGAGCCTGGTGCGGTGGTACATGCCTGTAATCAGGCACTTGGGAGGCTAAGGCAGGAGGACTGAAAGACTTGGCAACACAGCAAGGCTGTTTAAAAAAAAAAAAATCTACATGCACTTCATTTAGCATTTAAAATAGTTCTCATTATGCATCTGAGCAAGTACTCAGATTAAATACCCAGCACAATGTGACACATGGAAGAGGTAGAATTTAAATTCAGATCTGGTATTTGATTCCAAAGTCAGGGCTCCTTTCATTCATTTTTTTTGGAGGGGCAGGAATTGGGGGTGAAACTCAGGATCTTGCACTTGCTAGGCAGGTGCTCTCTGCCCTCTACTTAGCCACTCAGTCAGCCCTTTTTGCTTTGGTTATTTTTGAGATAAGGGCTCTCACTTTATGCTGGGGAGAGCCTGGACAGAAATCCTATCACATAGCTGGGGATGACAGGAGTGCATGCCTAGCCATAGGCTGAGATGGTTCTCAAGTGCTATGTGCCTGGACTGGTCTCAAACTGCACTCTTCCAGATCTTTGTCTCCTAAGAAGCTAGGATTACAGGCTTTCTCCACCATACTGGTTGTTCTTTCCATTATAACATGTTGCTTATTTTACAAAATAACTTTCATTTATAATTAGATATAATATTTGAAACTATCAAAAATGCCTTTCTAGGATATACCATGACATGAAACTAAAAAACCATAAAAGAAGCTGCAAGTTGATCATGACATAGGCAAAATCAAACCATAAAATAGTAAAAAGTCTTTGAAAAGATACAAATAGACTAACACACTGGACATTTTTCAGGTTTTTTTTTTTTTGAGATAGGCTCAAACTCCTGGGCTCAAGTGATTCTCCTGCCTCAGCCTCCCAAATTAGTGGGCCTGCAGAGCTATGTTACCATACCTACCTTTCCATGGTCAATATCATTAGCAATCAAATCAATGCAATGAAAAATGAAGAAAAGATATTGTTAAATGACTTGGCAAAGTCAAACTTGGCAAAGTTCAAGAATATTGGTAATAATGTGTTCACAGCAATCTTATGTCTAGTGTGAGTGTAATTTGGTAAAAATTTAAAAGTAACTTAGTAATACTTATGCAAAGTCATTGCAATTTAAACTTTGGATTTATCAGCCTTTTTACATACAAGGAATTTTCGAATGCAAGACAAGTGTATTTTTTAGAAGTACAATATTTTCTTTTGGAAAATCTCACAGCTTAAAAAAAATTTGTGTTGGTAACGCCTCTCGGAGGCAGAGATTCAAAGAAGGATCATGGGGTTCAAAGCCAGCCCAAGCAAACAGTTCACGGAACCCTATCCGTTGAAAAAACGCCATCACAAAAAAGGCTGGTAGAAATGGCTATCAATAGTGTGGTGTAGCCCTGAGTTTTTAAAAAAACCAGTAACCCACACCAACCCACAAAAAAAAAAAAAAAAAAAAAAAAAAAAAAAAAAAAAAAAAAAAAAACAAAAAAAAAAAAAAAAAAAAAAAAAAAAAAAAACAAAAAAAAAAAAAAAAAAAAAAAAAAACAAAAAAAAAAAAAAAAAAAAAAAAAAAAAAAAAAAAAAAAAAAAAAAAAAAAAAAAAAAAAAAAAAAAAAAAAAAAAAAAAAAAAAAAAAGAAAGAAAAAAAATTGTAACTGAGAGCAGTAGTGTATACATGTAATCCCAGCACTACTAGGGAGGTTAAAGCAGGATGGTCACAAGCTTGAGGTAGCCTGGACTACATAGCAAGATCATCTCAAAAATAACAAAAACCATAAATAAAATACAAACATTTAAAAACAAACTCAGTGGTAGACTATATACTATATACTTAGCATACATTAGGGCCTAGGTTTGATTCCCAGTACCAGAAGAGTTAAAACTCATATAACATATTGAAAGTAATTTTCAAGTGGATTTGTGGAGGAACATGCATTGTTTTTCAACTGCTATCTTTTTGTTTTGCTTGAGAGCCAAAGATTATGATTATAATAAAATTTAAATCTATAATCTAAGTGGAAATAATTCAAACTTTGCTTGCAATCAGGTATGTGGCCTATGTAATTTACAATCTATGTGAAAAAATGTCTGTCATGTTTGTGTTGTTAAGCTCTGCCACTAAGAGGTAGCACCACTCACAGACATGCTGCATACAAACAAGGTTTATGTAATACTCTTTTTGTGGGGGTGTGATGGATTACAGGGTAAGCAATACAATAATTTCAGATAATACTCTAAAGTCATTAAAAAGCATAATATAACTATACACTGAGATGAAAATACTCAAGTATTGTTATCTGAAACAAAAAACTTATAAAATGTATTCATGTTTTATGTTAAGTTACAACTTTTTGTGTGCAGAGAAACTAGAAAACATGGACTGAAATGTTAACAGCTCCTAGAAATCAGGACTTGGGATGAATTCAGCATGAGTTTTTAAAAAATTTTAAATCTTCATTACATTTACTTGAACTTTTCATAATGAAGCATGATTTCTCTCTGAAAAGGGCAAAAAACAACCCTTTAAGTAGCAAATACTTTCTGGTCTACTACACTTGGACATTTATGATTAAAAAAAAAAAAATCGCAAAAATACCAATATTTTTATTTTCTTTTTTTCCTTTTGAGACAGGGTTTTGCTATGTTGGCCAGGTTGCTTCAAATTTGAGATCCTGCTGCCTCAGCCTCCTACTTTGGATTATTGGCATGTACCACCATGATCAGCTCATTTTTATTACACTTTAACATATTTAACAAATAGTAGTACTATTACAACATCAAAATGAATTTGGTCTGGGCTCTAGTGGTGCATGCCTGTAATCCTAGCTACTCGGGAGGCAGAGATCAGAAGGACTGTGATTCAAAACCAGCCTGGGCGAACAGTTCTTGAACCCCTATCTTGAAAATACCCAACACAAAAACAGGGCTGGTGGAGTGGCCCAAGTGGTAGAGTGCCTGTCTAGCAAACATGAGACCCTGAGTTCAAACACCAGTACCACCAAAAAAAAAAAAAAAAAAAAAGAATTTGAATATAATTTCCAGAAAGTACTTATAAGTTGGTAAAGTCTCTCCACCACAAAAAATGGAATTGAAAGGGAGAAAACAGACAATGTGTCTTATATAGAGTATATACTTAATAAATGAATTATTAGTTTAGTTTTCAAAGAATGAATATGAAGAATATAAAAATCTGTTTGGACAAAGATATAACTTATATGTCATAGTTATAATTTTAAAGGCTATAATGATAGGCCCATATTAATAAGATGAAAATACAGACAAATGCAAAATCTTACTTGTAAATTTAAGAAAAAACATATATAATTAGACACTAATGAAGCCCAGGCATGACATCAAATGAAGTTTTGAGCTATAACAGATAGTAATACATAAGTGATATAGATGATTAAATCTTACTGGAAGCTCTGCTGGTAAGAGCATTTATCTGGAACATATGTCCCTTCATAGGGGGAGGCAGTACATTCAGAAGTGACACTGACAAACTAAAGGCCACTTAGAAAGATGAGGGAAGTAAAGGGACTGGAGAATGGTTAGTGTGGGAAATGCCACGAGTCATGCCAGTTATTTTAAAAGAACTGAAGGACTGTTAGATGAGACTTATTGTGGGAAAATATAGAAAAGATAATTAGTACTACTAGATTAAAACCACAGGGAGGTGAATTTTGACTTAATTATAACTGTTAAATAATTACTAGAGGGCTGGCAGAGTGGCTCAAGTGGTAGAGCACCTGCTTAGCAAGTGTGAGGCTCTGAGTTCAAACTCCAGTACCACAAAACAGACAGACAAACAAAACACTACTGGATTCCAAGTAGTGAGCTAAAAGCAAATGCTTCTTCTCTGTAGTCTTTCCACTACCTGTTGTTCTCTTTGCCTAAAATGCTCCTTTCTCACATAGCAATAAGGCTCATTTCATCACTCTCTTCAGAGAGTTTGGTAAAAGTCTCACTGAAAAATGCTGCTAAGACAGAGCTTACTTGGAGCATATAGCCACTTATTGAGGGGGAAAGGGAACTAACAAGCTACTTCTTTAACCACATCCCACCTTAGCAAAAACTCCTTCATCAACTACCTTATAATAATTAAAAAAGCAATCTTCCTCCCCTCCATTTCTACTTTGTTTTTACGTTAGTCTACTTTGAAATTTTCCTTCACAACAATTACCATCTGACATAATACTTTTGTAACTGCATACACATACACATTTGTTTATACTAGAATGTGGGTTTCATGAAATTAAGAGACACTGATTTTTTTCACTGCTGTTCTGTCTAGTGCCTAGCACAGCTGGCATGCAAAAATGCCCAAAATGTGAAAAAGTGAGCAAAGGGCTACACTGGAATATTTCTCCAGTTCTTGCCAAATATGAGATTCTTTAAAATGCTCTCTTTAAGTCCAGAATAGAAACACCCTATGTTTTTTTTACTTCTCAATTCACATATACAATTATGGTTTTCTGAAACCAGTAACACTTTTAAAAATAGGATTTCTAGGGCAAACTTTTACATGTGTAAAGGATCCTTTTATATGATGAATCATCTTCCCCAATGTATATTTTTACACATTTAGGATTTTATTAAAGTGGAACACTCCAGTAACCTAGGAAAAACTTTTCATCATGCATAATTTTTCTCATCTACAAAAGGAAGATAATTTCAATCTATAGCTGGGTATTATTAAACTAGTACTCATTGGTAGATAACCTAGTGTAGTGTAAAAAGTCCTCTCCACAGCCTCCCATCTTTGTCAGTATACACTGTATTTAATCCTGCATTGCTGTCCTCTGGATGATACAAATGTCAAGAACAATAAACTTCTAAACTTGACGATGGGGCTGGTGGAGTGGCTCCAGTAGTAAGTGCCTGCCTAGCAAGCGTGAGGCTCTGAGTTCAAATCCCAGGACTACCAAAAAAAAAATCTAAACCTGACAATGTATTCTGCCTGAAGGTCCTAAGTATCTAAAGCAACACCAGGACTCTCTGTATAAAACCAATGATACCGGACATTTTAAAAGTTGCCAATTATATAAGACAAAAATTAGATGATTATTTAATTTATGTGGATTTAAGTGTTAAACATAAAATGTGGAAAAGATACTCAGTTGTATTTGCATAAAAATACATACATGAGTAGGGAAATAATATATAATTAACTCCTGAAAAATGTACGAAGGTACTCCCATAAACATTAAAAAAAGAAATTTAGGATGCAAGTATTAGAAAACCCCTTCTAAAACTATCTATAATAGTTAAATGTAATAAGTAACAATTATATCACATTTTATGTGATAAATATCTAAATATGGAAAATTATTGACTATCCTGCACCTGATCTGCATTATCACTTTTTTTCCTGGTGGTACTAGGATTTTGAACTCAGGGTCTGGTACTTGCTAGGCAGACGCTCTATCACTCGAGCCATGCCTCCAGCCCTTTTGGGACAGGGTCTTGTGTTTTTGCCTGGGCTGGCCTGGACCTCAATCATCTTATTTGTGCTTCCTAAGTTGCTGAGATGACAGGTGTGTACCAACATGCCTAGCTATTGATTGAGATGGGGTCTCACCAACTTTTTGTCCTGGATGGCTTTGAATTGGCAATCCTCCCAATCAGCTAGGATTACAGATGTGAGCCACTATGCCTGGTCATTATCATTTTCTTTGGAATCTCTTTCTTGCCTTATTCTAACCCAACAAAATCACCTATTTGACACACTAGATTACTTTTTTCTTGAGTAATGTGCAAAAAAAAATGTATTTAAAAAGTTTGGTTTTGATTCAAGGAAAATACAGTAGGAAGCCAACTATAACCCCTCAAACATTTCTCTTACCCGAAACAGCCACTTTAACACAGGTACAGGACACTGGACATAGTGATAAGCAGAGGTAAGGAACCCTTGTGTTGTCAAAAAAATCTGATCTGTTTTTCCTGATCTGAAAAAATAAAATAAAATAATATAACTGTTATCTCCATGACAAAACATTTCTGCTACCATGACCACATCTGACATAATCAGTGAAATGAACAAGCAAATTCGCAGTCTAGGGAGGAGTCTATATAGGCTCTATACCAATGTGGATAAGTTACTCATAAAAATATTCAATTGATGGCTTAAAGCTGACTCAGTCTGTTGGCTGAGCAACACATTTACCGGGGACAAAGCTATACTTGCTGGTAGTGCTGAGAATTTATTAATCTCAGGACATCTAACTTGGGGATATACTTCAAAAACTCAATGCCAAAATTAATATGGTCTCCCTAGACCTAAGACATCATGTACTGAGAGAAATCATATTAGCTTGGCATGGGGAAAGATTACCACTTGTCCATCTTAACATCTATTTTTGCTTTTCTCATGCGCATTGACTATATGAAATAACAATCACTTCTCAGCCTCCCTTATTGCCAAGATGTAGTTATGTTGACTAAACTCTATCCAACCAACCATAACTAGAAATGTTGTGTGGGCTTTTTGGGAATTTGTACATAAAAGCTAGAGTTCCAATAGCATCTGAAGCAATGAGGAGCTAAGAATGGTAGGGAAGAAACAGTATATGTTGAAAACAACAAATCAGCTCTAGACTTCCTGTACTTCTTTCACATAAGTAAGAAACATATTTCTTGTTTAAGCTACTGATCTTGTGTGGGTTAAGTGTGTGAGTGAGTGATGCTGGATTTTTTTTTCTGAGACACAGAGTCTCACCCTGTAGCCCAGGCTGACCTCAAACTTGTGATATTCCCATCTGAATGCTGGGATTACAGGTGTGTACAACCATGCCCAACTTTTACATACTAACAAAAGCATGTGATGTGCCATGCATGAGGCCTTGGGTTTGATCCCAGCACAGTGAACAATTTAAAAAAGAGAAAGGGAAAAGAAAAAAAGAAAAGCGTGATGTGCCAAACAACTATCCTACACTGCTTTGTATAATTAAGAAAACAGAAAAAGCAATAGTAATAAAAGAATTAGGAAAATAGGTCATAATAAAAGTTATGGTTTTAGGGTACACTGGGTAAACTGGTCAGTCTTTTAGAGTAATTTTTTTGGGGGGCAGAGAGGCAGTACTGGGGTTTGAACTCAGGGCATCACACTTGCGAAACAGGCACTATACTGCTTGAGCCATGTCCCCAGTCCTAGAGCAATTTTTTTATACAGAAATAAAAGCAAAACATTTACTTTCTACTTACTTCAGAATAAGTTTTTCTACAGCACTTTGTCCAATAAAACCAGAGTCTCTTAAATCCAAAGTATACTGATTGAAAATTTTTCCAGAATTGAGGAAATTAAATATTTCTTCACCTGGATGATGATCAGGAATAGCATCAATTGTAACTGAAAATTTCTTTAGAAATTCCCTGAAATACAAAAAAGTCACTGAATATTGAATATAATTATGCTACATATGGTTTTGTATTTAAAAAATGGGTACAAAGAAAACATTTTTTTAGAATCAATGTCAATCCCAAATTAAAAGCCTAGCATCAGAAAAAGTTTTGCTCCTCCCACTTTATGCTAATAATCAAGTCATTAAATGTGTCTATATGGAAAGGAACAATAACCAGAAAAAAGGAAAAAAGATGTAACTTGGCTCTAATACTTGCCTTTCAACAAAACTCAACATACATTATTCACTATGCAAACAGCCATCAACGGCCCAGTTGTTTTGTAAAAACAAAACTAAAAAATACAAAACCTTAATAGGGTGTATTTGTATATAAATAAAAAAAATGCTATACCTGTGTTCTTCCAAGAGGCCATCCTCATCATCTGTACTATCTTGATCTCCAATTCTAATTGGAGACTTAATGCCTCGGCCCTGCCTTATGTCTTCTTGTAGTTGCTTCTGTAGTTCATCTAGCCTGAGAATTGAAAGAATGTCATGATAATTTATTCTTAAAATAAAAAAAAATTAGGTGATATTTTGTTATACTATAGATCAAATTGTGTCTCCCAAATACATCATCATGTTCTAAACATCATGTACTAAAACAGAGAAAGTTTATTTTGGTATTAGGCTTTTATCCAGCTAACAGTATAGTATTAGAATAGTGTTCCATTACATACAAGAATTGAGTATTTTTTTAGAGCTAGGACTTCAAGTATTACTTATTTAAATTATTCAAAGAATATAGAACACTACTTTATCCTCTCCAATCTCATTTGACTTGTAGAACAACTACCTGACAGTATTAGCTAGGCTTTCTAGCTAATTTTTGTTGTCGATGTGGTCATATCATTATCATCATCATAACACCTAACATTTACAGAGCACTTACTATGTGACAGACTTTGTACTAAGGGCTTATTTATCACCTCTCAATTCTCACAACCCCCTGTAGTAGTTATTATCCATTTTCTCAATGAGGAAGCAGATTATTAGAAAAGCTCTTACAAGAGCTCACAATGCAAAAATCTGGGATCTAAAGCTATAATCTTGCTCCAGAGTCTTTGCCTTCTAACTGCCTCTCCAAGATTAAGTTAGTTTAACCAAAGTTCTTATTCCCAGCTCCAACCCCAAACACTGGGTGAGTAAATGTATTGTTCTATCACTACAGAAGAGTTAATCATCAAGGGCTGGGGTGTGGAAGTAGTAGAGCGCTTGCTTATTAAGCACAAAGCCCTGAGGTTCAAACCCCAGTTCTGCCAAAGGGAAAAAAAAAAAAGTCAATCATCACATCAAACTGACATCTCTATCTTTGGTCTAAACAATGCTCAATTTTAAATAAGTAAAATTCAGTTAACTTCAAGTTCTCTAAGCTAGTTTCACGGATATTCCTTGAATTAGTAAGGAATATATTTCCTCCCGCTCAATAGGAAAAAACAGCCTGCAACTAATCACATAAATTTCATTAGGAAAATTTATTCTAGAATTTCCTGGTTTCTGTGTATGTGCGTGAGGTAGAGTATTCATAACTAACTCTGAACTTTTTCCTCAAAACTAAGTGATATAGGAGTACCATGGCTGCTTATGCTGATTTCAAAACTTGGACTTGGTGACCATACAACTGTTTAAAAACATTCTTCCTCTGTGAACAATAAAAAATACATAATCTGATTAAAAACAGGTAAAGGATCTAAACAGACATTTCTCCAAAGAAGCTTTGTAAAGGACTAATAAATAGTATATGAAAAGATGTTTAACATCCAAATCAAATCCATAAGAATCACTTCATACCCATCAGAATGGCTTTTTTTCTTTTTTTTGGGTGGGACTTGAGTTTGAACTCAGGGCTTTGCACTTGCAAGGCAGGTGCTCTACTGCTTAAGCCACACCTCCATCCATTTTGGTCCAGTTATTTTGGATCTGGGGTCTCTCAAACTATTTGCCTGGGCTGGCCTGGAACTGTGATCCTCCCAATCTCAGCCTCCCAAATAACTAGGATTACAGGCATGAGCCACTTAGCACCCAGTTTAGGATGTTGGTGGGAATGTAAAAAGCTTCAGATGCTGTGGAAAATACTGTGGCAATCTCCCCAAAATAAAACAATAACCTTATGATGTGATTCAGCAAGTCTACTTATGAGTATATACCCAAAAAAAAATTGAAGCAGGAACTTAAGATATTTGGACACTCATGTGCACAACAGAATTATTCATAAGAGCCAAAAAGTGGGCATAATCCAAGTGGCCATGAAATGTGGTATGTACATAATACAATATAACAATCAACCTTAAAAATGAAAAAAATTCTGACACATTCTTTCTCATGAATGAACAATGAAGACACTAAAGGAAATAAGACAGTCATAAAAGGACAAATACTGTATGTTCCCATTTATATTAAGTACCTAGAGTAGTCAACTTTGTAGAGACAGAAAGTAGAAAGACAGCTGCTAAAGACAAGAGGGAAGGGAAGAATGTGGAGTTACTACTTAACGGGTATTGAGTTTTGTTCAGGAAGATGAAAAAGTTCAGGAGCTGGATGGTGGTGATGGCTGTACAATGATGTCAATGTACTGAAATGAACTACATATTCAAAAATAAATTCTACCCATGTTTTTGACCAAGCACTTTAGTTATCAGATTATTAGTTGTGGTAAGCAGAAAAGAATTTATATTATTAATGTAACACAGCATACTATAAAAACCTGGACCTTTTGGTCCAGTCTACGAACAGGAGAACACATTTTATTTCTAACAATTAACAACAGAAGAACTGTCATAAAAAGTACTAATGCAAAATGCATACTAATTTCTCATTATCTTTTTCCATTTTTTTATTAATGTGTCTTACAAGCTGGCCATACAAATAAGCAGTTATGTGAAATTTAGCTAATAAATCATGATGCTAACCAACCTTTGTGTGTCTTCCATTTCTTTCACAAGACGTTCTAAAGTATTTGTATAAGTTCCACTATGAACATGTTCCTAAAACAAGAAAATTAAAAAATAATATTTATGACATATCTTAGTAGAACAACTGAGATATGTTTTAAGTAACTCACAGTACTAAAGACTATTTTCTATTTCAATAACCTGGGCCAGGATGATATATTTCTTATAGAAGAATTTTCACCATCATGCTTTAAATCTAGAATTTTGTGCAGGCAATTTCATTTTACCATCTATTAGGAAAGTCACTACTTATAAAAAACCCTGCTAACCTTAGAATCTGACTGCAAACACCCAAGGGTTCTGTGGCTACCCTATCCTTTACTTCTTAGTTCTATTTCATTGGAATCAAACTGCCAATTTTTTAGGTGTTATCATGGAATATTAACACCTTCCCCACCAAATTTTACAAACAGCTTAGAATTTAATTTAGATTAATCCCAAGATAGAATGAAGCACTTTATAAATAAAATTGCACACCACAATTAACAACATTTCTACACTCTACCTTCATTTACAGCAGTGGTCTCCAAAGCAGGGGGTGTGCAAGGTGATCCATTGGGGTGCAGGAAGAAAATAATAGAACTTCTATTTATATGGAACTTCTGTAGGAACTCCAGTAGAACTACAGTAACTTCTATATAACTTCTATAGGAAAATACTTATTTTTCTTTTTAAGTTGTTTTTGCATACGCTTTAAAAAGTGCACAGTATTATAGTGGTACATGTATATAATCTATAAGTATACATAAATTGGAATACATGCTTGAAATTTCTTTTACTAAAAAAGTGTGTGTGATCAGGAAAGTTTGGAGACCACTGATTTACAGTAATAAAACTAAAGACAAGGGAAACTCATTTATCAAACAAGGTATTTTTTCTTTTGTGGAGTACTGAGGTTTGAACTCAGGGCCTCAGGCTTGCTAGGCAGGTGTTCTTCCACTTGAGACTCTCTGCCAGCCCTCAAACAAGAATTATACCAGTTTCAGTCCACTGAGTTGTAATAAATACTGAATTTAAAAAGAAGTTTTAACAATCTATCCTCTTTCACTAATCAGTGTTTTTACTCTTCAAGTAAAGATAAGTATCACAGAACTACTTACTGTGTAGTCTGATGACTGAGATCTAAGCCCCTTGGAAAGGGGAGGCTTTCCTGAAGTTGCAGGAGTCTGATTGAAGTTCAAAGCCATTATTTCTTCCAATGATTTTAATTTTTCCTCTTCCTCATCACTGTCTAGGTTGTAACCTAAACTTTCTTCATCACTATCAAAATCACCCCTGAATTTTCTTTTCTGTGCACTGCTACCTGCATTAGAATTTCCTGAACTCTCTTTATCTGAAGGTATTGTAGGGCTTGGGATACATGGCACAACTTCCAAAGCAGCTGGAGGAGACTTTGTAGGAGTGCCATACTCTGAACGCAAAGATCCCCCAAAAATTTTCCCTGAAGATATATTAGAATCAGCCTTATTAGTCTTTTCTTTGTGTTCCTTGTGTTTGGAGGATTCTGTAGAATGCCCAGAATATTCTTTAGATGAGGAACGTCTTTATCTTTTTTAGGAATTGGAAGAGCACAATTTTTAGCATTTAATGTTATTTGAGAGGAAACAGCACTTGGAACATGGGAAAGTAACGGTAGAAGTTTTGTCTCTTCTTTTGATGTCATGAAGCTAGCAGTTTTATTTTTCTGTAGGTTGCTAGATTTTTTAATTGTAGATTTTTCCTGAGGTAAAGGTAAGTGGGGTTTCTGTATCTTAGTCTCTTTGGTACTTGCCACTCGGATTTGGTCACTATTCCTAGAAGAATGGTGGCCAGAATTTGAAGGTACCAAGTCTGCAGAGTGATCAGTTTCATCATTTGGTTCCTTGGTTATATCTTCCAAACGTAGCACACCACCAGGTGTCTTCAGTGCAATATGTCTTATAAATTTTTCCCTCTGATGTGGTATATCAGGACGCTTCTCAAGGAAGGACTCTTTTGCTTTTGGTATCAGAGATTCTCTTGTGCTTTTCAGATCTGAATCCACAGAGTTTCTTTTTCTTTTGTCAGAAAATTTATTCTTAGAGCCTGCTAAAATTTAATTTTTGTTAGATTAGTGAAAAGTATATTGTTCTGTGTAAAGCTTATTCACTGAGTGTCTAGAACACCCTGATAAAAAGTTTAAAATCTGAAAGTTTAGGCTGATATTATTCACTAAAAGTAAAATGAGGAAAGATTATGTTGTCAACCGATTTATCAACTGATAAACTGTGGTGTCCAAGAAATTTAGAGCCATTGACAAACACTCATTTTTATTCCAAAGCTATTAGAAATTTACTACCTTACATGAATTAGATAGATACTAGGTATTAAACCCTAAAACAAAAAAACTGTTTATCTGTGCCAGTGGAAGGATTCCAAAGGTACTTTCCCTTAAAGAGGATATTCTTAAAGCCCAGGACTATCTGGGCTTAAATGCATTACTTACAAACACATATAAGGTAAGTAATTAAGGAAGATAAATTTTAATTTCTCATTTAAAATAAATTCACTCAGGCATGGTTACATGCTTATAATCCTAGCACTTGGGAGGCAGACGAAAAGATCATAAGTTTGAGGCCAGCCTGTCTGCACAAAGAAACCCTGTCTCCCAAACAAAAAAACAAACAAAACCAAACAACAAAAAAAATAAAGTGAATTCAACCAAGTTTTTCTCCCTAACAATTACCATTACTTTTTCTCATATATCCCTCTAGTCTTCAGCTATGTTATAGGCTGAATTGTGTCCTCCAAAATTAACATGTTCAAGTGTTTGATCCTCACTACCACAGAATGTGATCCTAATTGGAAATAGTCTTTAATTTAAGTGAGGTCATTAAGGTCTGTGCCAATGCAATATGACTCGTGTATAAATGGGAAATTTGGACACAAAGACATGCAGAGGGAAGACAGTGAAGAAACATAAGAGGCCATGTGACTCTATGTAGCTATAAGTTAAGGAATGCCAATGACTGAAGGCAATCATCAGAAGCTAGAAGAGGTATTTCATTGGTATGAAAGGATGCCAAAGGCATTTCCTCTTGAAATGGCTATTCGTTTTAAGGCCAAGTTTAGGGCTGGTTGCATGGCTCAGATTGCAGAGCACCTATCTATCAAAGGCAAAGTCCTGAGTTCCAACCCTAGCAATGCCAAAAAACAGTAATCCCAGGACTACTTGGTTTCACAAATGTAGTATCTACAAACACATACAGCATAAGTGATTGAAAGCAGATAAATTTCTCATTTTAAAATAAATTCAGCTGGGCATGGTAACATGCTTATAATCCTAACACTTGGGAGGCAGAAGCAGAAGATCGTAAGTTTGAGGCCAGCATGGACTACATAGTGCGAGGCCAGTCTGGCTGCACAGTGAAATTCTGACCTAGAGTTATCAGAGAGTAGCCCACAAACACCCTGATTTTGGACTTTCAGCTTCCACAACTGTGAGACAATAATTTCTATTTAAAGCCATATTGGCTTTGGAATTTTGCTACAGCAGCCCTAGAAAACAAAGCTGCATCCAAAAGCACTTTAATAACCAAATATATTTGAGTTAATCAATTTTTAAAAATTCACAATGTTCTTAAAAATGTGATAAATCTTTTTTTTTTTTCTCTTTTGGTGGTACTGGGGGATTGAAATTACACTTGCTAATTGGGCACTTTACCACTTGAACCATGCACCCAGCCCTCATTGAATTATTCTTTAATTATTCATTAAAAATTCACTATGGCTGGACATATAGCTCAGTAGTACTTAGTGATGGAGTGCTTGCCTAGCATATGAGTCCCTAGGTTTGATCCCAAGCACTGCAAACAATAACAAAAGACTACCTTTATATATGTGTACCACCAGTATTTCCAAAATTAAATTTCCCTAAGTCTAAATTTCTGTTTATAAACAGATGTCTTCACTCTCCAAAGCTACATAGCTAGACTGTGTCTCAAAAAGACAAAAGAGGGGCTCCGACTACAGCTCAGTGGTAGGGCATTTGCCTAGCATATATAGGCTCTGGGTTTGATCCCCAGAACCAACAAAACAAAAAAGAAAAAAATTCCCAAAGCCAAACTTGAGAGTTAGGCAACTATTAATTGGATAGTTTTATCAATACATAATGTGGAAAATTCAATTTATAAAAACAATCAATAAACAAATGTCCCATAAAGCAATTTTTCACAGTTATCTATCATTACCTAAAGAAACCATTCCATACCTGCTCAGTTTTTGGGGGTTAAATGTCTTATAAAATAGGGCAGGGTTCGGGTAGTGGTAGAGCAAGTGCTTATCATGTTCAGGTCTCTGGGTTTAATCCCTAGCACACACACCCACAGAAAAGAAAAGAAAAAAGGAGGTAGACAGGGGTCACTTACAAATGACAAAGAAGACTTGGAGTAGTTAAACTACCTTAATTTTAACTATAGGCTTACAAAGAAGGTAACTATACAGCAGTTTTGTTCCAATTTCCTACAGAAGTCAAATAATTTACATATAGTTAGGAGTAATAAAAAAATTATTGCTTTCCTACTGCTTATTCAGGAGACAAAAACTATTTACAGAAAAAATTTAGGACAAGACTGTTTATTAAGAGCTTTTACTTATTTATTTGTTTTTGAGACAGGGTTTTGCTATGTAGCCCAGGTTGACCTGGAACTCACAATCCTCCTTCCTCCACTTCCCAAGTGGTGGAATTATGGGTATGTACCACCATGCCTAGAAGAGCTTTTAATATCTAGGCCAGGTGTGGTGGTACATGCCTATAATCCCAGCATGAGGGTGGGGAGGGACAGGAGAATTTCTATTTCAAGGTCAACCTAGAGGACACAGTGAGATTGTCTCAGAAAAGAAGAAGGAGGGGGGAAGAAAGAAAGAGAGGGAGTGAGAGCTTTTTAATATCTAGAATTCTAGAATTGGTACTGATGGTAGGCTCCTCTTATGTAAGCCTCTTGAGGGCGACAGAAGAACTGCAAATTTTCATGGTTTTTGCACTCCTTGTATAGATTGAATGTTTTAGTTTTTCAAATATTAACAGCAAACATTCAGCTAAAAGAAGGAGCCTTTAAAAGGACAAAATTCAATGTTCATTAATAGGGGACTGGTTATTAATAAATTATTGAATGTACTGTGATGGATTAAATTTTACCTCAGGGGCTGGTAGAGTGGCTCAAGTGGTAGAGCACCCACTTAGCAAGCTCTGAATTCAAAACCTCAGAATGCAGCCAAAGGATAAAGCTTTGGAAGACCAAAGAACTAAATACCTACTCTTACTAACATCTCTAAAATTCTTGAGCTTCTGAGTGATTAATAATTGTGTGATCATGTATTTGGTAACAGCAGTTAAGATATCATTTGCAGTTTTATTATCATACAGGACAAAGCATGACACATAATAACCACTCAAAAAAATGTTAGCATTATCATGTCCAATGTGTTTTACTGAATGTTGAAATATGTACACTCCACTTTTCAAAGTTTGTGGTAACAGAAGGAAAAACCACTGGTAAACCAGAATATGAAGAATTATTATTTTGGGGTAACTTTCATTCTCTGTGTAATAAATTTCTACAGCATTTTAACTTTAATGTTCTATTTTCTAGTTTAAAAAAGGATACTAGGAATTACTGAGTTAATGGTAGATATCTATTATATATTCTCAACCAAGATATTAGAAGTACAAATTAATATCTTGTAGGTAATCTTGAAATTTGTATTAGAAAGACATATTTGTATTTGAAATATTACATACAGTTAGGAATGATGAAAAATTCCTTTCCTCCTGCTTATCCAGAAGGAGATAAAACCTATTTACAGAAAAAGTTTATAATAAGCACCTGCTTGCTAGGCAGACACTCTACCACATAAGCCACTATTCCTTCTTTTTCTTTTGAGACAGGGATTATAGCTATGTACTACCACATCTCTAAGAACTATTCTTTTTAAATAATAATTTTGCCAAATTTTTAACTAACCTGTGAAACAATTTATCTGTAGGAGGGGAACTACATATCTGTACAAATTTGTTTTAAAAAGCAGTGCTGGAGGGAAGGGGGGGATGAGGGAGACCGATGGAGGGGTAACTCTAAGATACATTATAAGCACGTATGTAAATGTCACAATGAAACCCCCTTGTACAACTAATATATACTAACAAAAAAAGAAAAAAAGAGCAGTGCCATTAAGATGCCTACAATCACAGCAATACAGAGATTGAGGTAGGAGGACCATGATTTCAAGACCAGCCTGTGCTATTCAGTGAGACACCGTCTCCAAAACCAAAACAAAAGAAGTGAACTTATTTAGAAGTTCAGATATTTAATTTTGATTTTACCTGAAGTAGGTTCCCATGAATCAGAAGAGGATCTTTTTCTTGAGAAATGTCCATTTTCCTATTAGAAAAAGGAGAAAAAATTAATTAGGAGCTTTGGGGACTAAAGAGTATGAACTTTCCTTTATAACATTTATATATAGATTTCTAGACTGAATAAAGCAAGCACCTGGATTTATAAGTAAAGTTTCAGTTCCAAAATAAAATATATAAAATGAAGGGCATTTATAGGGGATGTAGCTCAGTGGGTACAGTACTTGCCTAGAACATGGACGAGGCCTTGGCATTCAGTGCCCAGCCCTGCACACACACACAATAATAATAAATTTACGTATAAATAAAGAACAGTTGTATCATAAAAATGTTAAAATGTCATAAAAACAATGTCAAGTTTTTATAATTTAGATATAACTAAAAAATTAATACTTTATTTGAATGTATTATTATATGGACCAAATATTACTAACTTCTATTGATCATCAGCAATCTCACTGGCAAAGGCACCAAACTTCTTGCAAACAAGCCTCAAGATTTACAAATATATTTTATAGCTGGGTGTGGTAGTACATGCCTGTATTTTCAGCCACTTGCAAGGCTGAATTAGAAGGGGCCTGGCAACTTAGCAAGACTTTGTTCCCAAAAATAAAGGGCTGGGATATGTAGCTCAGTGGTACAGAACTTGTCTAGCATGAACAAAACCCTAAATTCTACCCCCAGTACCATATAAAACAAAAACCTGAATCTTCCAGTAATCTATGATACAGCATATATTTACTGTTAGACTGTCATAGTTTGGTTTATTTTTGGTCTATCTGGCTTTAGAATTTCATAGTACCTTATCAACAGTGCAACATTTTTTTCTTTTTCTTTTTGACATAGAAAGATCTGGCTATATACTAGGCTGGCCTCAAACTCGAAATCCTTCCACCTCAGTCTCCTGAGTCTGGGATTCGAGATGTACGCCACCATAGCTGGCTTAACAGTGTGCTTTCTGGACATCTGATCTTCATTTGCTCTGTACACAGAGAAGCACTTTGAAATTAATTTCACTTTCTAGGGGAGAAGAACAGCTTTTATGCTAATCTAAGTTCAGTCTATATTCTGAAAAGAAAATTGTGATGAATTAAGATATGTTTGGACAGTTTTCTAAGTCATAGTTATCTTCTAAGTTTTTCTAGACCCATAATCAATTATTTAAGATTTATATATAATCTGAACCAGTGACTCACAAACTTTAAAGTGCATAAGAAACATCTGGAGAGTTTATTAATTACACATTCTTGGGCTCTACCTTCATTATTTCTGGTTCAGTGGGTCTAGGGTGGGACCTGAGAATGCATTTCTTTTCCTGGTGGTACTAGGGATTGAATCTAGTGCTAGGCAAAGCACTCTGTTGAGCCACACTCCAAGCCCTTTTATTTTTGAGAGAAGATCTAACTTTGAGCTGGTCTCAAACACACAATGTTCTCATAAAGAACCTCTTAGTAGCAGGTATAGGTGTGCCCCACCACACCTGAGACTGTACTCCTAACAAATTCCTAAGAGCCCTTTGAGAACCACTGCTCTAAACCATTTTCTGTTAAGATTTTCCATTCCGTAAGTATCTCCCTTAAAAAGGACCCATACTTGCCTAAACGAATGCTTATTTTCCTGACTAAAAAACTGTACATTAGTCTTTCTTTAAAGATAAGAAAATGATACACTTTTAGATTTAATATTCTAAATATGACACAGTAATGACAAAGCTAATTCAGTAATTATTGCACATACCATGTTTGAAAGATTACTCTTTCCAGGTATGACATCATTCTGTTTACTTTGTTCCTGTCCTGGTTTACATTTTCTTCCCACAATAGAAGATTTTAAGGAAAGATTGCTTGCTTCTGAGAAAGAATTTTCTGAGTTGATTCTCTGCTCCATTTGCTCCTTTCTCAACCTTTTTTGTTCTCGCTCTTTGCAGTAAGAAGCTAGTGATGACTGGAACTTAGCTCCCAGTGGGCTTTCTCCTGGCTGGTGCCTGGATAGACTGCTCCTGCTACTAAGACTTCGGGAGCCATTCTTCAAGATGTCAGTTTCTACCACTGTGGCTTGCTTTTTGGAGTCTGCATTGGTCTTGCCTCGATCTCTGTCATTCTTCTCCCTGCTATTTTCATGCATGAACAGTGACTTTCTTCTCTCTGGAGACCGGTGTTTTTTCTTTAGTGCCTTCATTTCTTTTGACAAGTGATATGAAGAAGGAACATAGATATTTGTTCCTTTGGGTAAATATTTGGAGGCTAGTGACACACAAGGCCGACGTGACTCATGCATACCACGATCTTTATGGTGCTCTTTAACACCTTTCATGAAAGCTTCTAAAATAGGGCTTTTTTCTGATGACACCCTTTTGGGTTTAGATTTTTTTGGTGAAGATAGTTTCCTTTCAAAATGCTCTGTCCCAGTGATAGACAATCTACTTCCTCCATATTTGATGTTTGATTTTTGTGGAGAATCCAACATATGTCTATCTAAAATAACCAATTAAAACACATACAAATTGCAAGTTATTTAAACATATGCTGTATATGAATACTTATCTTAATTATCAATGTTTAAAATACTGTATTAAAGCTACCACAAAAAAATTAAGACATGGTTTACTTGGCAATAGCTTTGTTTTCAAAAAGCTCCCTTTTGCTACATCACACAGCCTCCTTACGGCTCTACTTATAAGTTACTGTATTAGAATATCAAAACAGTATGAATCGTAAGTATTATAAACTAGAATATTTTAAATGTAAGAATGCATAATACTAAAAACTGTTTATAGCTTAAGTTAGCTTTATAAAAATAAATACTGTATCTTTATTTAAATAGTGCATTTTCAATTTTGAACACTATGTTTACTCAAACAGTTTAGGGTAGGTTTAAAGGTTGAAGCCATCTCTCTCTTCAACTCTAAAACAGCCCACCAAAAAAAAGTATTAATAGTACACATACCTTGTTTAGAAGCTGGTTTGAAGAAATCTATAATTGACTGCTTCCTGAAAATAAAAGCATACTAATATGGTATCACATGAGCAAATATTAAAACCTCAATAATTCAGATTAAATGGAGAATGTTAGATCTATGGAATATAAGCTGAATTTCACTATCTAGTTTACCCAAGTTCTGACAATGGTAATCATGCTTTGGTAAGCTGTAAAAAATGTTGAAATGTAATTCATCATTTTCTGTACGTATATGACAACAGAACTGAGACTTACATAATTTAGAATCCTAAAATAGTAAAACTGGTGTGTAAATCCAAGGAATTGATACAGAGTGCTTGTTAATACCAAAATGCTCACAGAATACATGGTAGAATGGATAGGCAACTGATTCTGTTTACTGATATCTCCAGTGACTGGCATAAAATAGCACTGAAATAGAAATTTTCTGAACAATGGAAGTTATAAAAATGAAGCAAAACTTGAACAGATTCTCATAACAAGAATAGCAGATGACAGAATGTCAGTATGAGTGATCTGGCTGATTTGAGGAGACAGTTCAAGAGGAACGTGGTAGGCAAAGGTAGAAAACTAAATATCAACCTCACACTACTCTTCTTATATACTATAGTAAGATGCTGCAGTAACAGCAAAAATTGGAATGAGTCTTTCACTAGTGTTTCAAATGTTTCCTTCTGTATCTAACAATCTTTAAGATATTGGTAAAAATAACATACTACCTGGGAAAAATGAAAAAAGCAACAACAAAACAAAAACCAAAGAGATAAGTTAACAAGTAAAAAACAACAAAACCCAAATTGCTTGACTTCTGACCAGCACTTGTATTTTTATTTGTTCATGTAGAGTTGCCAGCTATAAAAAGAGAGATAGAAGCAAAAAATTAACTTTCTGGCAATTTTTGCTAAAATGTATTAATTTTTGCTGAAAGAATAAGCTGTAGACTACCAGTTTCTCTAAACACTATGAGGCTGAGATACTCAATGAAAACCTAAACAATCCAAATTCGAGGATGAGCTCCTCCTGCATCTTGTACACTTTACAGGTCACATTAGAAGAACAATGAACATCTTTACTGGCTTACTGAGAGTTCACCATGTTTGAAATGTTGGCAGAAAACCTAAGCAGTTATGAGATGGATGTGATAGGTTATGGAAAGAATATATACATTTTTTACAGGAAATAAATTAATTCAGTAAATTAACTCTACAGGAGAGCAAAGGAAAAAATGCTAGAGGACGTGCAAAGGGGAGAAAGATGGTGCCTTGTTATTGGTGGAGAGAGGCAAAAGAACCCAGAAGCAGCTAATTCAAAATAAAACTACACTGAATGTTTTTTACATTAACTACTAAATTTAACACTGTATCTCCCAAAATATTAGATTTCAGGTTCTTTTTCAATTAATACATCAGAAACAGAAAAATGTCTTTAGGTAAAACACGTAAGTAACCTGTAAAAATAACCATGAATGTAACATTCTGGAGGTGCTAGTTTCCCAGATTCATATGCACAGAAATGTCCATTACTTATTTACAACTGGCTAAAGAAATTATAACAGCTTCACTAACCCTTATCTGAAACTTCTGGGGCTGAATGTGAATTCTGAATTTATTTTGAATTTACTGGATTTTTAGAAAGGGGATAACTTGAATATATTATGTAAAGCTCCCAGTGGGGTTTGGTACTGCAACCTGTAATCAAACATATTAATATTTCTCCTACAAAACTTGTGCTAAATTTACTGAAAACGTTTGGCTTTCATAGCTTCCTGGCTTTCAGAATTAAGATAAAGGATTGTGGACCTGCACCCACAATATTAGAACATGAATTTACATGTTACAAGCATTTAAACTTAAAATAAAAGACAGTACCAAGTGAGTAGAGAATTTAAACATGTTTTATTGTAAGATGATATAGTTTGATGAAACGCCCCATCTCATTACATAGCCCCCACAAAAGTCTGTACAAAAAACAACAAAAAAACCCCTGGGCTCTTGGAGAGGCATAAAGTTACTGCAAGAGAAAACAATCATAGTTTAAGTCTGCACGTTCTTTTATGTATGAGTTATCAAGGACATTAAACTTTTAAGTAATTCATGTGTTTCCCGCATTACATCTTACGTAATTTGACCTACCATTTAGAAAAGGTTCACACTACTAAACCCCTAGGATCAGAACTGAAAATGTACAGAAAACAATCTAAATATGCATCAAGAACGAAGGGCCCCAGGTAAAGCTCTCCAAGAGGACAAAAAAAAAAAAAAATCACGTTCCACCTAAAGTGAGCTCTCCATGGCCACCCAGGCCGTGGTCAGCAGAACCAGAGCAGCTCTAGGCTATAGAAAAAGAAACTTCAACTCCCAGAAGCCCCGCGCGGAGGCGGGGCGAGGGCTTGCAGGCCCCGGAACCCAAGGCCTGAGCTCGCGGAGGATGGCGGGAACTGAAGAGCGGCGGTCCACAGTCCTCCCCTCGTACCCTTGCCCCCGCGACCCGGCCCCTTCTGAACCCCACTGCACGGTACCTGTCCCCGGGACTCTCTGCTCTCTTTCTCGCTGCAGCAGGGGCGGTACTACCGGGTCTCAGATGGCAGCGCGGGGGCGACGACCCCGGGGCTGGGGACGAGGGGAAACCTGGCCTAGCGAGCATGCAGCGCCTTGTCATGTCGGCGCCGCTGGCGACGGCGGCATGAGCTGTGGCTGGAGAAGTTGGGTGCGTGGTTGCCGTCTTGCTGCTGAGACTCGGGTAGGCTGTCGGAGCAGAGGTGGGCGGCACCCCCTTCTCTCTTCATGGCGGTTCTCTCTCTTCGGAAGTGACTCCGGTGTGAGCGGGAAGGAACCTGAGGACCAGCAGGAGGCGGGTCTTACGTGAGGGCTCGCGTTCTGATTGGATGACATGGAGGCCACTCTGGTGGAGATGCAATAGGAAGCTGTAGCCTCTCAGGAGGAGGCGGGGTTTCTTGAAGGGGGTGGGGATGAAGAAAACTGCCCTCCCCAGCCGTCACGTGCGCCTAGGGCGCGCGCCTTCGCGTCGCGGCAGGGTCAGCCTTGGCGGGTGCGTGGTGGGGAGAGGGAGGGAAGACCGGGCCACCGTGGGCGCTGTGGCAGCTGGCGACACCCGCCTGATCGAAGGCTAGGGATGCGTTTACAGAAGCAGACTCGAGGCTGCAGCTGCCCTCAATAAGGATGGCCAACAGTTGGTCTCCTGTGTCACAGTTGTACTTCAGAAATCCCCAGCTGTCCGTTACATCGACATTTGAGCATCTTAGGTCAAAGTGCCATAGTGCTGTCACTATTTCCTCAGTACTCTGTTGGGCCAATTTGAAGACTCGGACGGCTTTCGTTAAGTGGTAGTGGTAGGGATTGTCTTTCCTTTTAGAAGGGAAAAAAACCCATAGAAATAAAGACAGTTTTCATCGCACAGAAGCGTTTTGTTTCCCACGAGTTATTCATGAAGTTCCCGCAGCATGCTTCCTTGGAGACTTTTGGAAGAAACATAGGGTCAGCATTCAATTACCCACATTAAGGGGGACAGCATATGCCTGTAAAAGCTGCCAGCAGTCCCCAGTCCTTTGGAAAGGGCCTGTGCTTTAGAGACTGTTAGGTTGGGTTTTTCTTATAAATGACTCATCAGAATGTCTCTGAGCCTCAGTTTCCACGTCTATTCAATGGGTATATTGCTTACTTTTATGGGTAATCATAAATTATAAAAGAAATAAGCAATGTAAATACAGAATTCAATTCTCTTTTGTAATTGGTACTCAGAAAATTATGATTGCCTTTTCTTTGTTCTCCAGATAGACTCTTGCAGTGAATTTAACGTCTTATAAAAATCTTCCAGACAAGTTGTGGTGGCACAGGCCTGTAATCTTACTGTTGCAGGATATTCAAGCAGGGAAATGGGACATGGACACCAAGGCAGTTCAGCAGGAGGCAATGTTTTATTGTGCTGTCATAGACTCAGCGGATTCATATCCAAAGGCTGAGCCCTGAGAATCAAGGGGCCTTACCTTATATACTCTTGCAAGCAGGTTACAGAAGCAAGAAGCAAGGTTTAACCCATATATAGATGCATGCAACTCTATTGGCTACTTCACTCCCCAGTGATATGTGACCTTCACGTTTAGAGTCTGAAGTTTTCTCTACCTGCTATGTCATCCCCTCCACCGCACCCCCCCCCCAGCATTATCAGAACACAGACTTGCTTGTTTCTTTTCTGGTCCTGCTTCCTGCTACACTAGCACTTAAAAGAGTGAGACAGGAGGGGTAAATATTTGGAGGCCAGCTTGACCTATATAATGAGACCCTGCCTCAAAAACAAACAAAATTCAAAATAAGACCTTCCAGAGACAGAGAAAATACTGTTATAATAACTATTAATAGCTGCTATTTATTTTTTATTTTGGCAGTACTGGGGTTTGAACTCAAGGCAAGTGATCTACCATTTGAGCCACACCTCCAGCCAGGACCAAAATATCAATCTTGAGGATGTCCAAGTATTAATTAACAGAGATGTTCAATCAGTTGGTTTGGACAAAACCTTAAATGACAAAAGAATTTGGGCAAGTCTCAAGTTTGTTGTACTGAAATCAAACTGTTCCTGTTGCTAAGCCTTCCAGACTGACCTAAAGTTTACCTCCTTTCTCTTCCCTGACAGCCCTCAGGAAGAAGAATTAATGAGAATAAAGTGGACAACAGTAGAGGGAAGAAGGTAAATGGTGAACATACATCTCTCCATTCATTCAGAAAACTTACATGCACAGAGATTTTCTAAGTAGTAATAATGCAAGAAAGGTAATACTGAAATAAAGGATAATTTTTCTGCTTCTAATAACTGAGACTTACGGTTTTTATATGAACATTGTTCCTTATATAAGAAAAAAAAGAACATAATGCTGAAAATGTGTTGAAATGAATAATGAGTTCTACATTTGTTTGTTAAGGCCTTTTTTAACGCATTATTTCCTATCCTTTGACTTAGTGCTTTGTGTTTTATGTTTCTACATTACGAAGTTCTTGCTTCTATAACAGAGCATATCTACAAAACATTTAATCCGATTTCATTGCATTCTCAATCCATAAAAAGAGTAATGTATAAAAAATGTGTTCTGCCTGATCAGTTAGTTGTTTTTCTTGGATTATAGCACTTGAATTATCCATCCTCCCAAGGTATTACTTCAAGAATGTACTCATGCTACCAAACAATAGTTTTCATATTTTCTTAATCTGGGCAACAGATTATGGAGTTTAGTGAGGCAAGAAATCTCTTGATCAATAAATGGAGATGGAGTCATAATGAAAACACAATTTTAAAAATCTCTTCTTAACAGGAAAGTAGTTATCTAAATCCTCAATAAGCATCAAGGCTTTTTTTTGTTTAAGCTGTGCAAGAAAATGATGCAGATTTGGGCGAGATAAGTTCAACATACAAACTGGACTGGCTGAGAGCCTCTAAAGGTTCTTCCCCTCAAATAGAGATCTCTATTTTGTCTCCATTTCCCACTTTAAATGTGCACATACATCACACACACACACACACACACACACACACACAAACACTAACACAGTTACTGTAAGGGCTTTTTTTTTTTCTTTGCAGTGCTGGGAATGGAACCCAGGGCCTTGCTCATGCTAGGCAAGCATGCTACTGCTAAGTGACACCCCAGCCCTATAAGAGATTTTTATGCTCTAGTTTATAGTAGACTGGAAATAAATGGTGAGAAAACTGGGCACTAGGTAAAAGATGTCAAAGAGCATGTGTTGTGTTCACTTGGGAAGACTAAAGGGGGGAGAAAAACTGAGGTAGGGCTGGAGGGAAAGGATGATGAATAATGTAAGCAAAACTGAGTTAAAGGGTTAACATGAAACCCCAGCCAGGGTTGGAAAAATAATTTGGAGTGATTAAGACTGGATGACCTTAAGTTAGTTTGGGAAGATTTCTGGGAATGGGGATAAGGAAGCAAAGATTGGAATGGCTTCAGTGCATGAAAGTTTCATAGGGTATAGCTCAGCTCAGTTTAGCACCTTGAAGTTGTGAAAAACAAGTCATTGGGCTCTGGCCTTGAAGAGACACAATGGGACAGCTGCTGAAACAATGTTGTTACATGAACAACAGATTAAGTTTGCTGGAAGAGTCAAGTTCAAGGTGGGAGGGAGTTCTGAGAGAAGTAACAGTATAACTGATGCCAGAGAACCTAAGCAGTCACAAAGAGAGAAAACATCTTGGGCACATTGGCTTACACAGTATCTTGAACACTCAGGGAACAAAAGGACAGTAAGTTACAAAGAAAAGTTACAAAGAAAGGTACTAAAACTGCTGGGAACTCAAAAAGTAATTTACAAGAATGGCAAATATTTTGTTAGATTGCTACAGAATGTAATGAAGTTCAAGGGTTTTGGAGGGTACTACTCTAGGGCAGACCAAGAGACAAAGGCCCATTTGCTGTGGGGCTCCGGGGCAGGGGCAAGAGTATGTGCAGGGTGGCCTGAGAGGAGGGATAAGGAACAGGCACAGAAAAACAGGAAATAATTAACTTGAAAGCTGGACAGAGAAAGAAAGACCACACGGGGGTCTCAAGAATGGAAGGTAAGCTCAAGATTCAAAAAAAAAAAACTTTACAAACAGATGTTGAACTCAAAACTGCTGAACAAATGCTTGAGAAAAGCACCAGCTTAGTTTCAAAGGTTACTGGGAAAGCCAAGTATAATACAATGTAATCGTCATGCAATCCAAACTTCCTGGGAGTACTTAGTAAAACTGCAAAAGCAGATTTGACTTGTTAAGGAAAGACGGTTGTTATTTCATTATGGAATGGTGAAAGACAGTTTTGCACACCTAGACACACCAGAAACATATTTGTGATTTTTGGCATATCTGATGAGTTCCTATACTATTATTTAATTACTTTTTCTTTTCAGTGATGGGGAATCAAACCCAGAACTTTGTTACTGCTAGGCAAGCACTCATCCCCAAACCTTAGGTTTCTTTTTTTGAAACAGGGTCATACTATGTAGCCCAGAGTGGCCTCAAACTCCTGGTCCTTCTGCCTGCTCCTCCCAAGTGCCAGTATTACAGGTGTATACCACCATGCCTGGTTCTATTTTTAAGTAACTTCTAAAACTTAAACATTTAATTTAAAAGAAAAATTTAAGGCATTTCCAAAGTGAAAAATCAATATCACGTTCCTAAAATTTAAGATAACTGTAAGTAATATATAACGAAATAATGAGTGACTAGTAAAAGTATTATATCTTGGAATCCTCCTGTGTCAGCCTCCTGAGTGCTGGTACTTAGGTCCCATACACCACCATTCCTGGCTCACTCAGATGGACATAGAGATAGGGAGAAGAGAGAGAGAGAATATATATACTTTGTGTGCGTGTGTGTGTGTGTGTGTGTGTGTGTGTACGTACAGGTTTGAGTTGCAATATACTTACATTCAATATATTAGCGAGAATGGCAGGGAGCCTCAAAGGCTCTTCGTCCTCTGAAATAGAGTTTAATCTCTATTTTGTGTTTCTACTGCTTTCCCACTTTATTTTTAATTTAATTAAATTTATTTCCAGTATTGAGGTTTGAACTCGGCTTATATCTTGAGCCATTTCACCAGCCCTTTCTGATGGTTTTTTTTAAGATAGGGTCTCATGAACTATTTGTTTAAGTTAGTTTTGAGCTGTGATCCTCCTGATCTCTGCCTCCTAGGATTCCTGTAATCCTAGCTACAGTCATGAGCCACCAGCGCCCAGCTTGCTTTTCTCATTTTAAATATGTGCATATACACTACACGCAAACCCATATATTAACAAAGTTATTGTAAGGTTTTTTTCCCTTGTGATTTATAGAATTATGTAGTCATCTTGTTTATCAGTGGTGGTAGGCATAGATATCACTTGTGCATCTAAAATCTAAGAGACTCTTTGGGAAATATTGGTATGAGGGATGCCAGCCTGCAGTCAGGTGTTTTTCACACTTTGGTTTTAGCAAGCCACTGCAGGATTTTGGTTCTTTTTTTTTTTTTTTTGGTGGGACTGTGGTTTGAACTTAGGATTTCATGCTTGCAATGTAGGCACTCTACTGCTTGAGCCACACCTCCAGTCCCATTAAAAAGTTTTGAAATTGATGTAATGGGTCACTGACCACATTAAAAAGCAACAACAAACCCCACAATGGAATAGAGAATATCGGTGCACTGCACATAAGATATAAGCATGTATGTATCGTTTTACAGAAGTTTTCTTTCTTGTTATGTATGTAGTTTCCATGACTTATGCAAAAGGCATTTCTGTAGTCCCTGCTGTAGGCTGATCAAAATGAAAGTTATTACTGTAACTCATATTGATGTTTCATACTTCCATGTTTGAGTGGCGCTGAATGGTGTAAGCTGTTTTGGAGAAAGAGCTGGGCTTCATTTGGTCACTCCAGCTGGTGGGGCAAATGGGCATAACTTGGGTGCTCTTTCTGCCCTTTTATGACCATACCCTCCTGGAGCAGGAAGACTTGGGGAAGGAAAATCATGACTACCCAGCCTATCCAAGGAAGATTCCCATGA